TTTTATGTAAGTATCTATATGATTCACCTTATACTTACAGTTAAGAAAAAAATTAAGAGATTAGAGAATTAATATATATTATTCTAGTGTCAAACTAGATTGAGTGAAATTAAATTAATGATATGATATATTAATGTGTGTTATTCCCTTAAATGGGTAAAATAATAATAATAATAATAATTAGAAATAAACATTTAATAATAAGTGAATAGTAGATCTTATTGAGAAATAATAAGAATTCAACTATATATTTAAAGTAAAAAATTGATTAATTTTAGTTGAGCTGGAATTACAGAGATAAAAAAGCATAACTTTTTTTTTATTAACAAAGATTATTTTCAATAAAGAAAGGTTAATTACTGAGTTAGAAACTATTCTAACTCAGAACTATTATTGAAGTCGACATTTATTGATTCTGCCTCATTTTATTTTCATCTTATAGCATTATAATACATTGTTGCTTGGAATGGATTTAAAGCATATCAATAAATTTTTGAATTTTTAACTAAATCCACTCTACTCATAAAATATTAAACTTGTAAGGCTTATATGTAAAGTGAATTATCAACGCATCGACTAGTTGAAATTTAACAAAGTAGATTTTTGATAAATAACTTAATTAAAATATAAGCACAACATTGAAAGTTTGAACAAGCTCTCTAGGTATTTTTCGATACAATTACACCCACTGTTTAGTCATTAGCATCTTTCAATCAAGACTGCTAGACTTAACAAGGAACTCTTTACAAGGTTCAATTTTTATTAAATTACAAATTTGAGATGGCTTTCAATGACTTTTTTTCGATTTGATTAATGAAAACATGTTAGTAATCACTAAACCCATCAGGCCTGATGGTTACGGAATAAAGACTGCACGATTTAATTATAAATGATGATGAGAATACATGAGCCAGTGTATTTTTACATCGCAAGGATCGATACGCCTAAGATTACTGAAATGCTTTTATAGTTCATCTAAACAATCATTATTATCTTGCTTTCAATTTTTTCAAATATTCTATGAAGGAAGCAAAGGATAGCAATTAGTATGGAGAAAATGTGGTATAACTCTACATGTATCAGTTATTCTAATAAAGCTCTAGAGGTAGTTTGATGCTAATCATCAGCGTTGTGCTTGAGTAATTCTTTTATTAATAGAGTCACAGTATGGGCAATGTTATTGGAGAAATTAAGTTATATAGGTTAGACAAACATTTGAAATAAGTTTACGAAATATATTCAGAAATGTAAAACTTAGCAATATTTTATTTCATCACAATTTAGTGTATCATACTATTTCAGTTTTCAAGAATTAAAGTTAGTTCAGGAAGATTAAAAACATGACATTTGAGTGCATAGAAATTTGCGACACAACGAAAATAGCCATCAGGATGTTTAACTTAGGAATCATTCATAAAAGGTTTACAATCAACAATGACCAAGACACTAAGCTTAAGAAATAAACAGGAAGCTGTTTACATGGAAATGTATTTAATTAAGCAGTCACCCCTATAATAACTTGTACTTCATAATGTATTGATTTAAGCATAACAAAGCCTTAATTAAAAAGTGCTGAGAAAACATTCACAAGAGTTCAATCATTCTAAGATAAACTATTATATTCTGATATCCAGAATTACAATAATCTATTATCGTTCATCAATGGTTTGTCTAGAAACCTAGTGATGTTGTTTAAATTTGAGGTGATTCAACATGTGAGTTTATTATTGCCGCTCTCATTTCAATTTTTTGACTGAATTTTAGTTATTTTATATTAGAGTTCCATTAAATTTTAGTTTAGCTAATTTATAACTCGCATTGGGCACCAAAAGGCTACAAAACATGTCATCAGTAAGTTTCAATAATTATCACAATAAATAATTGAAGAAGCACTAGTCGAAATGCTTACACTTTATTGATAGCATAAACAAATTGCATCTTAGTGGCTGAATTTCAACTTATAGCTATTTTGATATTTAAAAAATATTCCTATTGGCGAAAAAGATAAAAAATGTTTCAACTATCAAAATTGGAGTGGAAAAGTTGCATGGTCTTCACAATACATACTATTATCGGAGGAGAGCATGCAGAGCAAAATTTTGGGTATTCAAATTTTGCATCACTTCCAAACTGACATGAGAGGTTTTTCATTTATCTTATATATATTGTTTAAATTATCAAATTTGGAACACAATCTTTTAGTAGCGTAAAAATTGAAATAATTTGAATAACATTTTCTTTAATATTAAATGCACTCAAGTTCATATATTGCTAAGTAATACAACTGTAAATTTCAATTTGTTAACTTAAGGTTGCTTATTAGACAGCTTTTCATTTTGAGTTTGATAAAAATTATGGATAACACAAAGTTTTTATTAAATTAAAAATTTTGAGTTCAAAATACTATTATAAAGAAAATGAAATTTAGAAAGCATAATAAATGACAAAAAAAAATATAAATTAACTAAATTAAAAAGGATGGATTAACAAGGGATTGAAAAATCTTTAATTAACATTTGATGAAATTATTTCAAATCAACAAATTGCTTACCTTTTTGTTTTAAAGTGTGTTGTTTTATAACTTCGCAAATCATCTTGTCTTTATTTGATGCTTTGGACTTTTAAGTAATGGAGAAAAAATGATGTAAGAAAACCAATTTGTAGATAGAATCAACTTAATTTTGACGATATCCCTGATTTTATAGCCTATTTTATTGCATATTTCATCGCGTAGTAAATCCCTCATAAAATAACGTTATTGCCTATTTCATCACTTCTTTCATAGCCTATTTAATCGCTTCTTCATACTTTGTTTCATTGATTATATAATCCCCTATTTAATCATATTTCATCGCCTATTTTGTCTGCTATTTAATTGGCTATTTAATCGCCCATTTTTCTCACCTATTTAATTGCCTATTTATAAGCCTTTTAATCCATCCCCTATTACTGCCCTTTATTACCAAATATTTCATCGCTCATTTAATATCTAATTTCATCACCTATCCCTACCTCTAAGAAGCGATCGTCAAATTTTATTTTTGTATAGCCTCATCATATGACTGATTTCTAAAAGAGAAAGTTGACCTACCCCATCTATATTTTATTCTTATAAATCCAAAACATAAAAAAGTAGAAACAGCATGTAGGTCAACTTCATCATCTAACATCTTCTTTGTGGTTTTCTTAAAAAATATATACAATACATTCCACATTAAAAGCGATTATTTACAAAAGATGATTTGAAAATTTTAGCAAAATGGTTTGGAGTAGTAGGATTATAGGTAAATTATTAGGATAGAGAAATAATTTAAAATAAATTAAAAATTAGGGATGAGCATCAAAAAATGGAATATGAGCTATAGTTAGAAAATGAAATTCCATTTTAAGAAGTAATAAGTTCCATCCGAATAAGTTCACTACTATAAAATTTCTATCATTAGAATTAGAATGTAGCCATATTTTTTGGATCAAAAAGTATTTATTGAATATATTCTCATGCAGAACAAGAAAAATCAGACAATATTTATTTTGAACATTGAAACAACTTGAATTGCTAATCCATACAATAAGTTTAAGATAGGTTCAAATGATCTTCAAACAAATTTTTCTGCATATTATCGCTATCCTAATTAGAAATTTAGAAAAAATTGGACACTTAGGCAGAGGAAGTAAACTCTAATATTGAAATTATGTTTTCCCTTAAGAAAAATAGATTTATTGATTTTAAAGAAACTAGTTCGGATTACCAAAATAAATTAACTAAAAATTTTAGCAAATTAAAGTAGACTGAAAAATTTTAAATAGTAAATGAAATCAGATAAAATTTTTGGATATTAGTGGTGTGGGAAAAAGGATATGTTGAATATTAAATAGTTAAAGTAGACAAAAATTCAAGATTTAATAAACACCATCTCATTTAGATAATGAAAATGAAAAACCACATTTTAAGGGGCAGAATTGGTTTAATTTTATAGAAAAGTCCATTGAAGCAAGAAACAAAATTAGAAAAATTTTATAAATAGTTGAAATGTAATTAGTTCAAATATTATCTTGTGGATATTAATAAAAAATGCAACATCCTTCTAATTTAATTGGATAAACAAATAAAAGAAAAAGAAGTTAAATATTTTTTAGGCTAAATAAATTTGAAATGGGAGTAAGATATTTATAAGATTCTAAATGAATATGATCCTTTAATAGTATGTATAGGAACATATGAGAATACTCGTTAAGTACAGGGGATTAAAAGAAAGTATCATTTTTGAGTTGTCAAATTAATGCAACTCCATAAATAGTGAAATCCTGTACCTAATGATGGAACATAGGAAAATTTTCGGAATATGATAATCTCAGAATATTGTATCATATCGCTAGAGAGAAAGTCCACAAGAACACTGTACAATTTTAACATTTAATTGAATAAGCTTGTTAGCTAGACTTTATTCATTATCAATATATACATTTATATAAAGATTATAAGGTTTTTTTATAATACAAGGCTAGTTATTCATTTCTATTGTTTATATGAACCATTCACTAATTCTGCTTGAAATTTTTAACACCATTTCGTATCTTTAGTTCTGCCAATAACATTAACAAATAACTCAAAACTATATATATATATAGAAATCCATATTATATTTAAGAACATTGAGATTATGGCTTAACAAAGTATAAATAAATGATATAAGTTTAATTTCAATTTTCAAACAAAATTTATTAAAAGATAGACTATTTGAAAAATATTTAATGTTGATGAAAAATCCATTGTTTTTAAATTTTATTAATTTCAAATCATTAATTTTTTGTGTTTGATTTTTTATTGATGATTCAAAAAAATGCTTTGTTTAAATTAGTAATTTTCTTTTCAATAAATAATGTTGGCGATACCTCCACCAATTCATTGTTTATATACCGTTCTATTTCTTCACCTATTTCATCGAATATTTAATTTTCTTTTTCATCTCCTATTCATTTCAATAAGGGTTGGCCAAGATTGTATTTTTCCTAACAGCACATGCCTTATTACTGGCGTCCTATATGCCAGCCATACGCCAACCTTTACCAAACCTATTCTTTACAAATTTGCCTCTCTTCTAAACACATATTATAATAAACTTCTTTAGCTTTATATTACTCAAAAAAGCAATATAAATTCAAAGTTATATTAAAATATAAAAGAAAATGACTCATAGCAATTAAAGTGATTTGTTTGAGGTGTTATAATCCCTAGTAGATTTAGATGATAAATAATTCAATGTAATAATTGAAATGGTCTTCAAGGAAAGAGATGAAGATTTTCAAAAATTTCTTTCAAAATATCAATATTAATTTAGTTATGATGAAAATATACTTTTAAGAGACAATTTGTAACTTTTTGATAAGTTGAGGGAACTAGAAGCTGTTAAAAGTAGCATTAGGAAAATTATGAATGTTCTCCAATAAATAATTTAGCATGACTTTAATAAAACTAACTATTCTGTGAATAATTATTAAGAAAATATAGATATTTTAATTGATAAGATATCAAATTAAGAGAAGATTATAATTTTTTTTAGATTTCTAATAAACCTCACAAGTATAGATGAAAGATTCATCTAAAGCGGATCGAATTCTATTTATTTATTAGTTATAATGTAGGTTGACTTGAAGGAATAGTCTTTTAAAAATATTAAAATCAGAAATACTTCATTGTTAAGAGCAAATTTAGTAAGATGCGACTTAAGTGGGTCTGAATTTGATAATGTAATTATTAGTGGAATGAATTTGAATGGAGCCAAATTATTTAATTGTAAGTGGAGGAATCTAAAAATAAATGAGTTGAATTAGTTAAATGGTCATAGTAAAAATATTTAATCTGTTTGCTTTTCTCCAGATGGCGATTCATTAGCCTCTTGCAGTAATGATGCTTCCATTCGTATTTGGGACGTAAGAACAGGATAATTAAAGTAAAAAATTTTAGGAGAGAAAGAGGTAAAATCAGTTTGCTTCTCAGCTTAAGGCATTATTTTAGGTTCATGTAGTGACAAATTTGTGTATATTTGGCATCTTAGGACAGGGAAACTAATGCAGAAATTATATGGACATACTAATTTTGTTAGTGCTGTCAATTTCTCTCCTGATGGTACTACATTAGTATCCGGTAGTTATGATCAGTCAATCTTTTTATGGGATGTTAAGACAGGATAATAAAAAGTCAAATTAGATGGTCATTCAAATAGGGTAATTTCAGTTTGTTTCTCTCCTGATAGTGCTGCAATAGCGTCTTGTAGTAGCGATACCTCAATCCGATTATGGGATGTTAGGACAGGATACTAAAAAGCCAAATTGGATGGCCATTCAAATTCTGTCATGTCAGTCTGTTTTTCTCCTGATGGTTTAACATTAGCATCTGGTAGTGATGATAAGTCTATCCGTTTATGGGATGTTAAGACAGGATAATAAAAAGCCAAATTAAATGGTCATTCAAATTATGTCATGTCAGTCTGTTTCTCTTCTGATGGTTCCACATTAGCATCAGGTAGTAAAGATCAGTCTATTCGTTTATGGGATGTTAAGAAAGGATTTTAAAAAGTCAAATTTGATGCTCATTAAAGTAATGTTAATTCGATCTGTTTCTCTCCTGATGGGACTACATTAGCATCTTGTAGCAGTGATAATTCTGTTCGTTTATGGGATCTTAAGACAGGATAATAATAGTTCGAATAGCAAGGTCATTCAGGTTTTGTTAATTCAGTTTGTTTTTCTCCTGATGGTGCTACATTAGCATCTGGTAGTGATGATAAGTCTATCCGTTTATGGGATGTTAAGACAGGATAATAAAAAGCTGAAATTAACTGTCATTGCTATTGTGTTAATTCAGTCTGCTTCTCTCATGATGGTACTACATTAGCATCGGGTAGTGATGATGACTCTATCTGTTTATGGGATGTTAAGACAGAAAAATAAATATTCTAATTAAATGGTCGTTAAAAATAGGTCATGTCAGTCCACCTCTCCCCTGATGGTACTAGATTAGCGTCTGGTTGTTTTAATAACTCTATCGGTCTATGGGATGTTAAGACAGGATAATTAATGTTCTAATTGGAAGGTCACTAGCATATTGTTAATTCAGTCTGTTTCTCTCCCGATAGTTCTACATTAGCAACTGGTAGTAGAGATAATTCTATTCGTTTATGGAATGTTAAGACAGGATAATAAAAGGCTTAATTAGAAGGTCATTCATGCTGGGTTAATTCAGTCTGTTTCTCCCCTGATGGTACTGCATTAGCGTCTGGTAGTTTTGATTCATCTATTCGTATATGGGATGCTTAGACAGGATAATAAATGTTCATATTAGAAGATCATGAATGTTGTGTGAATTCAGTCTGCTTCTCTCCTGATGGTACTGCATTAGCATCTGGTAGTGATGATTTTGTTATCCGTTTATGGGATATTAAGACAGGATAATAATATGGTTAATTAAAAGGTCATTCAAGTTGGGTTAATTCAGTCTGTTTCTCTCCTGATGGTACTACATTAGCGTCTGGTAGTAGAGATAAATCTATCCGTTTATGGGATTTAAAATCTCGAAAAAAAATGGTATCTTCAGATAATAGTTATTAAGATATTCAAGAATAATTTTAACCTCAAATTTTTAAAAACATCATTCTCCAAGAAAATTGTATTTATTTTTCACTATTGTTTAGTTACCTCTTTTGTTACAATTCATCTTATATAAAGTTAACAAATTTTTTAATCAAAAGGTGCTCTAATTTTGAAAGGAGAATTTAATAGCCAATCAGGGATAGACTTGAGGCCATTATTTTAATAAAGAGGAAGCTGCATTTTAGACAACCTAATTGGATAACAATAAATTTGATTATTATCACAAATAAGCATTATATATAATACAATATCATTTCAACATTACTAAAACCTACCTAAATTAACCGATATGCAAAACACATATTGTTCTATCATAAAAAGATGATTATCAAGACTTTCAAACTGAAATCAAAAATATTCAAGGAATATAGCTATAGTTTATTTCCATACAAAGATCCACTAATATCTATATACTGACAATGTTGACAAAATGATTCAATTGTTAAACATTATACACAATCAAAGTTTTCTCTTTATCTTTAGAATCAGAAAGAATCTAATTTGGCAAATTATTTAAATTTTTTACATTTATTCTAAAAAATCGAGTTATATAAAAGCATTATTTCCCTTTTCCAAAATTGCAAGCAAATTTACAATTGTAAAAAAACCTACCATCTATTCTTAAGATTTAAATTATTTGCTAGATGCCTTTAAATGAAGTAATCCTACATTTGTATCGATAATACCTTGCTTATTCCTGAAGATCTGCTTCGTTTGTAAACAGAAGAAATTATCCACTAAGTGGTTCATGAACATGCACCTAAACTAACTACTAGCTGTCTAAAGCAATATTCGAATAATTTAGTAAGAAAATGTTTAAATTGAGAAAACTTCTTACAATAATTTTTGATTTGTGCGTGAAGGAAAAGTGGGTTTAATAGTATGTAAGCACTTCTTAAGAAATTTTTTTGATAATAATAATCTTTTTCAAATTTGGTACAGAAAGTTGGAAAAATAAAAATGTGATTCATCCCATTAAAGAAAGTGAGAAAAAGAGAAAGAAGAAAAGAAACAAGCTGCCTTCTAAGATTGATTCTATCAACTGGAAAATTAAATAGCGATTCAATTTTCCAATCCAATCCAATCCAATCCAATTAGAACATCTACCAGTTTAAAAGAGTATGAGGATGAAAAAACCAAAATAAATTAATAAACAAAGGATGGATTTATATTTAACAAGTTACTTTTAGATTCTGAGGTTTCTCCAGCAATACATTTGTTTTTGCCTGTTGCGGCTTCTGAGTAGTTACCCTCAACTTTTCAATGCCTTAAGATTCTTAGATCTGTCCCAGGAGCAAATCAGCTAGGGATAATAAAAATTACTTTTGATACAAATATATGAACTGAGTTTTACCCTCTAATGGATTTTAATCCTTTTTCTACACTCCTGACTAGTTTTCATGCATCTCCTAGCAGCCATTCGTAACCAGATCATGTTATTCTTCAATAATCAGCAGCCCCAAAACACTCTCATCTACTATTCCATCAAATCATCAGAAGTAATAATATAAAACTTGTTTGAGAACTTCGCCAATAACAAGTGCACGAAAGATTGAGCTAAAATAGATATACACCATCCATCTTTTATAAATTAGGATCAGATTACTGAGACAAGATGTATTTTAATATTTCAAAGAGATTAATTATTGGAGAATTTAAAATGCGGTTAAAGTTATTGAGAATGATCTAATTAAAGACTTATTAGGGTTAAGCAGCAAAATCACCATGTATTTCTTCTTTAAGGTCATTATTTTGAATAAGATTTATTGAGAAACCAAATATCGTAATATCAAATAATTATATTCAATCATAGAATCAAGATATTTTACGCTTGGTCTATAAAGATAGAATGAATAATATATTCAATATCACATGGTATTTGTAGAAAAGAACAATTTTTTTAGCACTTTTATTTGAGATTAAATGTATTTTTCACATATTATTAGATTTTAAGTCTTCTTCTAATTTCTTATTTGAATATCAAATTTATAAAAATTGGATGTTAATTTTTGAAGAAAAAACAATATTTTATGTTAATATAATTGTAAACGGGATAGGATACTTATCTTCTAATGGTTTTATGTTCATCTACAACAAAATTGAATTCTATTCATTTCAATTAATGCTTCATAAAGGTGAAATTGCAATTTTGATTATTAAATCGGACAATATTTTGCATTTATATTCTTATTGCTTTGCCATCATGGTGAACTCTGTCGTTTGGCTTTTTATTTTATAAAGAGTCCAATTCAGAGATCAAGTAATTTCAAGTTATTATTGCTTTTCTCATTAGCCTATATTGTCTACTTGAAAGAGAGATGATTTAATCAATTTTATGATAAAAATCAAACAAATCTTCCTAAAGCAAGGTGAAAAAATATATGAAAGATAATACAAGTCAAAAATTAAAACAACTTTAAGGTTCATTAAAGATTTAGTAGAATTTGAAATTTAGTGAGCATTGCTATAAAGTATCTGTTAGATTGGATTAGTCATTTGTATTTATCTAACCCATTTATATCCCACAAATTTGTTAACCATTATACCTATGCATCTATTTTAAAATAAGATTTTGCTCTTATTATTATCAAATTCATTTTTACTATAAGGGAATATGATTATCCAAGTTTACATACTTTTACATTCAGTTCTATAATTTATTTTGAGTATTTTCACTAAAAGCATTAAGCCATTATTTATTTTAATGTTAAAGCAATGATGCTTGCAAATTTTAAACATATTTTGACTAAAGTCAGTTATTAACTTGTTTTTATATTAAGATAAAAAACTAACCTTAACTTGTTTTTTTCAATGGTAGATCTCCTATTTTTCTGTAATTTTAAGATAAATACTGTTTTTAATATAGGTCTCTAGAGAAATACCTAAAGCTAATTATATATTTATTCTTTTTAATAATTAATAAAAGATAGAATTTTTTATTACCGATTAATATTAGAGTTTTCTTACATTCTTTAGTAACCTTAGACTGATTATATTGATTATATAAATTTATCTGCTTAGTATAGCTTTCAAAAAAATAATTATACATTCATATTAAATTGATGACAGGATACCTAATCAGAAAAACCAGAAGTTGCTATGTATGCATTATTGGATTAACGGTTGATTCTCTTTTCAATAATTTTTTTAAGTTTATCTACTTAACCTGCTTACTAGAATTCAAATCCAACTTTATGAAACTGATATTTAGTATTATAGCGATCTCTTTCTAACTTTCTACATTCAATAGCATTTTAGAACATTATAAATAACAAATTAATCTAATATGCCTAACTATACTATTTCTAACTCCATAGTTCCCTTCTCTATGTCAAAATATAATTATAAATATTGAAGTAAATCAACTTTTAATAGAAATTGTAAGATATTAGTTTAACAGATACCTTATAAGGTGAAATAAAAATTGCTTAAAATTAATAATTATTAAAGAAAAATCTTACAGCTCAGATTTAGATTTTGTGCAAATCCACAAGCACTTCCTTAAATTTTACTTGCATAAAATGGATATCTCCCATATTATCACAGATTATCCTTTAACATTTCCCAGTTACAAAAGCACTTATATTGGTTCAAATAGTAAGACTAAAGAAATCCCTGTTCATTCAGATACACCATTAATAATATCAATTTTGAAAGATATAATTATTCGATTATTATGTTCCTTTTAATAAATCAACCACTAAATATTTATTTTCTCAGTAAGTTGGTGTTTTCTTACCATTTGATTCTTTGAGTGTTGTAGGTGTTTTGTTATTGGAAGAATCAATAAGAAAGGGCTTAAGTTAAGATTTTATGGAATGGTATTCTTGATTCAAATTAAGAAACAGATCTTGGCTATTATATTTATTAAGGCATGATTTAAGTTTATAGTAAGCCTAACAAGTGAATTACTAAAAACATCTAACTGTTTAAACAAGGTATAGTTTTGAAATCCTTAGGCTTAATTACGTTTTTTGGTTCATTATAAAGTAATTCCGAGTCAGACGATTACAAAACATTAAGAGAATTATGAAATTAATATAAATAAAAGAAAAATGCAAATTTAAAGTATCAAATTTTATTTTTATTATTAAATAAATAACTTGCTTTATGAATTTTATTATTCAATATAATTTAATTATTTTGATTAATAAGTTTCATTAATTCTTATAAATTAATTACTCTTTTAAATTATAATTTCAAATACCTAAAAAGAAATTCAGAATAATGTTCAAATAATATCGAGAAATTTTACTAACTATTAATTAATTCTACTGGTACCTTAATCTCGTAATAGGGAAGGATTCTCTTTCGAGGTTGTCATCAATGCTTTTACAACTCTGGACTTTTATGAATGAATATGAAGACATCTAAGAAGATTAGATTAAAAAAAAATAGAAGATATTTATTCCATTTCATTTATTTAATTATAATTATTGTAACCAAAGTTATTATTGTTAAACGATTTAATTAAATATATTTAAATATAGCCTTTTTAAAAAGAATATTAGATTAATTCAGCTGAATTTTAACTTAAAAATCAATTAAAGATATTGTTTTTATTCTTTTAAACAAGCTATAAAACTGTATTCTTTACATAAATAGTTATCATGGATAAGTGTGGTTTTTCATCTATTTTTAGATTATTCTTGCAAACTGAGATAAGAAAAGTAAAGATAACACAGATGATCATTTCGTTTCTGTTGATTCCATATGAAGATTGCTTAATAGACTTTGAAGCTGACCATATATATATGATTTTCAGTTTTTGGATTAGGTTTTAAATAGGTGTGGGTATCCAACTTAGAAAATTAAGGATATTAAACCATAGTGACCAAGATCATTACAAATTAAAGTTCAAATTGGTCCTTTGAAATTTTGAATAACATAGAGAAGAATTCAAGATTTTTAAATATGAATTTATTTTAGAAATTAAAATCGAGTTTTCACATTTGCACAATGACCGCTTTCATTTTGATTGTAAATTAAACAAATTGATTTAAATATTATGTTAAAAGGCAATTTAAAACATACTTAGTTTGAGGAATTCTTGTAAAAAAATGAATGATATCTATAATTTTGTGGATACAGAGACTTTATTTAGAGACTTGCTGTTTCTTATGTTAAGTTTTAGAGTGAATGTAATCTCCTTGGTACATGATATTAAATATGCTAAACTAAATCCTATTGAAATTAAATCAATTCATATGGGGTCCTAGTATAATTGTAAAATTAAAAGGCCTATTTCCATTTCTCTAGTAATTTTAAGAGTTTGCTTCTTCATAACCTTGTCTGAAAGCTTTTCAGTTATTCATCTCATCGAATTTATTATTTTAATGAATTTTTGATATTCATATATATCATTCCTGATAATGCACTCAAATTAATTATTTATTATATTTTAAATGTAACACATAAATGGGGAAGAAGTTGAAATAAATGTCACTTATGGATGAGCTGTTGCTTTTAATCTTGATGGCTATTTCAAAACTCTAGAATGTAAAAGCACGGAGATGAAAGAGTTCATATTTAATTTAAGAAAGGATTGTAAAATAAATAATAAATTTACCAACATTAATTGTTTAAATTCAATTAAATAGAAGAATTTGCTTAATAAGATTTACGATTATCTCCTACATTAAAGTGATAAATTTTTTCCTAACTTTATTGAGGAATTATGTATTTATTTGAAAAATTTGCTTCCTAATGGTCTATTCTTCAAGAAAAAAAGGGTTTTCATTTAATATATTATGAATGAAAAATTATGAAATTTAATATGTTGGTTATTCAGTATCAAGAAACACAAAATTTGAAATTATCCTTATTCAAGAAATCAGCAGTTATAAAAAAAGATCTCTATGTCTGTGACATGTGTTTCAGAAAAGTTGATATAACTAAGAATTCAAAAAGCAAAAAATTAATTAATGAACAAATAGCTGCAAATTTATTCTGTTGTAGGGACATTCTAACCAAAAATACACAAACATATATTATAATTATGGTAAACATCAAAAACAAATATTCCAAAATAAGAATTTCTCGATACTACTTTTTACTGAGACTATTTTTTAAGTTCATAAACTTCATTGAATGATTTATGTATACTTGTGACGCATAGTGGTGTGGTTCCAAAGGTCATCCCTAGAAGTTTAGCTTCTAAGGCAGTAACTTAAGATGTAGACTGAATTGTATTATGGGATGTTCAAAAATTATGAACAATTAAATTACTTCAAGTAATTAAGTGCCTGAAACAAGTAGAGTAAATTTAACTACACTACTAACAATGATCGGAGACTTGTATTATGTGAAAGAGACTGGAAAATACTAAGAAAACATCAGAGATTTGGTAAAAACACTTTTTGGTTGCATACAATCATTATTCAAGTTACTAAGCATATTTATAATATAAAATGTCAACACCTGCGTCACAACAATAATGTTGCTCTATTCAGTTAAAAATAGAAGTATAAATCTAACACATGTATTCCAACTGAAATCGAATTCATCACCACAAGTAGAGTAATACTCAATTCTAGAAATGGTTTTATTGGTATAATGCTGTTTAACCAGTGCTAATTGTTTATCAGCATTTGTACATTCAACTTATTTAATAAAAGCGATATTCAGATGAATTTTTAATCCGCAGCATTAAAGAGCGATCTCAATATACAATAAATGCAAGGGAGGAAAATAAAAATAATCATTTCTTTGAAACTGTGTATTAGATTTCCCGCAGGATAGTTAAAAGCTAATGATCAAAATATATCAGTACAGCCTTAATCATATGGCGTGCTAATGGCTGGATTGAAGGAGCACTTTCGAATGTTTATAAAAGATTAGATTATCAAACTTAAGGGCAAGTCCTAATTTTTACAAAAATGTTGAGGGTGGATTATTAATGCATCATTGCAAGCGAAATATTTTCGATCGCCATGCTGTGGTTGAAAAAGTGATTTTACAATTCCAAAAATTAAATTGATCATATCTAGGCAAAACTTATAAGTAATTTTATTATTCTCTGTATAATTTAAGGATCTCTTGTGGATAGATAGGCTGGACTTTTTTGATCCTTGTATATATGTAAGAGAAATTATTATTGATTAAACTGAACAATTAGCTTTAATCAATAAAATTTACAATAAAAATAAAGTTAGGATGTTTCAAGAGATAATTTGTAAAAGTCACAATTTGGAATTTATTGCTGTTGATTTGGATATGTCAGATAAATCATAGATTAAGATGTTTTGTAGTCAATTTTTAGTTGATAAATTAAATAACAAATAAATAACAACTTATGAATAATCGAAAGAAAGAATCTAGTAATTGAAGACTTAATAATAATAAATAAAGATTAAAGAGAATCAAGGAAGACTGAATTATTATAACAATATTTTAAATTAAATAGTAGATTTTAAACGATCTATAGATGATTCTTTAGAAAAGATGTACAAGTAAATATGGTAGAATATATTCCAAATCTAAAATGACAAAAAAGAATTACAAGAAAATTAATAATAATTTAATTATTTTGAAGATATCAAATAATTGTCAGAATTATCTTCTTCAGATAGATATAAATCAACTAAATTAATTGAGGATAATACCTTTATTGATGATTTAACAAGATAGTTTGAATAATTGTTTAATAATGATGAATATTTTTAGACTTTAGACACATTCAAGAATACAAAACAAATAATCCAATATGTAATGAATAATAATGTTATTAAAGTGTAACCTTTATTAAAGATACAAAATGAATTAGTAATCTTCATTAGAAAACACCATGTATAAGTAGAATATGTGTGAATCATAAAAAGGAGGTAATTATGATTGATATGGATTCTTAAAAGAAGAAAATTGAAGATAGATTTGTTTGTGTTGATTGTGTATTTGAAAATCCATTGATTAAATAATAAACAATAGAGAATGTTAATAAATTATGGATAGATTATAGTTCAGGGGATTAGCTTTAATTGATAGAAATCAATAATACTTTAGAAATCGAAAACAATTTTATAAATCAATTAGTAGAATCTAATCTATTTAACCAAATTTCCATGTACTCGGATGAAAAACAGTAGGAATAATAAAAAGAACTAAAGTAATAATAAAATAGGAGTATTTCTATTTTAATTTTATAGATTAAAATGAAATCGAGGAGCTAAATGCCAAATTCTCATCATAGGAATAAGAAAACTAAAATTTCATTGAGCTATTTAACTAGAACACTTAAGAAATAACAAATCTGAAGAAATAAAATGAAGAGGACAAATTACGGATTATTAAGACTTTAGAGGATCAAAGTATTTGTTTTTCTAATTATACATAGAAAATAAATAAATTGAAGAAATGACTAAAGGATTCAATCAATAAGAATCAGAATACCAACTAGTTTAAAGACAACTTTTATAAATTAATCAAGAAAAGTTGGAAATAGAAAAATAATCTAAATTAGAATTTGAAATAGTATTCTATTACAATATTTTATTACTCATAGATCAAACAAAATCCTAAAACTTTATTATTTTCTAATACTTATATGGGTGCAAGTTGTTAACTAAGTGAAGGTGGAAAAGTTGTTGACAATAAGAGAGGTAGTTGGGTAAATTGACTTTGTGAATAAGCAATTCCAAAGAATGGTAAAACATTGTTTGCATTCTAAATTCAGTGGAACATACTTTGAAGTTGGAATAGGATCAAAGATTTTATATAAAAATATAATTATACAAATGCAGGAGCTGGGTACGGGTGCGGGTATTAAATTAAAATATAATAGATCATATTAGATACAAAATAATGGTAATACTTACTCTCATCATAACAAAGATGTTAATAATCAATAATTATCATTCACTTTTTCAACCAACGAGGTAATAATAATTGAAGTAAGTATTGAAAATAAGTACATCAAATGGACTAAACAGAATAATCCATTAGCAACTATTGTAACTATTAAACTATTTTTAGTAGCTAGAAATAGATACATCTATCTATTAAGATATCTACCCGTGTGTTTACATTTTATTATCCAAAATCAAATTATTGGATAATATTCCAAATTGATATTGGAGAATATAATATCAATTATACATCATTATTTTATTTAAACATCATTTAAAAAATAGATAAAAAGCAAAAGTTGCGAAAAGAGATTTTCTTCATTCTTTCACTCAAGATTTTTTATGGACTAAAATACTAAATTATTACTTGGAGCCTGAATCAATTTTACGCGTTGGAAACTTGAAAATAAAAACGATTGTGACAGCCTAATATAAAAAATAAATTTGATTATATATCTGGTGTGCTTGAAGTCTATTAGTACTAGAAATCAGAATTGCTTATGATTATAAAATATCTGAATTTTAAACTTGATTGATATTATGCACGGTTCAGTTAAGCCTAGATTTCTACTAGTTTATTTTAAACTTTCTTTTCTTAAACAGTTAACATTTCCATGAAATATTATATTTTTAAATTATAGGCTCAAAAATGGCAATACAACGCATTCTAAATAAACTTTTTGATTAAATATTACGATCCTTTTAGAATTTATTAACTTAATTATGACAGATCTAATTTGGCTTCAGTATTCTAAATTAACTGCTTTTAATAAAAATTATGAGAATCTTCAAATGATAAGGTAAAGTAAGATATAGGTAGTAAAGATTGCAGCCAATTTTATAAAGTTTAGAATATAGAAAGGTTTTCATTTCATTACAGAATGAACTCCATATGATATTTGCTAATATTAGAATTTATTTAAATTTGATCAATTTAATTCTCTTTAGTAGCATTTGAAATAAAGTCATTTGTGCTTATTTTATATTTATAATTTAATATAATTATCAATCTATTTATCTATATTAAAAATATGTAAATTCCAATTCTAGAAAGTATATTCTTAAAAAAAAAATTTTCTTCTGTGATATTTTTTGATCGATTACTGTACATAAACCATAAATTTTCAGTAATAAACTTGTGCTCAATTCCTTTATGAGGACACTCATAAATTAAAATAGCATAAATATTATTTTAGGTCTTATTATATTACTGGCAGCTGAAAATATTAGAGCAGAAAATATTACTCAGTAGTCAATTACTCCAACTATGATGAATTATAAATACTGGAACAAAATACCATACTACTCCTACCTTATATAAATCATTAGCTGCTTTCAGTATAATTATTGCTTTTTTATATTTTTTTAGCTAAATAGATTCTTAAAATAGGTCCTATTCTTCCAACAATCATAATCGCTTAATCAACAATTTTAAATTTGAATAATATCCCTATACCTCTCAAAAGTTGCCTAAAGTTGTGAAATAATAAGTTCCCTCAACCCTTCTATGAGCAAGTTATTTAAAAAAACCATTCTCAACCTTCACATCCTACTGCTAATCTAGTCAAAACTAGAACTATAAATAATAAATGCGGTTCCAGCACAAACCAAAATATAGTACTCTGTATTTTAACTATCACCGAAATAAGTATTTTCTCGCCAAATCTTTATATCCTGGATCTTCAAACTCAGTAGGGACACACTAAATAAGAAACTATATTGTGGAATAAGGTGCTGGCTTTGCAGAACATTGATAGCAGAAAGTTCTAAACTGACTTTACTTTTCCCAGGAAAACTAGAAACACAATAACATTGATAAATCAACATTTGGATAGTCTTTGGAAACAAAATTTCCACATTATCGTAACTACTATAATTATTGTTTTTAATATACACAATCCTAGAGCTTATATATATGATTCTTGACTTTCTACCAAGCAAAGATGTTTTACAAAGCCAATATGCAATTTGCGTAGTTTACATTCAATCTCAATTAGTTGAATTTAATAGAAGCTGAAATAAGCATAACTTAGAAGGAAAACGACTTTGCTGATTTTTCGAGTGAACATAAATTATGTAAGGACAACAGACAAAAACATATGGCATTAAGTCCCATAAGTGTGTTATCAGTCATCTCTTTGAATTCATTGTCAAGATATCTACCAAAATAGATTATGATTGATTCTTATAAAATGGATATCTATAATTTGTTGTGAGCAATGAATTCACTTTCTGTGATTAGATACAGTAATAATTTTCTAATAGGTTACAGAACAGATCCAGATTCTTCAGAAGGCACGTCTGAAGCAGAAGACTCTTCAACAATTGTATGCCATCAGATTTATTGGAATTATTATTGCTCAGAATTAATAAATAATAATTATCAGGAACGATAAATTAATCATTTCCTGCTTACCCACTAGCAAATTATAAAATTATACTTTGACTGATTTAAATACTTTTAATAGAGGCATTTTTTGAGTGACGAAACACTCATCTATAAAAGCGGGATAGTTTTCTCTTGAACTCAGAATGGTAAGTTTTTGATGTGTGGTGTAAAAATGCTTTATTATATAAATTCTACTCAATTAGTTTATATTTTAGATTTAACTTACCAACTTAAGAGGTTATTAAAGCACACTAAATAAATAATCATTATTGTAGAACTATTGATATCGCGTTTGAATTTTCGAAAAAATTGTTGAACAGTTCTAAAGAGCAAATATATTATCAAATTATCCTGACACTTTTCTTAAATTACCACTAATATGAAAGATTAAATAATTTTAATAGAGTCAAAGAGATAATTAGATTACTCAATCTATTGCTGGATGAAAGTATTTTCGAAAATTCTCTTTTCAGTTAACAAAGTAAAATCTTTGTTTAACATAAATATCTTTTTAAATAAAGCATGAGATGAAAAGGATAAAGCACATAGAAAGACAACAATTGAGGAGAAACGATAGGTATATTATTATTTTTATGAAGAACATAATTCTATTTATTTATCTCTCTCAATTAAAGACCTATTCGAAATTGAATATTTATGCCTAAATTTTCCTACTTAAATTGTGCTTTCAACTTTATTTTTGGTATTTCATTATTTAATTTTTTGGAACTGCTTTATTTGTACCTTCAGAATCTACTATTATTGTTGTACTTGTTGTTATAATGTAAATATATTTCTCTCTGGAATTGATTTCTTTAAATAAACAACCAAGTTTGCTTTCTTAATAAGAAATCAAATATTGAATTTTTTTTCTATAACTGTTATTTAATTTAATTTTAATAGAATACTTAAATAAGTAGATTAACTTATATTCAAGGAAAGCCAAAACGATTATGGGGGAATTGTCTATATTTACGAAACTTTATGGTTAATTTTTAATATGAATTTGAATATAACATCTATTGAGAAGTAAATCCCAAGATGGCTTGGGTTCGCTTTTATTGTAATTTAAATAAGAACCACCCTATATCTAAAATTTTGAAGAGCTTTTAGAAATCATTTTAATAATACTAGCTTTATGCTCTCTACTCCTTATTTGATTAGTTTTTCATTTATCTATATTAGTAGTAAATAATATATTAGACTGTGTAAACTTTTTCAGTGAAATCAAAAGACTTATTTCTTTAAGATATTGTAATTTAGAATTGAATTAATGATTGCCTTTCGTGTAGTTCTCCTATTATGGCTTCAATCTTCAATTTTAATCTCATTATTTCTAATATTAAACAGGAATCCAACTGATAATTATCCTTGGCATTGATTATTTAAGAGAATGATATCTCAATCTAATATATAATAAATGATTGGGGAAGAATTTCAACATCATTTCAGAAAAGATTCATGTTAGCAAAACATAAATTTAAATTTCAAATTATTTCAGAAATTCCAAAATAATATATCGAAGATCCTAAAACATGATTTTCAGTTAAAACATTTTTAATTTCATAATAAATAATTTACGGCTTTTATTACTTTAAAATAGGAAAACTTCTAGAGATTCATTTTGAATAAGAAACCAAGTCTTTACTGATTTTAGACTATTTTCTATAAATTTAACTAAAGGCTATAGATTTTCAAGTAAATATTTTTTATTAATGAAAAATATTTTGCATTGAAAATTATAGATGTTCATTTAAACAGTTAATTTAATATCTCTACTTTAGATGGACCACATAAGTGTACACAAGGATATAAATCTTTGGATGTATCAATAGTAAGAGTCTAATTTTAAATAGAAATTGATACGAATGATTCATTTGTGGATTACTTTGTCCATTTCACATACTTCTTTTCAATATCAACTTCAACTATTATTATATCATTTGTAGAAAATGTAAATGCTATATGTTCCCATTCTTATCGTATTAATCATGATTATAACATTAAGCATTGAAATATATATTATATGTTCTATTTGTATTAATATCATAAATATACCCTCTTCCAATAGAATGGCGATCTTAATAGCATTACTCTACACGATATCCCTAAAACCAATTCCAATCATAATAGCATTAATTTGAATAATTTAAACAGCAAATTAGATCACACCATTCTTAGGAATCATTTAATCATACATATAACATTACCAAACGTGTGTACTTGTCTCAATAAGTTTTCCATTTTAAGTTACTGAAAAGTGATTATGTTTATAAGTTGTTGAGAATGTCAGTGATTAAGAGAATTACTACACCTACTTTAAATAATATTCTACTAATACCAAAGAATTTTACAATTATTGAATGATTTTTTCATTGTTCTAAATTATTTCTTAGCCTTTTTGCAATTCTATTTGCCTTTACTTAATTAAATCTTCACATTACATTTCTATGATAAAATGAGTATATTTTACTTTATTATTCAAATTCACTTACTTTTATTTATAAATTCTCGTTTTCTTTCTTCAAATCATTAATTATTGTAATTTATTCAGAATCATTTATCTTTAAACCATTTATTAATTATTGCTTTTCTGAATTCAATTTATCCTTTTCAATAAGTTTATTTTAAAGTAATTCTGTATTTTCTTTATATAATTTCAATTAAGATGTAATTTAATCAAACTCAATTAATTTTTGTATTAGAGAGAAATCCTTTTGAATTTTTGATACATATTGATTAAACTTATTAATCTTAATAATATTATACTTGTTACAATTTCACATATTGAATTCATTAGATAAACTACTAATTGTTTGAATAATGAAACCATATTAATTTAATCCATCATTTAAAATATCTTAATATATTTTACAATTTTATATTTGTAAATTTAGTTATTTGATTTATTAGAGATTTTAAATAGAATTCTTATCATCTATTAAATTTTCATTTGTCAAATCCCTTACATTTGATGTATTAAAGCTTGATTCTTTGAAAATCTTATTAATCTTTTCAGTCGCTACTAAATCATTTTATATCAATTTTCCAAAATTAGTTGATATCAGTTCTAATTAATTAAGATCTTCTTTCTAAGTATTAAATTGTTTTTCAATTAAAACTTAATAANTGAAATCTTATAAATACCTCGGAATAAATATATTGAACAATGGAAAAATAAGTCTATAGCTTGATAAAGTAGAATAAACTCTAAAATTTTTAAGTGGAAAGTTGCTATGGGTTTCTTAAAAACTTAATTGGAAGCAGAAATATTAATTATTCTAAACTTTTCTCCTTCCACACATACTCTATATTTGTCCTTCAATCCCAACCTAGAAATACAAAAACATATTTCAACGCTTATAAAAATTATATAAATCTAGCTTTAAAAAGGTTTGTGGATTTCCTAAATGCTTACCTAACGAATTTTTAGATTTGATATTACCCCCTCTAGAACTTCTTATAGCAAAGCATACAAATAAGGTTATCAGTAGGATGAACAACGGAAACTTTGGTTAAACTACTTTTATCAATAATTACTTTAACGAGATAGAAGAAATGAATTAAAATTCAATATACAAATTTCTCCCCAATAATTTTAATTAGCTGTTCTACCTGTACCCTAAAATCTGTAGGACCCACTAATGTAATCTTTCATACCGCCATATAATAAATTTCCATTCCAATTTCCATATTTCAGAGTTTTTAATAAATCTAAGAGGCATCTTCAATAATAATTAGTAAATACAATAACCAAAAAACTAATGTAATAGATTGGAAAAAATAATTGCAAAGCTTTTAACTGAATGATTGAGTTATTTTTATGTTAAATAGAATAATAATAATAATAATACATGTTTATTCATACAAATCCTTTGTACCATAATTAAATATCCAAATCGAACTCTCATCATTAATTAAATTAATGAACATTCTGGCTATCAAACCAATAGTATTGCAAGATTCTGGTTGACAAGACAATAGTATTAGAAGATTCTGGCTAAAAAACTTATACTATGCTCTAATCAATAGTCCAAATCTACTATTTTTCATTACTAAACATAGCTATATTTGAAACTAAACACTTTAGCTATATGGCTTCTCAACTCTTTATATGATAATAAATTACCTATAGTATATAATTTCTAAATGTAGTTATTTCAAACATTCTCTCCCTTTTGATAGCTTAAATTTCTAAATATTCAATAAAATAATTCTTTCTTCAGTTATTCATTCTAGGTAATAAATGTACAAAAACCTATTTGGCTTTGTTTTTGTTCAAGGTATTTTTCAATAATTAGACATTTTTTCGTTTATGTGAAGAAAATTGTGATATTCTAATTTTGAAACGGTATTGAGTTTGTAATAAATAAAAAGTAATATTATCTATGTTTAGGTATCAACGAATCGATTTAATAATATAATAGTGAAAATAGTGAGGAAATATAAGAGGAACACATGAGAGCATAAACTCTTTTATTTTTATAAGTTAAAATTGGGGAATAATTTGTTAAATAACAATACACTTGATTAATAAGGAGTATTGTGAAGAAGTTGCCCCAGATCTTAGTTTTTACCTTAAATTAGAAATTTATTGTGACTTAAGTTATTACTATGAAAATAAAATTAATGGAATATGTCCTTACATTAAATACTCACTTTATATTGCCTTAAATTTGATAAAGTATTATGAAGATTAAATAATACTCTATCTGTAAAATGATCAATTTTCTAGTAAAGGAGGGCTGTAAAATATATATATAGTATCTTTATAATATGCATAATTATTTGGCTTAACTAATATATAAATTTATTTATAATCAAAATGACTATTTGAAAATCCAATCTAGTTAATGTCCAATTATTGTGATTTGAAGGAAAAAAACCCTATTTCGTTCCTTGTATATTTTTTGGTTTCACCATTAATCCAAATTATTTTTTTATTTTGAAAATATATAAATAATTTAAACTATATTATACTAATACTTACTAGATATTTTGTCTATAAAACTGATAAAAACTTTGTTAAGCTAATCGAAATTTTATAAATATGCTCTATAATATATAGTATTCTTGTTAACTTGTGATGCAAGCACATTATACATGAGCTATTTACTTTTAGTTCCACACTTATTTACAAAACAGATACAAATAAAACTGAAATTATTTCCCCTATTATATTCTTTCCAGAATCTTTAATATATAAAAACTTAATTGGAAGAAATTAAATCTCATTTAACTAATTCTCGAATTTCAGGAAACGTTAACTGAAAATAAATAATACTTATTTGTTGATTCTAGTAGGAGTAAGGTTTTTTTATAGTGTAAAATTTGAATGTCTTATGTGAGATGGAGCCTATGGAGGTATTTGGATATTTGATATCCCCAATTTAACTTAAGAGTTTTATATTTATTCAGAATTTTGCTCAATACTTTAATCTTATCCAAAATTTGTTTAACAATCTTTATAAAGTAATGAAATCCCAAAAACATATATTGTAGTTTTATCCATTACTATTTGGTTAGTTATCTAAATGGGAATGTTTGATTGAGATTTAATAATTACTATAATAAATATTATATATAAATATCAATGGTTTCGCTTTTTTTATGGACATTGATCTGCGACTCCAATTTTAACCATCTTAATGTTAGACAATAAGACCTGATAGGTACCATCAGGCTAAGGATCAAAAGAATAGATATTAAAGTCTGCAGAGGCAGGGTAATAATTGTCTTTATTGAATTCCAAACTCATTTCATTTTATATTTAACTATATTTATAATGGATAATACCTTTTTAAAACTTAATACTTGATAACAAAGAGACCATTTTTGTCACTCTTCGTTTCAGTTTTTAAATCATTGTAAGCAATTCCATTCCATTATTTAAGTTTAATATTTACTCCTTCCAATCCCCTCCATACTAATCCACCATCACAATCAAATTCTGCCATCACTACACCACTTATCGAAGAGTATTGATAATATTTATTGAGTTACCCTTTGAATCCCGGAGTTACTTCAGCCTAAGTTGATATCTTTACAGTTCCACTGTCTGGAGTAATATAGAACTTATGAGATGTTTATTTAAATTTTGCTGTTTCTTGAGTAATCACTAAACATTAGACTTTCGAGTTCGAATTCATCAACATATCCCACTTTATTTAATACTTACCAGCATTGTCAGTATTAGTTCTGATATCTATTGGTCTATTGTCTTATCCAAAACCATCACATTGCATAGACACTGGTATATTAGAAGGGGCTATTCCTCCTTCAGAAGTAAGTTCACCATCTACTTGAAATGGTAGATAATCATCATAAAATTATTTTGGAAAGATCAATTAAGATTTTTCATCATTAGTTTAAAATGGCAATGTAATCTTATGTATTTATCCAGTTACATCTGAAAACTATTCAGTTAATTGATATTTGACTCCAAATTAGAGTTGATCATCTAGTAATTACCACTTACCATCAGATCCAGTCTTAGCTTCATATTCTTTGGTAACTGGATCTGAAATCAACTTAATTGATATTCCTGGCTTTCCTTTTCCTTTTGGATCAATGATTTCTCCTCCAACAGTTAATTTAGTATTAACCGGAGTCAATTCTTACTTTACCTTAATCGGAGGTACTTAGATTTAAGGTCCATTACATTAAAATGAGATTTTATCTGTTTTAGTATCTATATATTTGTCGGCTGAAACATCTAAAATAAAGGATCCCTCAGTGTTTTTGTAACAAGGTATATCTAGATTAAATTTCCCATTTGCATCAGTTTTTCCAGTTATTTTATTTTTCTCTGTTCCTTTAACAACGGGTTATAAGGATTCTACTGTTAATGTGGATACAGGAGATGGCTTTCCTTAGGGATCAGTCAAAGTAGATGATACAGTGGCCTTTAAGATAATTCTATCTAAAGCAGCATCTTGAGTTACAGTTTAATCTTTATTTGTTGATATTGCAATGCTAGGCGATTTAAAGGGAGTGAAATCTGAATGAGTGATTTAAATGACAGCCTGATAGGATTAATCGAAGACAGCGTTAAACGTTAAGGAATATTTTCCATTCTGGTCAGACTTAGTTTTAAGATTAGAAGCTAATGGATCTGATGGATTTAAGACTACTTCAATATCTGCACCTTAAACATTCATAGTAATTCCACTTTTATCCGTTAATACTCCAGAGAAGGTTATTTGTGCTGTTTTGGTGATTATCTATATAGGTTTAAGTTTGACATCTTTTTCGCCACAAGTAAAGACTTGAGGAGCCAAAGGTGATTTCGGAAAGGCATCTGAAACCATATCCAATTTTAAAGTGGTAAATACTTGATTATAACACTAAAATGGAATAGAAAACTCCCCTTTATTGGCTTATGAAAATTTATTATAAAATTAAGCGTTCTACATTTGTGGGATTGAACTTAAGATTTCGACTTTTGCATTTTCAACTGCTTTATTTTTGGAATCAATCAAGGATCCACTTATTGTACAATCAACTATCACTCTCTTTAAAGTAATATCTAGAGTCATGGATTGTTTTTCTTCTTTGCCAATTAACTGTATATTATTATTTGCAATCTGAAATTGTGGTTGCCCATCAGCAGTTATGGTTCCATCATAATTAATACCTCTTAGAAGCTCAAATGAAAATATAAATGTTCCATCATTAGAACTCTTGATTTTTATTTATTAATTAGTGAGTGGATCTTATTATTTTAAGTTAAAACTCATTTGTATTCCAATTAATTTCTCTTCAATCTTAGTTTCATCAATCAATTTACCATTTATCGTAAATAATGTTGCTAAGAATTTACTCTTTATAGTGAATCCATTAACTTCGAAGTTAGGAGGAATCAATTCAACTTTATATCCATTATCTTATATCACATCTTTAGGTTTAATTAGACAAATAATTTTATCATCATGCTTTGCTAATACTTAAAATGTTATATCCACATTTCCATTTTTATCTGTTGTAAAATCCTTATTAATTGGGCCTTTTGAATCCTAAAATCCCTAACAATTCAAATTAAGAGTCACTGGTTATGATAATGAACCTTTCTCCAAATCGATTTTCCCTTTGATCTTAGCATCTACCAAATCAATATAATTAATATCTTATACTGACACCTTTTGATTATCACTTTAAACTTAGAATTTCTATTCTATTTTCTAATTTTATTTATTAATATCTTAATATGAGATATTGGCTTTGTATTCTGTAATTGGAAATAGCTTATGAACTGTTGCTGTCCAGGTACCATCACTTTAAGTTTTTGTTGTTAATGTTTCACTTACTGGTTCTGTTGTGATGGTAAGTGGTAAATTAGCAACTGGTTTTCCATGAGGATCTATAACCTTTCCTGCCAAAATGGCTTTGATTTCTATTTTCTACAAGGTCAATGTTATAGGGTTTAATTCTATTTAAGGTTAGTCACATTTAAATTTAGAACTCTTCACTTTTTATTCTTCATATTAAGGTATATCTATTTAAAAAGAAACAATGTATTCTATATCTTTGTAACATTCAAAATTTATAAAAAAGGATCCCTTATCATCATCATTTGTTGCTATATTATAATATTTTGAATCCTTCATCAAGGGTTCTGATGAAGTCAATTTAATGATAGCATTAGGTATTGGCTTCTTATCACTATTGGATAATGTAGAATGTAATTTTGTTACCATAGTTATTCTATCTAATTCTAAGTTTTCAGTCAAAGTAATAGATTAAAGACATTTCTCTTCAATTAGCTTATTCTCTGTTTAAAATAAAGGATTGGAAGCCTAAATTAAAAATTTTAAAGTAAATGCTTGAACTGCTTTAAAACTAAATGAGTATGAACCATCTTTTCCAGTTTTAGTGCTTAATTTTGATTGAGTTTATGCATTTTGATTATGTCTTTTATAAAATAAATACTATTCCAATAAATGTTTACTTTAAACATATACATCTTAGGGTGTAATTATTAAGATTACATCCGTGTTCTCTAATGCAGTCATTGCTTTTGTTTTATCACTCACTATCCCTTTTATTGTAATATCTACAGTATTATAAGTAACAGGTATATTAGTACTTGATGACCAGCTTGGTGCTTTTACTTCAACATTAATTTTTATAGGTTAAACACTAGAAACAGTATTAGTTGATCCAGATTATCCAGATTACCCTGATTACCCTGTTTATCCAGTCTATCCTTATGAACCACTTTAGCCTGGTTGACCAGACAATTTAACTGGAGCATTTTATACTACACATTATAATGGTTTATCTGATCCAGCCAAAGTTTCTAATTCAACAGAATATGATCCATCTTCTTTAGTAGTTGTATCCACAGATATTGGATTTCCATCTCTCCCTTTAGAATCACAAGTAATCAGTAATGGTATTGGCACTGCTGCTTTCCCATCAGAAGGTGTTATCTTACCAGTTAATTTTACTTTAACGAATCTTTGGTATCCAATTACTGGAAAAGTATAAGTTTATTGTTTATCCATTGATGGAATATAATTAGATGATACCTAAGTCAATTTTTTATTATCATTTATGTATTCAATTGTAAATTTATAATTGTTCTAAGGAATTACTGTAAGATTATCAATCTACCAATAACCATTTGCATCAGTAATCAGGTTAGGATTAGCAATTGTTAGACTGGGATCAGATTTAAATGATAGTTATAATCCTTTCATAGGTTTTTAATCAACATCTAACACTTAACCCTTGATAGTGAGAAGGGAAGTTGATTTTGATAAAGTGATTTAAGTTTTAATTAAGTCTTAATTTTTGCATTCCAATTAGGGCGTTTTGTAGGTGATAGGTACAAATTCCTGAACTTTAAAAATAAATGTAGCAATGAACTTCTAATTCTCATAACATGCAAATTTATATTCAAATGTACCACTATTTAATATTCAATATTAATTACTCCGAATTTCCGATGATCTCCTTATTATAAAGTGATTTATCATTCATAGCAGGGATACTTTCAATAATTTTAATGCTAGCATTCTAAACAGGTTTTCCACTAGGATCAACTAGTTAATCCTTGATTGTTATTTCATTAACCTTTCTGTCAAGAACAACATCCAGCTTCAGTTAATAGGGTTATTTAGAAGGTATATTGATTTATTTTGGAGTAATCACTTGGTCAATGAATTCTTTGGCCTTTACTGTTGCCTTAATATCCAAATTTTAAGTTGATGGCACTAATACATGGACATTGAATTTTCCTTCAGCATCAGTTATAACTTTAATTGGTTCAATTACATTAGTAATTGTCAATACAATTTCAGCTCCTTGAACAAATGATACTATTTTTGAGGAGTCTGTAATAATTCCGGAGATCTAAAAAAATAATTTAAGGTCGATTATACTTATAAATCTGAAGCTTCTTATAATTTAATTATTAAATCTCTTGTAAATTGATCTTTTTTAATGTTTAAATTAAAATCCTAATCGAATTCTGAATTTTAACTTAGATATTAATCTTTGGTGGCCACTTCTTTTAAATGTAATTTAGGGGTGGCTTTCAGATTATAAGTAATTGCTATTTTTCCATCAGGTCCACTAATTAAGTTATTTTCAATTAATTATTGATTTGATCCTAAATTAGTTCCTGTAACTTAAATTTTAGCTCCTTATAATGGTTTTTAATTTTAATCTTAAATGAGGGCAGTCAAGAGATATTGGAATTATCCAGGTTAGAGATCAATATTAACTGATAATTCATATTTCTATTCTCTAATATAATAAAGAATTCTAATACGGCCATAAAACGAAATTTTAAGAATTTCTATCTAATTGTTAAGTGTTCCAATACTCTAATTTAGATGCTGTGTATAAAATAGTGAATGAACCTCCAGTGGTAGGTAATAAAAAGCGAACGTTCTCTTCCCCTTTTTCATTGGTTGTAGCTATAAAGTTGACTTCTTTTGTCAGCTTAGCATCATCTAGATAAATAGCAGTAAATTGAATGAATACTCCAGGTAATGGTTTCGAATTCGATAGCGTTTTTATCTTTAGTTAGAATTGATAATTACAAAAATCAAGCCACGCTGAAATTCATCTTTGACATAAACATCAGATTGAGTAAATTAGACTTTTCCATTAAAAACTATCAATCCAGTTTGATCAGTTACTCCATTAATTTAAGCAGATGCTTAAATATTGTTGAAAGTTGTCGATGCAACAGCAATTATTTAGTATGAATGTTATTTTGCAAATTTTCCAATTAAAGTGACCGTACCGCTGCTGTCTGTCATTAGATTCTTCTCTCCTATATTTGAATTGCCGTTCCTAAATTTTACTTAACTAAATACTTCACATTAATAATCACACCTGATAAAGCATAAGCTGAAAAATCTATCACTTTTATCACGATTTTATAATTCACTTCTTCAAGTTCCGCTAATATATGATCCGTATGTTTGCCCAGACTACAACCCAAAACAACCAATAAAAATAAAGATTTTAGCATATTTTGAATTTAACAATATAAATTAATTATAAACTCTCAGCTACCCTTTGTAAATAAACATTCACTGTATTTCTTCTTAACATTCCATTATTTTTTCTTTATCAGAAACCATAAGAATATTATAACAACTAATTTATCAAAAATAATTTAATTCACATTGGGATTATCAGTTCATATTAATTACAATTATTCTTAGTCAAAAAATGTTTTATTAGAAATCAACACAGAGACATACATATGTGGAGCATCTAACCGTTCATTCTGCATCCAGTTACGGCAGACCACAAGTCAATAATGGAAATAAGATATTGTTACCTGCATCAGCACTTCAATAATTAATCTTTATTAAACAAAATGGACCAATGATATTTAAAATACAATCAACATAATCACAAAAATTTACCTATGTTGGAGTCCTTGAGTTTGTGGCAGAAGAAGGCTCTTGCATTATACCAGATTGGTTATTTGAAAATATGAACTTTTTTGATCGATGTTGGGTGATTGTTAGTCTTGAATAAAGTTTGCCACTTGTAAGTTTATTCATATTATCATACTATAGGGAAAATTAATTAAGATTTAACCTCATGAGACTGCATTTATTGATCTCCCAGATCCCAGAGCCATTCTAGAGAATTAATTAAGAAATTACATCTGCTTAACTTAAGGTGAAACTATCACCATCACATTTAATAAGATCAAATACATGATTGATATAGTTTCAGTTACTCCAAAAACTGATAAACTTGCTGTTTGTATAAATGAAGCAGATGTAGAAATCGATTTTTTATAACCATTAGTATTTTAAATTTCTAAAAATAGGATTATACTGAAGCACCTCCATAAAAATTAGTTAAAAACAATTCTACTCTAGGAATGGAATAGGATTAATAACAATAATAATCGGCTGTGTTTACTGGAAAAGGAGTTAGATTAGATGGCAAAACAGGTGTGGCTTAACCAAGAAAACAATCAGAAGATGTTAAAATTGTTGCTGAACCTTATAACCCTAGGAAAAATAAACTAATAAATGGTATTCGATAAACCGAAGATGTTTAACTTTTTACAGGCACTTGCACTAAGGTCGGAGCTCAAAAGAAATAACTCTGAGTTCTTAATTATTAATTTGATAAGTATAAATAATCAATTTCCTGTTATATTAATCATGCAAATATCTCAAACATTTAGAGCACATTTTATCTGCATAGTAAACATTTTAGTTTTTGCATAACTAATTCCTTACAAACTTAGCAATATATGAAATGTCCACAAGGAATTGCAACAAATTTTCTTTTTTTTGCAAAACAAATCAAACATTTTTCTGATTCACAAATTTACTCACTCTCTTAACCTTTTTCAATAAGTTCTTATTTAATCATATTCTCATTTGATAATTTGTTCTAGCCATCTAAATCTATTTGTTCTATCACATTTCCTCCTTAAGTTGGAGTTTCTTGCTAGTGGACTTTTTGATTTTCTTCTACTATTTTAATTTCAGCCCAATTTTCTAAGAGATTTCCTTGCTGAGATTCACCATTATTAATATTATCTTTGGATTGATTTATCACACTTTTTATTTCGTTTTTTTTATCGCAAACTAAACTTAGGATTTTAGAAGCCTAAATTACAAATTCTTCATCGCTTGACTTCACTCTTAAAATAAGAAAATGTTCTTCAAATCTATTTAAGTTTTTAAGGTTTTTATGTATCTACTTTTTATTTTCACAAGAGAATGGTAATGGCTATAATAAATACAATAATCGATACTCTAATTTATTGAATTATATTTCTAATGTTATCTAGTAATTTGTTTTTTTCTTCTTCAGTATAATTTGAAATCTTCTTTTCTTCTTCGTAATTAAACATTGCTACTTCTAATTGAGATATCTTTTCTCTAATACTATTCTTATCAGTTGAAGTTGTAATCTGCAATCTCATCTTTTCTAGCTATATTTTTAAATTATTAATTTTTTCATCTAATCTCAAATGATTCTCTAACTTTTCAATTAAGTTACGAACCTTTTCTTTTTATCCTACATTTTCTTATTATTCAATTTAAATCATGTTATATTTTTTATACTTTAAATAACGTATAATATTGTTATTATAAAAAAATCAACATAAGATTTAAGTACAATATTTTTTTTCAATTTGCATAAAACGTTGTGAAAACAAACTTATCTTGCAATGGCTTCTTCAATATCTCAATTATATAAGTTTATACAAAATCTTATAAACAATTTGAATTCTTCTTTAAAAAACAATTCTATACAACAAAATTTATATATAATTCCAAACCTATTTTGATAATTTCCTCTCAACTTTATAGTATCAAAGATTAATAGTCAGGATTATCAATACTCTTATGTTTTGTAAGAATTGAAAAGAATAGAGGAGTTGCCTTGATTTGAATGCATTTAAAAATAAAATTAAATTGCACTAATAACAGCCTTGGCATTTTTTTTTATTCTAACTAGAAATAGAAAGGATAGGAAAGCATGTTAGACATATATAATAATATCATTATCCAAAACATTAATTTCATCGTCTGATATCTTTAATCGCAGTTTATTTAATCTATTGTTTAGTAATTTCTTTCACCTGTAATAAAATTATTAGATACAATCTACTCTAAATTAAATCAGGAAAGAGTTAACTTAATTAAATTTGTTTAAAATAATTTATTAAAAAGAATATAGATTGAACCCACAATTTTTTCACCATTAAAATACAGAGGTTTTAATAATAGTAACAATGGCAAATAACAAAGAATTGTAGAAACAAAATATATTTAATTTATTAAAATGAAAACCAGAAAAAAGAGCGTATTAGTAAATACATAGTATTAAACAATATGATCTTCTAAAATCTTACTCTCTTGCACTCCAAAAATTAAGAAACTTATTAAACCAATATAGAATTCTTAAAATTCTCAAAATAAAAAGAAAAATTTTATATTAATTTATATGTAAAATATGTTTGAGTATTTATCAGGACTCTTAACATTTTATCAAGAAGTATAACAATATAGTAAATATATATAGAGATTTACACTAATCACATCATCTTTACAGAGTTTTAATTATTACAATATTTAATTAAAATAAAAATTATCAGGTACTAAAAATAGTACATTTGAATTATATTAATATTTAATAAATTAATATTAGATCAAAACTAAAATGGAATTTATTAAGTCGAAGTATAATTTAAGAATTAATCTTACTCTAAATTGAAATTATTTGAATCATTCTCGTTTGATTATCAAGGAGATTCAGAAAGTTATTTTAATTTTTATTTATTTAAAGAAATCTGAATAATTAAGAATATAAAATGGATCAATTAAAAAATAAATTAACCGCAATCTTCTATTGTTAATACGAATTGTGATGTTATGGACCAATTATGCTTGAATCACAATATTTCAAGAACTATTTATAGTTATTGTATTAATTTAAGAGATTTAAAGCAGTGAATTATATTTAATATATTAATTTTTTGATGATTGCTCTTTATTAAATTGATTATCAATACCCATTACTATAAATATATTAATCATGCTATGTTGTCTCTCATTTGGTTGTTTCTAGATTGATGATAATTTCTTAACTCCTTTTTCAACAAATTATTTGAAAATTAATTCCCACAATGTAGTCGCATCAAGTATTAATATTATTTCTATTAACCTTTCGATTAAATAAAATTCATCTAAATGAGCATAGTTTATTATTATTTTAAGTTTTTTTTAGGATGACTTGGCAAATTTATTTAAATTGAAAAAATGTTTCCACAAAAGTGGCAAAAATATTTCTTTAGAGTAAAAACTAAAATACCTTAACCGATTGCTTGAGAAGGCACATCTGATGAAATTCTCTAACATAGTTAAGTGTATTTTTTTTTTAACAAAACATTCTTCAATTTTAAATTATAATAAAATAATGGAGATTAAGCACTTTTGTCTTACTTCTAGAGTTTCTCTCCTATCTCATAACTCATACACTTAACCAATTCGTTCATACTTGATTAGCTACAATATTGCATTTATTTAAAATGAAAACATAAGTGTTAGTGCAATTAGGAATTGAAAAAAATTTTCCACCTATATGAAGAGGAGTCCTATTCTTTTAATAAAAACTTGAAGAATATAATTGATCCAAGTGTTTGGGGACATTATTATCAAGAATAGAGCAAAAGATGATAGAGGAAGAGTGAAAATATCGAAAATTTTGATAATTTGAACCTTAAAACATGAGAGAATGTCTGAATAACTATGTAGATTTCATATGCAATAAGTGAATAGTTACACAAGTATTTCACAATTCACTCTCGTCTAGTTTTTCGTTTCACAAAGCTATGATTAATGATGAAAATTAGAGAATGGGAGTTTTGATTACAAAATTACAATTAAAGAGTTGCCTTGCTAAGAGTTAAGACCCTTCTCATGATATTGCCTTGACAACAAGAATTTTCATTAATTTAATTAATGATGAGGGTTGATTTGGATATTTAATTATGCTAAAAAGCGTTTGGAAAAATAAATATGTATTGAAAAGAAGCCAAAATTATAACATTGTTGAATATTCAAAAATAAATAATAAAACTATAATGAATTACTTTTTATGAATATTAAAGTATTGGTCCTGACCTTATTGGTTGTTATTGTAGCAAGCCAACAGTATAGTATTTCTTAATGTGATTGTTCTTAATTGCTATCAGAAGATGATTGCTCAAAAAATGATATTAACAAATGTTAATGGGATAGTACCAAGAAGACATGTAAAAATTAGGATACAACAACTAATCCAGTTATAGACTATGCAAAATATTGTGATAACTTTAAAGAAATTGAATGTCCAAAATAAAAACCATGCAGCAACTGTGGATCTTATTCTGCATGTGCTTGGGTAGAAGGATAGTGTACATTTTTCACTGATTGCACAGCATTTAACAAAACAACAGATTCAGATTGTTAGGCTATTAGTAATAAATGTATTACTGATGGAACTCATTGTGTTGAAATTGATACTTGTGATAAATATAAAAAATAATAATCTTGTGTAAAAAACGTATTTGGTAGTTTATGTTATTGGGATACAAAAAATAACAGTTGTGTTGATGCCGATACTTGTGATAAATTACCAATCAAATTTTAAACAGATAAAGAGTGTAGAGATCAAATTTAAAGTTGTACTGCAAAATCAGGAGGTGGATGTATTGATAGTGGAAATAATTGTAGTGATTAAAATTTAGAAATTTAATGTGTTTGGGATAAATCAATGAAAATCGAATGTTATTGGAATGGAACATAATGTAAAGATAGAATATGTGATAATGCACCTAGTACTTTAAATACTGATGATACATGCAAATTATTCAAAACTGATGGATCATGTACAACAAAACTAAATGGTGGATGTATTACTAGAACTACTTGTTCAGCTGCTACAATATAAGCTGCATGTATTAAAAATAATACAAATGAAGATTGTTATTGGAGTGGAACAGCCTGTGTAGATAAAATATGTTCAAATGCACCTACTACATTAACAACTAATTCAGCTTGTGCAGCATTCTCAAAAGGTTGCATAACTAAATAAGGGGGAGGCTGTGTTCAAAATGGAGATTGTTCAGCCGCTAATATTTCAACTGCATGTGTTAAAAACATGAATAATTTTGATTGTATATGGGATTCAACTTGCAAGGAAAAAACATGTGTAAATGCTCCAAAATCTAATACTACTCATGATTAATGCACTTCTTATTTATCAACATGTACGGTATAATCAGGAGGAGGGTGTTAAACGAGAAAGTGTGACAATGCTCCTACAACATTGAATACAAATGATGCATGTGAAACTTATTTACCTGCTAATAAATGCATTACTAAAAATGGAGGTGGATGCACAATTAACACTACTTGTTCACTCATATCAATAGAAGTTGCTTGTATCAAAAATTCATTAGGCTAACCATGTTTTTGGCATGCTGCAAGTGGAAGTTGTAAAGACAAAATTTGTGTTAATGCTCCATCTAGTAATAATAGTCACGAACTCTGTTAATAATTTTTGAATACTTGTACTGTCAATTCTACAAATACAGGATGTGTAGAAAAAACATGTGAGAATTCATTAACTTTATCAATTTGTGATAAAGATTTAAACAGCAACATATGTATTTGGAAAGCAAGGTGTTATAAAAGATAATGTGCTATGGCTTCAAGTTCAATAGCTTCTCATTCTGAATGTTAAACTTATTATTCAAGTTGTACGTTAAGCAACACTGGAAAAGGATGTGTTACATTACCTATCAAATGTGAAGCAATTACAATAGAAGCTGCTTGTAAAATCAAAGCTAATAAATAATCCTGTGGTTGGACAGGATCTTAATGTATTGATAAAGCTTGCAATACTGCTCCAAAAACCATTCAAACAACTTTAGACTGTCAAACTTACTTATCGTCTTGTGTGGCTAATAATCCAATTACAGTAAATGGAACCTCAACAATTCAAGGATGTTAAGATTTACCTAAAACTTGTGATGCTAGAAAATCATCTGAAAATTGTAATATCACAAAAACAGCATTTCCAACTTGTTTTTGGGATTCTTCATCTATCAAATGTGTTGAAAAATCTTGCACAACTGCTAATTTATCAGGAACACCAGGAGCACTTTCAGCTGGGTAATTCACTTTTGATAATTGTTAAAGCTACTTGAGCACATGCATTACTACCAATGCTCAAGGTACCTGTACTTAAACATCATATCCTTGCATTTCAAATAATACTAAAGATGGATGTATGGTTAAGCCAACAAGTTGTTCATAGTTAGTTCAATAAAATTGTAAAGATGGATCTAAATCTAATGGTGATTGTTATTGGAATGGATCTAACTGTGTAGAAAAGACATGCACAAATATAATATCAACAACACATAATGATTGCTATAACATATTCAATCAATGTACAGTCAATGATAATGGCACGGCATGTTTATAGTTAGCCTCTGCTTGCACTTCATATAAAATTTAAGAGAATTGTAAAATTACATCTACATAAAAAAATTGTTATTGGACTGGAACTGTTTGTAGAAATGCAATTTGTGATGACACTCCAGATTCTGATCTTTTTGATTCTGATGAAGAATGTCTTAAATATCAAACTCAGAATGGAACTTGTACAATAATTGCAAAAGTTGGAGGATAAGGGTGTGTTCAAAAATAACCAGTTTGTTCCAATTATAAGACTTCTAGTTAATGTCATAAGACTTTATCAAATGTAAATGCTTAAGATGATTGTAAATGGATTAATGGAATATGTTATTCATTATCAACTTTTGCAACTGGAGCTTGTTCAACATTTAAAGGAACATAAGAAATGTGCAAAGCTTATAGATAGGGATGCACAAATGTAGCTAATGCCAGTACTTCAACTGCATGTACATTAGATTGTACTTTAAGAATTGGAAGTGGATTGACATTCTAAGATTGCTAAAATGTGGATCCTACATGTTCGGTTAAAAAGGATGGTAGTGGTTGTATTGTAATTTAATCTACATGTACAGGATATGGAACAACAGATATAAATTGTTATAAATCAGGTGCAACTGGAACCCAATCGAATTGTCTGATGAATAAAGCCACCCCACCAAGTTGTTAAGCAGTGAGTTCAGCATCTGATTGCGCACTTTTAAGCGGATCAGGACTTGATCATGCTAAATGCTAAGCATATAATATTGCATGTACATCTTTAGGTAATGGAAGTGGGTGCTAAGAATTTAAAGCAATTTGTACTGCTTATACTGGTAATACTGATAATTGCACAGATTCATAATAAGGTAAATGTTATTTGAATGGGTCTGATTGTGTTCGTTTTACTAATTGCTTTTCAATTACTGGTACAAACCTTACTCATCAAATCTGTAATAGCTACAACACTGATTGCACTGTAAATAAATAAAAAACAGCATGTTAAGATAGGAGAGCTACATGTGATTTATACACATCTCAAGAATAATGCACAGTATCTGCAGCTGACTTAAAAGCAAGTTAATGTGTTTGGAGTGGTACAGCATGTCTTGCAGTTACAGTAGTTGCTACTCATTGTGCTTACATAACTGGAACTGATCTGACCAATTCATTTTGTGCTTCTTACAATAATAATTGTACTGTAAATTACGAAAAGACTGCTTGTTAGGAAAAGAAAGCCTAATGTGGTTTATATTCTACCAAAAGTTCATGTACTCTATCACAAGCTGCTGATTCAGCTGGCAAATGTATATGGAATAACGGAGGTTGTCGTTACATGACATCACTTGATACAATTGCGGGGGCCATTGTTGACTATTAAATGTCAAGTGCGAGATGTGCATAGTTTAATCCAGTTTTTGCAGCAATTAAGGATGGATCTAAATGCTTTATAAAAAAAGGTTAATGTACTTTATACACAGAAGAAGATTATTGTACAACATCCTCAGCATCAGGAGCAGCTGCAAATTGTATTTGGGATGGGTCACATTGTTAAGCATTTACATCTGGTTCTCTGTGCAAATATGTTCAAGCGTCTTATGTATAGGAGAGTTATTGCCCTTCAGTTAATCCATTGTGTACAACAAAAATGATGAGAAATGGTTGTTATGGAAAGAAGGCTAATTGTTCAGATTATGATGTGGAAGATGATTGCTAATAATCTTTAGCTTCTGGTACAGCAGGATTTTGTGTATGGACTGGTTCTATTTGCACTTATGTAACAGATCCTTCAATTCATTGTGCTAAGGTTACAACTTATTTTCTTACTACGGATGAATATTGTGCTAGCTATCATGCCTCTTGTATTCCTACTATGGATGGAACCGGATGTTAATAAATTCAATCTAATTGTGCTTCATACACAGATTCAAAAACTTGTTATAAATCTTTAAATGATGGTTATTGTGCTTGGATAGATAAAAAATGCATATTTTTAACAAGTCCTGATCAATGTGCTTCTGTTTCTGGTAATTCATTGACTAGTACTTATTGCAATGGATTACGCAAAGAATGCTGGGTTACTTCAGGCAAGTAGAGTTGTTATTAGATGAAAAGCACTTGCGAAGAATATAGCACTAACGATTCATCATAGTGTGTCAGAACTTTAACCAGCGGAAGTGCTGGGCTCTGTGGTTGGAATAGTAAGGCCTGCTTTTAAGTAATAACTGCAAGTTAATGCAATACCTTAAATGTTGGTTTTTCATCATCTGGAATAACAGATGCCTTTTGTGCTACTTACAACGCTGGCTGTATTGCAGATGCCAGTAAAAATGGTTGTTAAGAACTTTTAACAAGTTGTTCATCATACACAGAATTTTATAAATGTAGTTATGCTGGAACTTTATAATCTAAAGTTAGATGTTATTTCTTAGGTTAAAAATGCATCTAAATAACAGATCCTGCATCATAATGTTAAAAAATTCAGGGAACATTTAGCGAGGCTGGCTGCTCATCTTATCATAGTGGTTGCACAATTAAAAGAGATGGGTCTGCCTGTCAAGAAAGAAAAGCAGTTTGCGCGAATTATACAACAGAAGAAACTTGCTTTTATTCATCTGCTCCATCTCCTTACAATATATGTATTTTCATCAATAATAATTGTGTTGCTGCAAGAGACTTGTTAACTGATTGTACAGCCATTACTGCATCTTCAGGTTTGACTGATTAAGCTTGTACAGGTTATAACTCTACCTGCACAACAAATAAGGCTGGGACTTCTTGCTAAGATAAAAAAGGTTTATGTTCGGAATACCAAAATTAGGATTCATGCACCGTTTCCTCAAGTTCTAAATGCATTTGGAGAACTAGTTGTATTTCTGTTAGTGATGCAACTACTGAGTGCGTATATGTAGTAGGTACAAATTTAACTCATAATATTTGTGTCTCTTATAACGAAGGATGCACAGTAAATAAAGCAGGAACCTCTTGTTAACAAATGAAAAACACTTGTGCAGATTACACAAAATTTGAGAATTGTACTATGTCCTAAGATTCTGGACCATAAAGTAATTGTGTCTGGCATTCTACATGCGTATATGTCTCCGATATTACTACTGATTGTGCTTATGTAACTGGTACAAATTTGACTGACTATATATGTTCATTTTATAATCCTGGTTGCGTTGCTAATTATTCAGGAACTGCTTGTTAAGAAAAGAAATTCAATTGTTAAGATTATACTTTGAAAGAAAATTGTTCAGCGAATTGCGTATGGGATGACACTTTAAAATGTATTTTTATATCAGATCCTTCTGCTTAATGCAGCTTAGTGAATGGAAAGACAGGACTCAACCTTGAAATGTGTTAATTATATAATAGTGAATGCATTAATCTAAAGGATGGTACTGGATGTTAACATGCTTAGGCAGATTGTAAGAATTATACAACTTAGAATTAATGTGTTCCTTTGGCTAAGGGTACTTCTTGTTTATGGTATGATAATTCTTGCAACGAACTAACAGGTACTACTTGTAGTGCAATTACTGGAACTGATCTGAATCATGATATATGCTACTCTTATAACAAAAATTGCACTTCATTAAGCGATGGCACTTCATGTTAAGATTATAAATCAACTTGTGAATAGTATTCAGGAACAACTGAATCTTGTACTTAATCTTATAATGCAAAATGTTACCTTTATAATTCAAATACTTGTATTACTATTTTAAATGTATCTACAGATTGTGCTAAAATAACTGGAGTATCATTAACTTATGAAATTTGTTAATCATATAATTTGGGTTGTAGTGTAAATAGAGCCAAGACTGCTTGTGTTTAAAAAGCAGCATAATGCTCAGGATATTCAACTGCAATGAGTAGTTGTTATCAAGCAGCAGAAGGATTCTGTATTGCATCTACTAGTAGTGATTCAGCATGTGTACCTGCCTCAAGTGCATCTAATTGTGAAACAGTATTTTTAGGAACAGGCAATTATAGTCATAATAATTGTAGTACAATCAAAGCGGGATGCACAGTTAATGGAAGTACAGCATGTATGGCTAGAACTTGTGCAAATGCTACAGGATTTGCATTTAATCATGATAATTGTTTTGCTTGGTTGAAAACTTGTACAGTAAATTAGGCTAATAATGGTTGCACTATCATGGCTGCAAAATGTTCAGATTAATAATCAACTTCATGTTTAAATGCTATAGAGGGAGTGTGCCTAGTGTTTAATTCAATTTGTATTAGAAAAGGATGTGATACAGCTCCATCAGATGCTTCACATGATGATGATACAGAATGCTCAAATTATTCATAGGTTTGTACAGTTGCAAGAGCAGGGGGATGTCAAGTAAGAACTGCTTGTTCATTATATAAATCGTCATTATAATGTAAATTAGATATGAATGATAAAAAATGTTTCTGGAATCCATCTGTTAAGACATGTGTTGATTTAGCTTGTGCCAATATAGAAATATCAAATTTATATAACACTCATGATAAATGCTATGCAGTTGATTCAAATTTAGGTTGTACAGTCAGAGCTCTTAATAAAGAAGCTACTCCTGGTTGCATGGCAAGAGGACCATGTAGTTCATATACCATTAAGGATTAATGCAGAACTAATGCAAGTGGAATAGATTGTGTTTGGAATACAAATAGTAATTTACCTGAACCTGCTTGTTAAGATAAGTCATGTACAACTGCACCTACTTCAACATTAACTCATAATGATTGTTTGAATTATTATACTACATCAAGTATTAAATGTACAGTGTATGCTAAAGCAGGTGATAATGGAGCATAACCAATTTTAGGAGGATGTTAATAAACTGCAGAATGTTCAACATATATTGATATTGAATAATGCAAAATAAATAGTAAAGGAGAGCCATGTGGATGGAATGGAAAAGAATGTAATGATAAATCTTGTTCCACTGCTCCTGCTACATCAGAATATGATGATGATACAAAATGCAAAGCCTATTTGAACAATAAATGTACAGTTTCATCAGAGGGATAAGGTTGTATAGATATACCAGAGATTTGTGAGTTAATGAATTAGAATTAATGTTATTACAATAGGGCTGGACAACCCTGTTATTGGACTGGAACAGATTGTATTACTAGAGCTTGTGAAAATGCTCCTGAAGAAACAGCTACAGCTGAATAATGCAATAACTATTTATATGGATGTACAATAGATGTTATCAAATGCAAAATTAAAATTTGTGAAGATTATTTATTAACAACAGATGAACAATGTACTTATGCCTTATCTACTTGTACAACAAATGGTACTAATTGTGTAACTAGAGGAACTTGTGTTTAATCATAAAATAAAGCAGGATGTGTTGTATCTTCTAGTGGATAATCTTGTGAATGGATACCAGATGTTGTAGATTCTCAAAATGTTGTAACTACTGCAGCATATTGTACAATTAAAACTTGTAATACTGCTCCAATTAGTTTAGTAACAGATGTAGATTGTGCAAAATATTTTACAAATTGTACTACAAAGAGTGGAGGTGGATGTGTTACTAAATCAACTTGTTCTGCTGCTTCTGTAAATGCTGCTTGTATAAGTGCATTAAATGGTACAATATGTGCATGGGATAATACATTAAATAAATGTAGAGATAAAGATTGTTAAGATTTGATAGGAACTACTCACACTATTTGTTAAACTTAAAGATAAGGATGTACTGCTGGACCAAATGGTAGATGTGCTAGAGTTTAAAGTTGTGAATTAACTACCCTTAGATAAGCTTGTATTGAAGGGACAAATGGACCATGTTTATGGATTGAGAAGTTTGTTAATAGTGATGGATCAAAAGGAGCATGTTTTACATATACATCATGCAAGAGTTTAGCTTGGAATACTGATGAATCTTGTAAATTGATAAGCAATTAATGTACAACTAATGGAACTAATTGTATTGGAATTACTTTATGTTCTGAGACAAATATTGATGGTGGATGTGTTACAGGATATGATGGATCTTGTATTTAATCAGTTCCAGCTTTGAATTCAGCTGATCCTAAAATATGTAAACCATTTAAATCATGTGCAGATGCTTTTTATGCAACTCATTAAGATTGTTAAATTGCTAATAAAAAATGTACAACTGATGGATCAACTGGTTGCATTGATTTAGGTGCATGTTCAACATACAAATCTTAACCAGGATGTTAGATAAATGATAAAGGATCTGTTGTTTAATCTGGAGTTATAACTTCAACAGGTGTTTGTACTTGGGATGCCACAACAAGTACTTGTAGAGATTAAATTTGTTCTGATTTGAATGGTATTAGTCATGCAATTTGTAATTCCTAATTATCAACCTGTACTTCAGATAGTATTAAATGTTTGCTTAAAGCAAATTGTTCTACTTATTCTACCTAAATTATTTGTTAGACAGCTGTTGGAAATGATGGACTTTGCTTTTGGGAGCTTGGTTCTGCTACTAATAATAATACACCAAAATGTAGATTACTTACTTGTGCTGATATTCAAAATGGAACATCCATTAGTGTTTGTTAAGCCGCTTTACCTTCTTGTATTTCAAATGGAACTGCTTGTATTCCTAAGGGTAAATGTTCAACTTACACAACTAAAACAGCATGCAATTCGGGTGGATTAGATGGACTTTGTGTATTTACATAGTCAACTTCTGCATAAGCTATTGTTGATAGTGGAACTTGTACTCTAATGAATTCATGTTCATCTGCAAATAACGATTAAACTGCTTGTGTTGCTGCATAAGATAGATGTTCATGGACTCCTGCAACTTCTACTGTTACAAGTAAATGTATAAGTCATACCTGTGGTACATATAATGCTCTGATTGGAACATGCTCAAGATTCTTCAACTGGGATAAATAATCATAGTAAATATGTTCTATGGTTGATGGAATATGTGCAGCCACTGACCCATAAACATTAAAATAAAGTGATTGTTTTAAACTTTCAGGATATACATATACATGGAATAGTTAAACAAACAAATGCTAAGTTTGTACTAAGCAAGATTAGCCAAATAGTAGTATCAATAACACGATCAATGATACAAACAATAATAATACTAATACAGCTAAAGGGTTATTATTAACATTCATTTTAGGCTATCTTCTGATTTGATCATATTAGAATATTATATTCATTTATTTTTTAATCATTCAACAAAATAGTAATTAGTTAATTAATTAACTATTATTATTAATTAAGTTCTCAACGAACAAATACTATTACTATAATTATTATAATTAATAGTTAATATTGTAAATATATGTTTATAAACAATTTATAAATAGTATCGTAATTATAAAATGTTAATCAAATATTCTTGCCATTTAGATAGTCTGCAAATAATGAACCAAGTGGTTGTGATTGAAATTACTAGTTACATTTTGGACATATTGCATCATAATAATTACCTTTATATTAATTTATCAATGATTATTATTTACATTTTGGACAAGTATATTTTATATCCCCAATTGAACTAAAGTAATTTTAATAAAACTCATTCATTTTTTATCCAGCGTCCTCCTTAAATGCCTTTTTTTCTGATTCGGGTAAATCAGCTTTTTCCTAAAGAAATTCTATGAACTAGCATTCGGTTCCTGCAAAGTTTAATCATTTCTATCAATAATACTTTCTCCAACTATCTTTAGGTGGTAAAATTATTTATTATTATTGTTTCATCTAAAGTATCTGTATTTGCTTCATAATTAGTCTAGAAAGAAATCATTCTACAGCGTTAGGATTATAATGATAGGAATGCATTTTAAAGTTAGATCATTTATCTGTTAACAATTTTATCTCACTATACGATCTTATCCTTATTAATTACAACTTCAAATTCCTCAATTTATTTCTTGAAAGCTCCATTTCAATTTATATATTATATGCGAAAATCATTATTTTGAGACAGTTTTAATGAATGCATAATTATAAAAAAACTTCACGTATCTTAAGTCTAAGAGTCAAAGTTAACTTACGATTCATTTATTAATATTTGGTATCAATAAGCTTAACATTTTGCATAAATTATTATTATTCAGTGAATAATTGTTCCTTGAAGTATTTGTTCTCTCCTTCAAGTTCTTCTAATTGATTCAATTGAATTGCAAGTCTTTCAAGTATCTTACATATTAATTAAAAATTATAATAATAAAATATTATTATTTATAATATCGACTATTCAATATCCTAAGGAATACATACATCGTTTCTATGCACAATAGATAGATAAATCAATATAGAATTTTAATGATTACATTAATATTTGAATATTAACTTATATATTTTATCATATCTAGAGCAATCACTTCTAGTGTATATCAATTCAATAACTTTGAGATTTTTCAACTAAATTGATTGATCACTATTTTAATATTCATAATTTACTTAAATTTCCAATTCTTTAGATTTCGAGTATTAATTAAATAAATGTAAATATAAGATGGAAACAATTTGATGCTAAACCTATCTAATGGTCCAATAGACAATAGTAGAAGATCCTGCACAAATGTGTTCTGTGCCATCTTTTATGCGGGCATTTTATTGAGTATCTTTGGGATAGGCTTGTACATGAATCAAAGCGGGAATGTATTGTTGATAGACCGAGGATATGACCCTGATCGTAAATAGAAACAAATATGATAAAGATAGACCATGTGGAATAGACACTTTGAGAGATTATCCATTCATCTACTTCACTACTCTCAATAGTGATTTCTTATGGAAGACTGTTTGCGTTTAGGAATGTCCGAGTGTTCCAGTTGCCAAACACAAACATTTATAGTTGAATCCTCCAACAACTACAACTGTTCCTACAACAACAACACCCATAGGAACACCCCAAAATTCATAATTAAAATGCGCTGTAAATTCAGTAGTAACTTCTTGTAGTTAAGCCACGTTATACAACAGCATTAAATGTAATATTAATATATATGTATATAGTTGATTAAAGAGTCTGCATTCCCACAGATCCAGAGTAATTTAAGATAGTGCAGGAGGCATTGAAGATGGGATTCTTACATTAATTAATTTCTGATATCAGCGGAGCAAAGTATACCTTATTTATATTCATTGTAATTGGAACTTGCTTTACTTTATCATTCACTTACCTTCTGAAATGGTGCAGTAAAACTGTAATTTGGTTCATCATCTTTATCATCGTGGTATTGTCCATCTTCTTTGGCTATTTTAGTTATCTGTAATACAAGGCATCGTAATGAATATATCTATCCAAATAGATCTAGTATGACTATTGGTTTATCACCGACTGGATATCTATTATAATCAGTTATTTGGTGGTGTTTTGGATTGGGTACAATAATCTTGACAATTTGTTTTTACAAACGAATAAATCTAGCTATTGCCATTATAAAATCAGCCTCTGATTTTGTCACTAAAAATGTTAGTATTGTCATAGTCCCTGTATTCTCGACTCTTGCCACTTTTATTTTCACCATTATTTTTATATACATAGCATTGTAATTATACTCTTAAAATTAGTTTAATATGTTCAACTGGTACGCCTGGAGATAAACAATAGTAATGGCCTTTTGGATAATTGAAATACACATTACTTGAATACTTTAGTGGATTCTATTTGTTATTTGCCACATTTTGGACATATGCTTTGATTATTGGAGTCAATAGCTTTATCATAGCAGGTTCAGTGTGTGTGTGGTATTGGCAACAAGGAAAGAGTGGTTAAGAACATGTTTAGCCACTCAATTCATCATGGAAGAGATGTTTTGTCTACCATTTTGGTTCAATTGTCTTGGGTGCCTTATTATTGGGATTGATCTCAATATTTAGATCATTCTTCGAATATCTATATGTATTAAATATCCATATCATTACAATAGAGAAATGCTGAATATATGCGAAATACAGATGGCTGTTAATTCTGTTTCAAGTGTTGTGCATGTTGCATATGGTGTTTTGAAAGGTTTTTACAATATTTGAATCAGAATATCTATGTCTAAATTAACATGACTGGGGATGGGTTCTTTCATGCTGCCAAGAAAGGACTGGATATTATGTCTAATAATCCTTCTATTGTTATGTAGGTGGTTGGTTTGGGAGATTTAATAAATAACATAGCAAGAATCATGATTACATTATCAATCTCTATGTTCTTTTTTAGATCAATTTCAGAATTGCCTCAACTATTATTTGGAGGCATAGTCATTAATCCGTATAATCCAACCTTATTATTGGCAATCATTATTTTTGTCATTGCCACTGTGTTTACTAATATCTTTGGAGTGGCCATTGAAAGCATACTTCATTTATATTGTATTGATTAAGAAATAGCCAGGGCCAAACAGAGTTCAGAAGATGCTGAAATGTGTCCTGCGGTATTAATTATTGTGTATAATAATAGGCTTTAAGAGAATTTTTAAATGACAAAGTGTTTACATAATAAAAATGAAATATTAATAATGAATTCATAATCAATAATCTTTTTTTGTATTCGTTCTTGACAACTTACTATTAGTGCTCTTTTGACTTTAATTTTATTCCTCCAAATCCATCGTTGACAGAAAATCTTTAATTTTATTAACATTTTCATTTAAATCATTCAATAAAACCCAATATGAATAAAAGCTTTCTATATTAGAATATTATGATAATTTTACTTTTATTTTCCTACTTAAATTCAATCAATTAATCATTATAAGTTTCTTGATGCTTTGTGATCGATTAAACTTTTGTTTCCAATTCAGCCATTTTGTCTCAAATAATACTAAAATAGAGGAATACTTTAGATTTCATTGGATCTGATTGGAGATTCTAATTTTTCTACTTTAACAATCTCTTTGTTTTTAGGAGAGAATGGATGATGTAAGGAAATGAGTTGACTTTGGAGTTAGAGAATCTGGGTTTCTTGAGACCTCAATTGCTCTTCAATTGGTCGTATAAATGCAGATATGGTATTTTCAATGATTTTTTCGATGAAGCATATGATCTGTTAGGTTAGTTCTTCCTTCTGCAATTCCTTATCATTATTGACAGATTTGCTCTTCTGCATTTTCTTGTATATATTATTAGTGATAATTACCATTTCAACTAGGGATTCAATTATACTCTCGAATTTAAACATTTTACAATTATTATTTTTTACTTTAACTAATAAAATACACAATTATATTCAAGATGCTTTGATGTAAGAAGCAGCTTTTTACAGGAGACCTCCCGATTTCTTCTTCTCCATCTATTCATCCAAGTACTTCTACATTTTTTCGACTCTTTCATTTACATCACCAAGCACAACCCAACAAGCATTACATTTCTCTAACAAATCAATTGCGAAGTATACCTTTGACTTGTCTTACGGTATCATTGACTTTAGTATCATTTAATTCCTATTTGAGTTAATAAATTTTGTCATCAAATTGCGATAGTAACTCTAAAAGATAAACAACTAACCATACTTGATTGTATATCATCCGAAGTATTAAATATCTGAAGTGTCTATTTCATCTATGCTCTAAACGATAAGACTATAATCTTACTAGGTATCCATCAATAGACTAATCATGTTATCATGATTTTGTAATTTTTTTCTGACTCTGTCGATTTCCTCAGTCTCTATCTGTTTCCCACTCTCAATTACTTTTTCTGAAACTCCTACACTGCGCATTACTGGAGTAAACTGAAGATAGAGAGAGTACAGATACTTGATTAAAACTCTTGATGACAAGTTCTTTGATCTTGGCCAAATCTGACTCCAATTGATCTATCTACTACTTGATAGGTTCCACCAACTCGTTGCAAGTGATCTTGGCCACTTCTGTGAATATGTTGGCTATGCTTGTCATTAACTTCTCTTTCTCAACCAATTTGTCAATTATGCATTCATTATTGTGATGAAAGTACCCTTTTTATTATTGTTATTGTGCTTTCTTGCTTAAATACTGAACCTATACATTATTTAGAGTACTTTATCGACTGCTTTCTCTACCTTCTCATCAAAATCCTTTTCAGTATACTTTTTCATCTCGTATATTGAATACGTATATTTTGAAAAGCAAAGAAAATATTTAATACTTTTTCAATTGATTTAAGAACATAATTATTTTTATTGAACAAAACTCACATAATTGCTTCTTGTTGAATTGAGATCATTCGTTCTACTAGATTTGAATTTCAATCTGAGTTTGTCAATCGACTAATTATTGCTAACACTGTTGACTTCACTTTGATGATGAATTTTTGATGAGAATTGCTTTTAAACATTCCTATAAGATGCCTAAATGACCTTCTGAATCTACTTTGCTTTCTTCTCTGGATTCTCTGATTTGAAAGCCTATTGATACATCAAAGACAAAACAAGATTATCCTTATGCACTCTAGGAAGTGTGCTGAGTGTATCCAAAACTGTCTATAAAGGAGGATTTTAGGGAATGTGAAGAGAAGGCAATTACCCAAACGATTGATGAACATTCTCCGTCTTAATAAGTGGCTAAGAAGACCTAGATGTCAATGAAGTGAACTCCGTGCTGTTTTCATTCAAAAGATCAGCTTGAGTCTTAATTGTGAATTGATTCCTGATGCAATTTTCATCATGATTTTGTTAAACAGCTTGAGGTTACTTCAATAGTCTGGCTTAATATTATTGCAAAGTATTGCTATAAACTTTTTGTAACACACTTTGATTCTGAGTATTAACTACTTTTATGCTCTTTAGATCTTCATCTGTAATGTTCTATAACAATTTCACTTGGGACAACTTCTAGCCTTGAGATTCAACCAATTTCTTATTAAGAATGTGTTTGGCTTAAAAATTTGGTTTATTCTATTAGACATCCTGAGCTGCCTTAAAGATCTGATAATAATTAAAATAAATTTACTTCATCCTATTGATGAATAGTCTATTAGGCAGTTTCACATTTCTTCTACCAATGCTTAAATATAATGTTCGAATTCTTTTTCATATTTTCAAAAATTTGGTAATTACCTAGGTTATCGAAGAATTGTCTCTTTCTTATTCTATAGACGTGTAATTTAGGAGTAATAACTTTGGCCTTAGTGAATCGAGAGATCTTTAACATAATTTCAACTTCGCCAAATCCTTGATATTGTCCATAAGATGACAAAATTATTTGCTTTTCTCCTACTTTCTTAGATAATTCAATCTCACCGTCAATAATAAAATAGATGTGAGTTGCTTTATCATCTTCCTTAAATAGGATTTCACCAGCATGATGTGTAATCATTTTACATTCTAAAATTATACCCATAAATTCTTGAGGTTCAATAAACTAAAACAGTGGGGTTTTGGAAAAGTAGTTTATTTTATTATCTAATGCAGCACTCATATATGGATTAATCAACTCCAAATATGCCATCTCACTCAAGTATATTAGATGAGTCTATTCTAAAGCATAAACTGTCGATGATCTTGCTGTGTCCAACTTAATAGCTGCCTCTCCAAACGAACTTTAATAGCTCTTTATTTACATACTCTCCTTAAAATAGTACTTTCAATATTATGTAATCCGGGAATACACTGTTCAATCCGTATGGATCCTAATCAGTCCTTTTAATGAGTTTTGATTGCGAATTCTCTTAATAATCCAATTTGTTAGATCCAACCATCTTCTCTTTTGGCTTCATCACTACCACCTTCCCTTCCAAGATGATATAAAATCGTTTATTTTGATCTCCCTATCTATAAACTGGATTCAATTGAGGCACTGATTGAAATCTAACTGTATTCTAACAAATACCTAAATTCAGAGTAAATACGACCCAATAACTCAGGAGGCACTTCCTTCCTGATTTCCTTGATCTTTTTAATTTAACTTAATTATTCAATCAAAATAGATGATGTTGGTATTATCATATTGGTTAATGTTGCAATGCTCTTTCTCGAATATCTACGATAATAATTATCAGGATTAGAATTCTCGGTTATTGGTCTCAATCCCAACTCATTCCTTATTGAATCGATATCAATCAGTTTCTTTTATTTTTTTATATCTCTTTGCTGAGTTTACTTCTGTGCCCCCTTCAACATTTGCTTAGATTCGCTATCCGAATCAGAATCGCTGGGTTACTGTAGAAAGTCAAAATTAGTTTTAGTTTGAATACTAAAGGATGATTGCATGTAAGAAGTCATTATATAAAAATATTTGATTTTTTAATTTAATCCTCCAAACTAGTTTATTCATTATTATATACTCTTTGGTTATTCAAAATATTTGGAGAGATCCAATCCTAGAATTGTGAAAAGAAACCTTTAATCATTCAGGCCATCTATGATCATTTAATGAATCTATGAAAATAATGATAACTCAGATGTAGTATTAATTGTAATTTTTTATTAATGATCATTCTTTTTTCTTCTTCTTCTTTTTGCCCTTTTTCTCCTCGAAAGGATTAACTAACATGGATTATCCAACATCCATTAGTTTAGTGTTGAAGTCTTCTTGATAAGTAGGTACCATGATCCCAGCCAATAGAGAATCGATTTAAATGGGAATTTTATGTTTTGCGAATCTATTTTTGATATCCAAAACTTCCTATAAATTTTAATCATTCACTATTTTTGGACTGTTTCTCTATAACAATTGAGAGAATTTGCTATGGAGTGAATTAGATCTAAGTTTTGTTGCATAAATGGATAATGAAGATGGTTATTCGTCAAGTTAAGTGTCTGTGGCACTTAGATTTAACAGATCTTTGTATGCTCTCTTAGCATTAACCACTCTTTAAGCAGATGCCTTGTTTTCCAAAAATGAAGTATCAACAGCCGAATCATATTATCTATTTTGCGATTATACAATAATAGGCAATGGCTTCAGATTGATTACTTTTGAGTCTTACGGATTTTACAAACCAAGAGATAATGCTCTTCTTTTATCGACTTCTGCATATCTGCTACCGTAATATTGTGAATCTATTCTGCGATCAATTTCCTTTTCTATTCTGGCTTTGTTCTTAGACCAAACATTCATTGAATTAACAATCTCTTCATCCATTTTTTTTTCTGCTGCCTCCTTCTATCTAAATTAGATCCATCTATTTTATAGATTCATTTCAATTTCTTGATTCGATGGTTAATATAACTAATAGTTTTATTTATTCTCAAACTATTTATTTAAATCTTTAAATTCTAAATTTACATCATCTTTTTAAAATACTTTGATCTTCGGTACCATATTTATAAGTATTTTTTTCTTATCTTCAGTCTCCTCTTCATTCCCCAATAAGTCTCCATCTATAACAATCTCACCCTCTGTTTAATCCTAGCTCTATTGCTGATTCTCATCCAATTCTTTTTGGTGTTACGAGATCACTTTAGGAAATGTGCTCTTCACTTGAATTTGAGGCACTATGTTGTTTAATTGATTAAATTGTCTTCTTTTATATTGCTTTAATCTAATGACTAATAACTTCAAGTACCTCAATTGTGGTGGGTCACAATTCGTATGCATGGTTCTGTTCTTCTCCCTATAATCCCTAAGTTGGTCATCTATTTATTTACTAGGCAAAGCCATAGACTAATCCTAATTTATAAATCTAGCATCATCACTCGAAGCCATAGTACCTACATCCTTCTCTTGTGTCTTCACGACTTCCCTGTTATTCTATACAAAGAAACCGTAAACCTTTTCCAGAAATATCAATTAGGAATCCCTTCCTTTGGCAATTGCTGCTTCTCTTAATAAATTTACAATATTTTAGTAAAAATTGTAACGAGTAGGCATTGTTGGAATTATTCTACCTTATTTCAATGATGTTTAGATCTAAATAATGAATAGATGAGTGATTACTTCTTTATTGAAATTTTAAATAGATTTGATTATAGTGATGAACTTTTTATTATCCTCAAAATGCACACTCTTGAGTTCTTCAGTATCGAATAGCTGATAATTAAATCTCGTATGCCATAGTCGTGTGCTATTGTAGAATTGCAGCTTCTCAGTGTCACTAATACTCTAAAGTACATGTGACTTTTCGAAAGCTGATTAATTCATTATTTTTATATATTTTTATTTTCTTAACTGATATTTTAAAAATGAACTCCAAACAATAACACATGACAGCTTGTCCAGCAATTTTGAAGGGAGACGATCTTCCCGATGATACTCCACTTAAGATGCAGAATTCTAATCTGCCAAAACCTATTATTTCAAAGAAATTAATGCCTTAAGTGAATAATGAAATACTTTATGAAAGACTCAATTAAGAGGCTGAAATATTTAAGTAGAACAATTAAATGTTGAAGGAATATTATGAATAAGAAGAATTACGACCTTGCTCATTTGCTCCTTAAACCCTGAATGACGGTTAGGAAAAAAGATCACTCTATTAATTTTTATTCGATCAATAGAATCATGTTATGAAAGTGGAATAGAAGTTAGAATAAATTAAATAAAACGAATTGGAACGCGATCTCTAACATCCATATCATCCAAAGACTAACGAATTCAACTTTTCAAAAAGAGATGAAACAATCCCTACTTACGAGAGATTGTACAATCTGAACCAAAAGAAACCCTCTGAACCATAGATGCAACAATCAGAATCCACAGTCGATTACAAGCCTTTAATTTAATAGAAGTCTCAAAACATAGTTCGCAATCAGAAGGTGGAGGACATTCTTTATCAGGATGCCCAAAGGAGATTATAGAAACAGAAGGAAGTACAGGATAAGAAAAATACAACCAAAGTAGTAACTGTGAATGTTAAATTCACATCAAATAATAGCGAGAAGATAGTTGCTCAGAAATTCATTAGAGAGTTCGAAACTGTAATAGATTGGATCTTCGATCAAACAGGATAAGATAGACCATCAAATGTATCATTCTCAATTGACTATCTCAAATTAGGAGAAATATTATAGCGTTTAGGATTTCTGAATTAATTGCAATTAAAAGAGAGCAATGAAAAGGCTGTTGAGTATGAGAATCTGCGCTTATCAGAAGAAAGAGCATTATTATGTGAAATTTGGACTGTTTTGAGAGGAGATGAACTGGGTGGTATCAGCAAAAGAAACTTGTGTTTATTTTTGTTGACTTTGATTGGCATTACAGATTTTAAAATCAAAGAATTACCTTCTGCTTAAAATGAGGAAGTTCCTAATTACTAGAAATCTATTCAACCATAATAACATAAAATTGTTACTGCTCATTAGCCTAATGATAAGCCTAAGCTAGGAACTATTGATAAGGATGGCAATATCATTTTCACATTCGAAGAGACCAAAAAGATTTAAAAGCAATTTGATATTTTATATAGAAATAGACTAGGCTGTGAGGAATTGAAGAAAACCAATTGGAAAGATGAAAACCCCTATAAACCATAAATATTACCTTAATCAAAGCAATTGGCCAATTAGTTTAGAGAGAAAGTATTAGAGTAGACAGCCAACCTAATTGATAATCAGTTGATTAAAGTAAATATACCAGAAAATGGGTAAATTACACATGCCGATTTGTTGGTATTACAAAAGAAAGCTGTAGAATATCACAAAGAATAAAAGAAATAAGAGATATTATAATAATAATTAGAGAAATGTCCATTCAAACCATAATTAGTGAGTAATAACAATTGCAGTATTGATGAAAGGAAGAGTTAGTCAAAGAAATCAGAGAAATATTTGCAATTGTATTCACTGGCCAAGCCTACTACTTCAAAAAGAGATAGAACTACCGAAGAAATAGAGTATGAAAGATAATAGGAAGAATGCACTTTCTAACCTGGTCTAGTTAACAAAGGAAGTTAATAACAGAAATAAGAGAATCATTTTGTAAATAAGGATGTAGACAAAACAGTGCAGAGAATGAGATAAGCTAGATAAAGAAGAGAAGAAGTATAAGGTATGTTGGAAAGGGGATACAAGAGTAACAAACCAGTTTAATAGTAACAACACTCTAACCAATAAACCAAGGTAAGTAGAAGTTAGTCTTAGAACCAATTGAAATAAACAACATAATCATCAAGATAGAAAAGTCTACAATCACAGGAATCACAATAGATGAATACTTTTTAATCGTAGAATTTCCATATGGATGAGTCATAACCCAAGGAAGAATAGAGTGTCGTTAGATCTGGCAGTTGTAAGACAGTAGTTCTAATTTTTATTTAGAGTAGGATGAGAGAATTCCTTTGCTATTTGTTGATGTGAATCTGGGACCAAGTAAGACTGAGAGAATTGTTGTGTATGAAGGTGATTAGTCTTGTGATTTGGCTGCTCGATTTGCTCAAGAACACAATTTGGATGAGTTTATGCAAGATAAGTTAAAAGAATTACTCGACTACTAGATAAGTGGATTGCTAACTAAAATTGATGAAGAAGAGGGAGCCTTAAGTGATAATGATCAATGATATATATATATATACTAAAAATATCATTTTTATGATTATCTAATTGATAATTTGCTTGATTCTTATGATCTTAGTTCCAATTCTCTCTCTTTTTGTTATTACCATTAAACATATCGTTTATCATTTTTCAAATTTTCAATTCCTTATCTAGTCCACTAAGAGACCAAATTATTATATACATCTGGCTAGTAGTGAGAATGTGTCATGTCATATTTCTCTTAATTCTCAAGTCTTTCCAGATCTCTAAAATCTCATAAATGATTAATTACCTTAGACTGAGAAAGAAGAATATCAAAATGATTGGGAATAATAAATAGATGGAGATTAGTATTCTTTAATCATAGATATTTCCAAAATGTGATGACCATGATTCACTAGTCAAAGACTGTTATTCCATTTATTGTTGTTATTTAAATTAATAATCACATAAATTATTGTCATTTTATTTTCATTAAAAAATTATATAAATGATATCCAGAACTCATTCTCATCAATCCATATATACTTCTTTTCATGGATACTATTGCTTTCCTATAATTATTTCAAAATATTACTCATTAATAGAATTTCTATATATCCTAAATCAGTTAATACTCTATCATAGCTACTTTTCCTTGATAAATACTATTCTCTCTAAATATTCAATAGAATTTAATTCCCATCTAATTTTAAATCAATTACATAATTCTAAATCTGATCCGATAAGATGTACTAAAAAGACAAACAGAATTCAGGATCCTTGGAATGAAACAATAAAATAATACCCTTATTTAACTGTAAATACTATATGTATCTTTCTTATATGTGAAATCTTTACCCATTGCAATCATTCTTCGTGTCTTATTAAGGTATTGGGTTCTATGGAAACAATGACAGAGTATCCATAGTTTTACTCATTGGCACAATATAGAGCCTCTAAAGAAGTCTAAATGTTGATTGGTTTAGTAGAAGGGATGACCAAATCATTAAAGTCCATTATAATTATTAATATAATGAATCATAGGTCAGTTCGGCCCTCGAGTGCTTAACAAAATATATCTCATTTGAGTGACAAGAATGTCTCATTTCATAAGAAGTACTATATTTCATATACCCTTAGTCCTTACAAGCAGCCAAATGTATAGAACGTTTCATAATACAGAGTCAAGGAGAGTGAAAAATTATTCGAAGAGAGTCTCCAGCTAAAGTTGTTGATGAATTAATTGAAGGATGAGAATATTAAGCTAAGAACAAGAAACACAAACCTAGAAGTAATATTGCAATCATCATCTAGAAAGACTTATAAAAATGTTAAAAAATAATAGAGGAAGTAGAGACTACTGGAAATATGAAACGATTTTATGCCAAACCAAGCACCGACAATTAAATGATTCTCAATTTCAAAGGTTAAATTAAAGAATTGCGATAAAACCTTGATTAAAGAGAATAGGAAATGCTAGCTCTCAAAAAGTCAGCTAAATATACAAAACTCACAGAAATGGAAATTGAACGGAAAATGCTATCCGATGAGACAATTCGATTAAAACAAGTTATTGATGAACTAGTTCAATAAAATTTATATGCTTAATAAAAAGAGCACGACCAATAAAAAATGTAGGATATGATTTCACAACGAGACAATCTTATTAAACAGATGCAACTGGATATAGAAGCATTTGAAACAGACAACAAAAATCTTCAATCCCAATTGCAGTAACTCATATCAGCCTATCAAGATCTTGATAGAGAATACGCTAAATTAGATTAAAGCATGCAGAACAAATTAAAATCAAAAGATAAATAACTAATTGAACTCAAAACCCAGCTTACAAGATTGAAAGAACAATATGATAAAGAAAAGAAATTGCTCCAACAGCCTAAATTTAGTCCTACTCTCAAAACACACAACAAAGTAGCTAAACGTATTCAAAGTGCTAAACCTCCTGAACAGATCACCAAACCAATTCAATTAGATGATGTGACTCATATCATCTTGGAGATCAAATACAAATTGATTGCTTTGTCAGTGCATTCAAAATAAATCGATGCTTTACTACTCAATCAATCAGCCTAATAAACTACAATTGGTTAATTGACTGAGAAATTGATTAATGATCCATTTTTCCTTAATAAAACCGATGCTAATAACTTTGCAAGATTTTTGATTGAGTCTCCTGAATAAAAGTATCCATACATTCCCAATCTCTCTATTGCCTAAGACAACGGATTGATAAGAGCCATGTTCTTTAAAGCAATTGGATTTTGGGCTTGCTATGATAAAGTTGAAAGGAGAGTATTGGAATCCAGTTTGGCTAAACTATTCAAAGGATCGTTTAATTAAGTAGAAAAAGTTATGGGGAGAAATGTGTATACAAAAAAAGATTTTGTTGTTTAAATTTTAAAAATCTTATCAAAAAAGTAGATTAGAGAATTGGAAATCACTTATTTAATTTCAAAAGTAAATTGTAATTCTAGTATTAGATCATATTGTAATCAAAGAGTCTGAATACTTTAAAGGGAGAGGCACTTGTAAATTACTTAAGAGAACTAGAGAAACTAGACAATGATGAAGATGTCAGAGCTGAAGAATTGCAATAATATTATGATAGTCTAGGGTATTTACAATTTGAATTACTTAAATTAGATAAGATAAGGGCTTCTTTTTTTATAAGTAGTTAAGGAGCAAACAAGAGTAAATGATAGCATTGTTGGAGACCAAGGAAGATAAAGTGGAGGAAATAGAAACTAATTAACTTAATGATGGAGCCCCGTAGAAGTCAGTTTAACAATATATAATAAAGGGGGGACTAGTAAGGAGCCATTCGGATCCAGATCCCTTACAAATGATTCAAATCTAAAAGGATGAGGAAGAAGCAGAAGAAGAAGAGAACTATGAACAATAGATGCAATAGGATTACTTAAATTAACAAAAATAATAAAAAGATAAATATCCATTTAATTTCGATGAATAAGAGGGTGAATATGAAAATAATGAGGAAGAGAATGATGATTATTAGCCTGATTTGAATAATGCTTAGATTGATGAGTAAGATTAATAGGAGGAAGAGGATGATGATTACAATATCAACGTTGATGGAGTCTTTGAAGAAGATAATGATGATGAGAATGATTAATGGGAGAAAGTAGAAAATAAAGGAAACTTTCCAGTTCGATAAGAGTAATTATTTGTGCTTATAAGCAGTCGACAAATTCCAAATAGTAGACCTACATCCAGTTATGTAAATAAGGTTAATAGAAGTAATAGTGATGTCAAGGCTAGTTTGGCTTCAGAATTGCATCCTACTAAAGAAATTAATGAAGAAGGTATGTTATTTTAATTGAATTCTTAGAATATATGGAGGAATAATTTGAAGAAGAAAATTGATATATAAATTTTATATAAATTAAAATATGAAACGAACAAAGGAAACCATTTTTAGAGAGCATCCCGATTGGCAACAAAGACAAGGTATTAGTGGTCTGAAAGAATTTGATGGAGAAGATTTATGTAATTTATACTAGTTATCCTAAAGAATTTGATTCCCGTAATAAGTTTAACAAGGATCAATAAAAATAATGGATATTCGAGTAAATTGAAGAGAAGAGAAGAAGATAAGAATAAGAAAAGGCGGAGGAAATGGCATATGCTTAATAAACCCTAGAAATCAATAGATTCAGAGGAATGCTCTAAGATAACTTTGCATCTAGGAAGACTGATATGGGTGTTGCCACCAAACAAACAAATCTCTAATTAGTAATCATTCTTTCAATTATTATTAGGCTAAGGAGAAAAAAGATAAAGAAGAAAGAGAAAAATAAGAAAAATTGGCCGCTGAACGCGCCGAAAGAGATTTATTACTTGAGCGTGGTCGTAAGTAACCATATCAGGGATGATCATCATCAATATGTTTCATCTTTTCATATAATTATTAGTTATATTATTTAATATCAATCAATTCATAAGTTTGTTAAATATACTAACTAACTTGTTTGATTCTCTGGAGCCAAGATAAAGAAATAAATAAATCAAATCTTCTATCTAATTTAAATAATCTAGTTTTGCTATCTTGAGTATATTGTTCCAAGATCGAATGCATATCTAACTATTAAAGATTCATAGTGAAAATTATTATTTTAAAGTATAATTTATTTGACCATAAAATTTACAACCATCCATTCATTATATCAAAAGGTAGAATGATTCTATTATCTGTCTAATAGAATTAAGTGATATATATAGATCAAGAATTTTTAACCCATTAATCTCAATATTAATATGAATGAAAATAAAAAAAACTTATATGGAATTTTGGTAGATATTTCAATGTCAATGAAATAATCCTATGATAAAATATAAAAAAGATCCAACTTAGACAATAAAACACTAAAGCCTAATGAAGCTCGATTGGTTTCTGTCTTGAAAATAATTTACAGGGCTTTTGCAAAAACTGATTTAAAAGATGACAATATTTTTTTGTCAGCTTTTGGATGCTATCATGAACTTGATGTTGATGTTATAGATTTGGTACCTTTTTTAAAATCAATATTGAATATCGTAAAATTAATAACTACAATGCGCAGGCTTTAATATTATAGCTAAATTGATTAAAAAGATTATCATATGCTTTTATATAATTTAGTAGTAGAGAATGGAGCTAAAAATTTATCCTAATTTTATATGCTGAAAGAATTTCGGAACGATTTGTTGAATTTCAAGGCAAAGCTATTATACCTTGAATTCAAAAGCAATAAAAAATAATTAAACTCATTTATAGAATAACTACCATAATAAGTGAAAAGGACGAGCCGTTTTTATGGCGCGTACGCTTTATTAGGAAGGACTTTATAAACCCCTTTAAACCCTATTAATAAAAATATCAGAGAAATAATTTAGCAGTAATTACAGAAGTTGGATAATTGTATTCCGTTTGATTATTTTTTTGATAAAATTTAGGAATGTTTGCAACCTATATTAGAAGAGATATAAAAGCATAAAAATAACAAAATCGATGACCTTGTGATTAAACTAAAATAAATTATAGAAAAAGTAAGGCCGTAATAATACTAAAAATCTATTGAATATTTATTTGCTAGATTGAAAGAAATATAAAGCATTTAAGAAGCCATTATACTCGTTTTAAATCAATACAGTTTTAATCCTAAAGATTTGATTAAAGAATAAAGGGACCTTTAGAAATTCTAGATTATAAGTATAGAAGACATAGTAAAAGACATGTAATTTTAAGAATATCAATCAAAAAATCGAATGAGAGATGAAGATTTAAATTTTTTTAAATCATTTGAATCAATTTGCTATGGATGTACTCCTTTGAAGAAAAGTTTGGAGTTGACTTTAAAGACTGCATTCTTAGAATTCGAAAATAAATTCTTATTTATTGTATCTGATGGAGATTCAACCGACGGTAATCCTGTAGAGTATGCGACACAGTTAAAAAACAAAGGATTTATCATATTTTGTTATTATATTGAATCTAAAGAAAAGATCTAGTAAAACTAGTTGTATTCAAGAATAGAACATGTTAAGGGAGATGGAGCCAAGACTATGTTTGAAATAAGTTCTGAATATTCAAATTTTGAGTATCCTTTGCGATTAATTGAAAAATATACAAATATCAAATTATCTTAAGAAGGTAAAAGCAAATTATTTTTATAAAGTAATAATTCGGAGTCTTTGGAATAATTTTTTGATTATTTCATGAAAATCTCAAAAGATAATGATAAATTGGTTGAATTAGCTGGGAGAATTACAATTGAAAAGTATATAAATTCCAGTAAAGAATTTTAACCTAAGTAATAAATTGGAGGAACATGTTATGCAAATTCTATAGCTGCTGCCTATTCGATAATGTTGTAGAAGATATATAAAAGAGAAGGTGATTACCCAGGTTTCTTTCGAATAAGGGATCTATTAATACAAGAATATGGAAAAAAAGGGGCAAACACCACTGAGGTTGTTGAAAAAACTTGCTCAGACTATAGGTTAAGGTGTCGCATACTAACATCTATTAATTAAATCAAATAGGCTTTACATTAGGGGAGACCAATCATAGCAAGATTTGCTTTATGTGAGAATCAATGGAATGCCGATACTAATGATCAGATAGGATTTATTCCTTTCTTTGAAAAAAATCCATCAGGAATTTTGACTACTGTTGGGCCGCAATCGAACAATAATATAGGAGGACATTCAGTAGTTTTGTACTCTTATACTTAAGATTATTACTATTTTATTAATTCTTGGGGATCTAGTTGGGGAGATGGAGGGTTTTTTAAAGTGTAAACTTTGGAAGTCTTAGGAGAGATGGAGTTTATTGAAGTTTTTTGGCAAAAAGCTGATTTAACCGAATCAGAAAAAAAGGCATTTAAGGAGGATGCTGGATAAAAAATGAATGAGTTTTATTAAAATTACTTTAGTTCAATTGGGGATATCAAATATACTTGTCCAAAATGTAAATAATAATCTTTGATAAATTAATATAAAGGTAATTATTATGATGCAATATGTCCAAAATGTAACTAGTAATTTCAATCACAACCACTTGGTTCATTATTTGCAGACTATCTAAATGGCAAGAATATTTGATTAACATTTATAATTACGATACTATTTATAAATTGTTTATAAAAATATATTTACAATATTAACTATTAATTATAGTAATTACAGTTTTAGTATTTGTTCGTTGAGAACTTAATTAATAATAATAGTTAATTAATTAACTAATTACTATTTTGTTGAATGATTTGTATATAAAAATAAATTAATATATTATATTCTAATATGATCAAATCAGAAGATAGCCTAAAATGAATGTTAATAATAATCCTTTAGCTGTATTAGTATTATTATTGTTTGTATCATTGATCGTGTTATTGATACTACTATTTGGCTAATCTTGCTTAGTACAAACTTAGCATTTGTTTGTTTAACTATTCCATGTATATGTATATCCTGAAAGTTTAAAACAATCACTTTATTTTAATGTTTATGGGTCAGTGGCTGCACATATTCCATCAATCATAGAACATATTTACTATGATTATTTATCCCAGTTGAAGAATCTTGAGCAAGTTCCAATCAGAGCATTATATGTACCACAGGTATGACTTATACATTTACTTGTAACAGTAGAAGTTGCAGGAGTCCATGAACATCTATCTTATGCAGCAACACAAGCAGTTTAATCGTTATTTGCAGATGAACATGAATTCATTAGAGTACAAGTTCCACTATCAACAATAGCTTATGCAGAAGTTGACTATGTAAATACACAAAGTCCATCTAATCCACCAGAATTGCATGCTGTTTTAGTTGTGTAAGTTGAACATTTACCCTTAGGAATACAACCAGTTCCATTTGAAATACAAGAAGGTAAAGCAGCTTAACAAACACTAATGGATGTTCCATTTTGAATATCAGCACAAGTAAGTAATCTACATTTTGGTGTATTATTATTAGTACCAGAACCAAGCTCCCAGAAGCAAAGTCCATCATTTCCAACAGCTGTTTAACAAATAATTTAGGTAGAATAAGTAGAACAATTTGCTTTAAGTAAACATTTAATACTATCTGAAGTACAGGTTGATAATTAGGAATTACAAATTGAATGACTAATACCATTCAAATCAGAACAAATTTAATCTCTACAAATACTTGTTGTCGCATCCCAAGTACAAACACCTGTTGAAGTTATAACTCCAGATTAAACAACAGATCCTTTATCATTTATCTAACATCCTGGTTAAGATTTGTATGTTGAACATGCACCTAAATCAATGCAACCAGTTGATCCATCAGTTGTACATTTTTTATTAGCAATTTAACAATCTTAATGAGTTGCATAAAAAGCATCTGCACATGATTTAAATGGTTTACATAGTTTAGGATCAGCTGAATCCAAAGCAGGAACTGATTAAATACAAGATCCATCATATCCTGTAACACATCCACCATCAATATTTGTCTCAGAACATAAAGTAATTCCAATACAATTAGTTCCATTAGTTGTACATTAATTGCTTATCAATTTACAAGATTCATCAGTATTCCAAGCTAAACTCTTGCATGATGTATATGTAAAACATGCTCCTTTTGATCCATCACTATTAACAAACTTCTCAATCCATAAACATGGTCCATTTGTCCCTTCAATACAAGCTTATCTAAGGGTAGTTAATTCACAACTTTAAACTCTAGCACATCTACCATTTGGTCCAGCAGTACATCCTTATCTTTAAGTTTAACAAATAGTGTGAGTAGTTCCTATCAAATCTTAACAATCTTTATCTCTACATTTATTCAATGTATTATCCCATGCACATATTGTACCATTTAATGCACTTATACAAGCAGCATTTACAGAAGCAGCAGAACAAGTTGATTTAGTAACACATCCACCTCCACTCTTTGTAGTACAATTTGTAAAATATTTTGCACAATCTACATCTGTTACTAAACTAATTGGAGCAGTATTACAAGTTTTAATTGTACAATATGCTGCAGTAGTTACAACATTTTGAGAATCTACAACATCTGGTATCCATTCACAAGATTATCCACTAGAAGATACAACACATCCTGCTTTATTTTATGATTAAACACAAGTTCCTCTAGTTACACAATTAGTACCATTTGTTGTACAAGTAGATAAGGCATAAGTACATTGTTCATCTGTTGTTAATAAATAATCTTCACAAATTTTAATTTTGCATTTGATAACATCTATTGTACATCCATATAAATAGTTATTGCATTATTCAGCTGTAGCTGTTTCTTCAGGAGCATTTTCACAAGCTCTAGTAATACAATCTGTTCCAGTCCAATAACAGGGTTGTCCAGCCCTATTGTAATAACATTAATTCTAATTCATTAACTCACAAATCTCTGGTATATCTATACAACCTTATCCCTCTGATGAAACTGTACATTTATTGTTCAAATAGGCTTTGNATTTTGAATATCAGCACAAGTAAGTAATCTACATTTTGGTGTATTATTATTAGTACCAGAACCAAGCTCCCAGAAGCAAAGTCCATCATTTCCAACAGCTGTTTAACAAATAATTTAGGTAGAATAAGTAGAACAATTTGCTTTAAGTAAACATTTAATACTATCTGAAGTACAGGTTGATAATTAGGAATTACAAATTGAATGACTAATACCATTCAAATCAGAACAAATTTAATCTCTACAAATACTTGTTGTCGCATCCCAAGTACAAACACCTGTTGAAGTTATAACTCCAGATTAAACAACAGATCCTTTATCATTTATCTAACATCCTGGTTAAGATTTGTATGTTGAACATGCACCTAAATCAATGCAACCAGTTGATCCATCAGTTGTACATTTTTTATTAGCAATTTAACAATCTTAATGAGTTGCATAAAAAGCATCTGCACATGATTTAAATGGTTTACATATTTTAGGATCAGCTGAATTCAAAGCTGGAACTGATTAAATACAAGATCCATCATATCCTGTAACACATCCACCATCAATATTTGTCTCAGAACATAAAGTAATTCCAATACAATTAGTTCCATTAGTTGTACATTAATTGCTTATCAATTTACAAGATTCATCAGTATTCCAAGCTAAACTCTTGCATGATGTATATGTAAAACATGCTCCTTTTGATCCATCACTATTAACAAACTTCTCAATCCATAAACATGGTCCATTTGTCCCTTCAATACAAGCTTATCTAAGGGTAGTTAATTCACAACTTTAAACTCTAGCACATCTACCATTTGGTCCAGCAGTACATCCTTATCTTTAAGTTTAACAAATAGTGTGAGTAGTTCCTATCAAATCTTAACAATCTTTATCTCTACATTTATTTAATGTATTATCCCATGCACATATTGTACCATTTAATGCACTTATACAAGCAGCATTTACAGAAGCAGCAGAACAAGTTGATTTAGTAACACATCCACCTCCACTCTTTGTAGTACAATTTGTAAAATATTTTGCACAATCTACATCTGTTACTAAACTAATTGGAGCAGTATTACAAGTTTTAATTGTACAATATGCTGCAGTAGTTACAACATTTTGAGAATCTACAACATCTGGTATCCATTCACAAGATTATCCACTAGAAGATACAACACATCCTGCTTTATTTTATGATTAAACACAAGTTCCTCTAGTTACACAATTAGTACCATTTGTTGTACAAGTAGATAAGGCATAAGTACATTGTTCATCTGTTGTTAATAAATAATCTTCACAAATTTTAATTTTGCATTTGATAACATCTATTGTACATCCATATAAATAGTTATTGCATTATTCAGCTGTAGCTGTTTCTTCAGGAGCATTTTCACAAGCTCTAGTAATACAATCTGTTCCAGTCCAATAACAGGGTTGTCCAGCCCTATTGTAATAACATTAATTCTAATTCATTAACTCACAAATCTCTGGAATATCTATACAACCTTATCCCTCTGATGAAACTGTACATTTATTGTTCAAATAGGCTTTGCATTTTGTATCATCATCATATTCTGATGTAGCAGGAGCAGTGGAACAAGATTTATCATTACATTCTTTTCCATTCCATCCACATGGCTCTCCTTTACTATTTATTTTGCATTATTCAATATCAATATATGTTGAACATTCTGCAGTTTATTAACATCCTCCTAAAATTGGTTATGCTCCATTATCACCTGCTTTAGCATACACTGTACATTTAATACTTGATGTAGTATAATAATTCAAACAATCATTATGAGTTAATGTTGAAGTAGGTGCAGTTGTACATGACTTATCTTAACAAGCAGGTTCAGGTAAATTACTATTTGTATTCCAAACACAATCTATTCCACTTGCATTAGTTCTGCATTAATCCTTAATGGTATATGAACTACATGGTCCTCTTGCCATGCAACCAGGAGTAGCTTCTTTATTAAGAGCTCTGACTGTACAACCTAAATTTGAATCAACTGCATAGCATTTATCATGAGTGTTATATAAATTTGATATTTCTATATTGGCACAAGCTAAATCAACACATGTCTTAACAGATGGATTCCAGAAACATTTTTTATCATTCATATCTAATTTACATTATAATGACGATTTATATAATGAACAAGCAGTTCTTACTTGACATCCCCCTGCTCTTGCAACTGTACAAACCTATGAATAATTTGAGCATTCTGTATCATCATCATGTGAAGCATCTGATGGAGCTGTATCACATCCTTTTCTAATACAAATTGAATTAAACACTAGGCACACTCCCTCTATAGCATTTAAACATGAAGTTGATTATTAATCTGAACATTTTGCAGCCATGATAGTGCAACCATTATTAGCCTAATTTACTGTACAAGTTTTCAACCAAGCAAAACAATTATCATGATTAAATGCAAATCCTGTAGCATTTGCACAAGTTCTAGCCATACATGCTGTACTTCCATTAACTGTGCATCCCGCTTTGATTGTACTACAATTATTATGACTATAATTGCCTGTTCCTAAAAATACTGTTTCACAATTAGATGCACTTGAGGCAGGTACACATGCTGAATCACTACTAGTAGATGCAATACAGAATCCTTCTGCTGCTTGATAACAACTACTCATTGCAGTTGAATATCCTGAGCATTATGCTGCTTTTTAAACACAAGCAGTCTTGGCTCTATTTACACTACAACCCAAATTATATGATTAACAAATTTCATAAGTTAATGATACTCCAGTTATTTTAGCACAATCTGTAGATACATTTAAAATAGTAATACAAGTATTTGAATTATAAAGGTAACATTTTGCATTATAAGATTAAGTACAAGATTCAGTTGTTCCTGAATACTATTCACAAGTTGATTTATAATCTTAACATGAAGTGCCATCGCTTAATGAAGTGCAATTTTTGTTATAAGAGTNAACAGGGTTGTCCAGCCCTATTGTAATAACATTAATTCTAATTCATTAACTCACAAATCTCTGGAATATCTATACAACCTTATCCCTCTGATGAAACTGTACATTTATTGTTCAAATAGGCTTTGCATTTTGTATCATCATCATATTCTGATGTAGCAGGAGCAGTGGAACAAGATTTATCATTACATTCTTTTCCATTCCATCCACATGGCTCTCCTTTACTATTTATTTTGCATTATTCAATATCAATATATGTTGAACATTCTGCAGTTTATTAACATCCTCCTAAAATTGGTTATGCTCCATTATCACCTGCTTTAGCATACACTGTACATTTAATACTTGATGTAGTATAATAATTCAAACAATCATTATGAGTTAATGTTGAAGTAGGTGCAGTTGTACATGACTTATCTTAACAAGCAGGTTCAGGTAAATTACTATTTGTATTCCAAACACAATCTATTCCACTTGCATTAGTTCTGCATTAATCCTTAATGGTATATGAACTACATGGTCCTCTTGCCATGCAACCAGGAGTAGCTTCTTTATTAAGAGCTCTGACTGTACAACCTAAATTTGAATCAACTGCATAGCATTTATCATGAGTGTTATATAAATTTGATATTTCTATATTGGCACAAGCTAAATCAACACATGTCTTAACAGATGGATTCCAGAAACATTTTTTATCATTCATATCTAATTTACATTATAATGACGATTTATATAATGAACAAGCAGTTCTTACTTGACATCCCCCTGCTCTTGCAACTGTACAAACCTATGAATAATTTGAGCATTCTGTATCATCATCATGTGAAGCATCTGATGGAGCTGTATCACATCCTTTTCTAATACAAATTGAATTAAACACTAGGCACACTCCCTCTATAGCATTTAAACATGAAGTTGATTATTAATCTGAACATTTTGCAGCCATGATAGTGCAACCATTATTAGCCTAATTTACTGTACAAGTTTTCAACCAAGCAAAACAATTATCATGATTAAATGCAAATCCTGTAGCATTTGCACAAGTTCTAGCCATACATGCTGTACTTCCATTAACTGTGCATCCCGCTTTGATTGTACTACAATTATTATGACTATAATTGCCTGTTCCTAAAAATACTGTCTCACAATTAGATGCACTTGAGGCAGGTACACATGCTGAATCACTACTAGTAGATGCAATACAGAATCCTTCTGCTGCTTGATAACAACTACTCATTGCAGTTGAATATCCTGAGCATTATGCTGCTTTTTAAACACAAGCAGTCTTGGCTCTATTTACACTACAACCCAAATTATATGATTAACAAATTTCATAAGTTAATGATACTCCAGTTATTTTAGCACAATCTGTAGATACATTTAAAATAGTAATACAAGTATTTGAATTATAAAGGTAACATTTTGCATTATAAGATTAAGTACAAGATTCAGTTGTTCCTGAATACTATTCACAAGTTGATTTATAATCTTAACATGAAGTGCCATCGCTTAATGAAGTGCAATTTTTGTTATAAGAGTTGCATGTATCATGATTCAGATCAGTTCCAGTAATTGCACTACAAGTAGTACCTGTTATTTGGTAGCAAGAATTTTCATACCATAAACAGGAAGTACCATTAGCCAAAGCAACACATTAATTCTATGTTGTATAATTCTTACAATCTGTCTAAGCATGTTAACATCCAGTACCATCTCTTAGATTAACACATTCACTATTATATAATTAACACATATCAAGGTTGAGTCCTGTCTTTCCATTCACTAAGCTGCATTAAGCAGAAGGATCTGAGATAAAAAGGCAATTTGATGTGCCATCCCATATGCAATTTGCTGCACAATTTTCTTTCAAAGAATAATCTGAACAATTGGATTTCTTTTCTTAACAAGCAGTTCCTGAATAATTAACTGTGCAATCAGGATTATATAATGCACAAAATTCGTCAGTCAAATTTGTACCAGTTACATAAGCACAATCGGTAGTAATATTGGTGACAGATATGCATGTAGAATGCCAGACACAGTAACTTTATGGTCCAGAATCTTACGATCTAGTGCAATTATCACTTTATGTATAATCAGTACAAATGGCTTTCATTTGTTAACAAGAGGTTCCTGTTTTATTTACTGTGCATCCATTGTTAAAAGAAGCACAAATATCATGAGTTAAATTTGTACCTACTACATATACGCACTCAGTAGTTGCATCACCACAGTTAAAATATTATATACTCCTCAATATTCTGAAATTCCATAATTAAAAAATCTTCATAAAAAATCAAATTAAAATCTGTAACAGAAGTACAACTAGATCTCCAAATACATTTAGAGCTAGAGGAGACAGTACATGAATCCTAATTTGGATAATCTGAACAGGAGCCTTTTTATTCTTAACAAGCAGTCCCCGCTTTATTTGATGTGCATATGATGTTATACCCTTTGCAACCAGAATCAGTCAAACCTGAAGACGCAGTAATGGCTGCACAATCAGTTAGCAATTCTCTTGCAGCAACACAATTTGAATTGAGATAAAGACACACATTAAAAGGAGATGCAGCTGCTGAATATGTGCAACTGTCTTCTGTAGTGTAATTTGCACACACCGCTTTTCTTTCTTGGCAGCCGGTTGAATCTTATTTGACTGTGCAACCACTATGATAAGATACGCAAGTGGCCTCTGTGTATCCTTGTGGAATATCTTTACATTAAGTAGCAGGATCTGTAATTGTAATGCATTTTGAAGTTGAACTTGTATAATAACATCTAACTTTGGATTATAAAGTTCCAGCATAACTACATTTCGACATTTCTGTATATGAAGAACAAGTTGTTAGCAGTTCTTAGCAACCTCTTTTATCTGCATCTGCAATGCAGCCAGCATTAAAAGTAGCGCAAAAGGCATCTGTTGTTGCATAAGATGGGTTCACAATAGCCACATTTTAAGTATTGCATTAGCTGGCAGATGTTATTTAATAACATACAGAAGTATTGCTCCAACCACAGAGCCCAGCATTTCCATTAGTTAAAGTCCTAATACATTATTATCCTTAGGAAGTATAATCTGTACAAGCAGCTTTCATCTAATAACAAGTCTACTTGCTTGTAGCCGGCCAGCAATCTTTATGTAATCCATTGCAATAAGTACTAGACAAATTATTTCCAGAAACTGAAGCACATTGACTTGGACTTGTTATATATACACATTTGCTATCTATCCAAGCACAATAACCATCATTTACAGATTTATAACAACTTTTTGACTCTGTGTATGAAGCACAATTTGTTTGAATATATTGACATCCGCCTCCACTAAATTAAGGAATACATGAAGTATTATAACTAGCACATTATTCATCAGTTGCAAGAAGAAAAGTAAGGACCTTAGCACATTGATTAACAGGGTCTGTCACATAAGTGCAAATCGAACCAGTCCAAAAACAAAATCCTGCTGTTCCAGAAGCTAAAGATAATTAGCAATCACCTTCTACAGTATAATCTGAGCAATTAGCCTTCTTTTCATAACAACCATTTCTTGTTAATTTTGTTGTACAAAATGGATTAACTGAAGGGCAATAGCTCTCATCTATTTCAAATGCTGAAATATATTAGCATAGAGAACCAGAAGTAAATGCTTAACAATGTGAACCATCCCAAATACAATTTGCTGCTGTACCAGATGCTGAGGATAATGTACATTAGTCTTCCGTGTACAAACTACATTAACCTTTTTTGATAAAACATTCAGATCCACCTTTTGTTGCTGCAAAAGCTGGATTGAACTATGCACATCTTGCACTTTTCATTTAAAAACCTTTAATAGATGCAGCAATCGTAACAAGTGATGTCATTATACGACAACCTCCATTATTCCAAATACATTTTCCGGCTGTATCAGCTGCTTGTGATAGAGTGCAAGAACTTTGAGTTGAATATAAACCACATTAAGCTTTCTTCTCCTAACAAGCAGTCTTTTCGTAATTTACAGTGCAATTATTATTGTAAGAAGCACAAAATGAATCGGTCAGATTGGTTCCAGTTATGTAGGCACAATGAGTAGCAACTACTGTAACTGCAAGACAGGCTGTACCACTCCAAACACATTAACTTGCTTTTAAGTCAGCTGCAGATACTGTGCATTATTCTTGAGATGTGTATAAATCACAAGTAGCTCTCCTATCTTAACATACTGTTTTTTATTTATTTACAGTGCAATCAGTGTTGTAGGTATTACATATTTGATGAGTAAGGTTTGTTCCAGTAATTGAAAAGCAATTAGAAAAACGAATACAATCAGTACCATTTAAATAGCATTTACCTTATTATGAGACTGTGCAATTATCAGTATTACCAGTATAAGCAGTGCAATTTGCTTTAAATTCTTAGCATCCACTTCCGTTGCCTAACGATGTACATGCAATATTATATGCTTAGCATTTAGCATGATCAAGTCCTGATCCGCTTACAAGTGCGCAATCAGCTGCTGAACTCACTGCTTAACAACTTGGTGGTATTGCTTTATTCATCAGACAATTCGATTGGGTTCCAGTTGCACCTGATTTATAACAATTTGCAGATGTTGTCCCATATCCTGTACATATAGATTAAATTGCAATACAACCACTACCATCCTTTTTAACCGAACATGTAGGATCCACAGTTTAGCAATCTTAGAATGTCAATCCACTTCCAATTCTTAAAGTACAATCTAATGTACATGCAGTTGAAGTACTAGCATTAGCTACATTTGTGCATCCCTATCTATAAGCTTTGCACATTTCTTGTGTTCCTTTAAATGTTGAGCAAGCTCCAGTTGCAAAAGTTGATAATGAATAACATATTCCATTAATCCATTTACAATCATCTTAAGCATTTACATTTGATAAAGTCTTATGACATTAACTAGAAGTCTTATAATTGGAACAAACTGGTTATTTTTGAACACACCCTTATCCTCCAACTTTTGCAATTATTGTACAAGTCTCATTCTGAGTTTAATATTTAAGACATTCTTCATCAGAATCAAAAAGATCAGAATCTGGAGTGTCATCACAAATTGCATTTCTACAAACAGTTCCAGTCCAATAACAATTTTTTTATGTAGATGTAATTTTACAATTCTCTTAAATTTTATATGAAGTGCAAGCAGAGGCTAACTATAAACATGCCGTGCCATCATCATTGACAGTACATTGATTGAATATGTTATAGCAATCATTATGTGTTGTTAATATTATATTTGTGCATGTCTTTTCTACACAGTTAGATCCATTCCAATAACAATCACCATTAGATTTAGATCCATCTTTACAATTTTATTGAACTAACTATGAGCAACTTGTTGGCTTAACCATACATCCATCTTTAGGATTATTTGAAATGCAAGGATATGATGTTTAAGTACAGGTACCTTGAGCATTGGTAGTAATGCATGTGCTCAAGTAGCTTTAACAATTATCAAAAGTGAATTACCCAGCTGAAAGTGCTCCTGGTGTTCCTGATAAATTTGCAGTTGTGCAAGATTTTTCAACACATTTGATAGATGAAGAATCCCAAAAACAAGTTGGAAATGCTGTTCTTGTGATATTACAATTTTCAGATGATTTTCTAGCATCACAAGTTTTAGGTAAATCTTAACATCCTTGAATTGTTGAGGTTCCATTTACTGTAATTGGATTATTAGCCACACAAGACGATAAGTAATTTTGACAGTCTAAAGTTGTTTGAATGGTTTTAGGAGCAGTATTGCAAGCTTTATCAATACATTAAGATCCTGTCCAACCACAGGATTATTTATTAGCTTTGATTTTGCAAGCAGCTTCTATTGTAATTGCTTCACATTTGATAGGTAATGTAACACATCCTTTTCCAGTGTTGCTTAACGTACAACTTGAATAATAAGTTTAACATTCAGAATGAGAAGCTATTGAACTTGAAGCTAATGCACATTATTTCTTATAACACCTTGCTTTCCAAATGCATATGTTGCTGTTTAAATCTTTATCACAAATTGATAAAGTTAATGAATTCTCACATGTTTTTTCTACACATCCTGTGTTTGTAGAATTGACAGTACAAGTATTCAAAAATTATTAACAGAGTTCGTGACTATTATTACTAGATGGAGCATTAACACAAATTTTGTCTTTACAACTTCCACTTGCAGCATGCCAAAAACATGGTTAGCCTAATGAATTTTTGATACAAGCAACTTCTATTGATATGACTGAACAAGTAGTGTTAATTGTGCATCCACCTCCATTTTTAGTAATGCATTTATTAGCAGGTAAATAAGTTTCGCATGCATCATTTGTATTCAATGTTATAGGAGCATTGTCACACTTTCTCGTTTAACATCCTCCTCCTGATTATACCGTACATTTTGATAAATAGGAAGTGCATTAATCATGAGTAGTATTAGATTTTGGAGCATTTACACATGTTTTTTCCTTGCAAGTTGAATCCCATATACAATCAAAATTATTCATGTTTTTAACACATGCAGTTGAAATATTAGCGGCTGAGCAATCTCCATTTAGAACACAGCCTCCCCCTTATTTAGTTATGCAACCTTTTGAAAATGCTGCACAAGCTGAATTAGTTGTTAATGTAGTAGGTGCATTTGAACATATTTTATCTACACAAGCTGTTCCATTCCAATAACAATCTTCATTTGTACTATTTTTAATACAAGCAGCTTATATTGTAGCAGCTGAACAAGTAGTTCTAGTAATACATCCACCATTTAATTTTGTTGTACATGATCCATCAGTTTTGAATAATTTACATGCATCATCAGTATTTAAAGTACTAGGTGCATTATCACATATTCTATCTTTACATTATGTTCCATTCCAATAACATTCGATTTTCATTGATTTATCCCAAACACATTAAATTTCTAAATTTTAATCACTACAATTATTTCCACTATCAATACATCCACCTCCTGATTTTGCAGTACAACTTTAAATTTGATCTCTACATTCTTTATCTGTTTAAAATTTGATTGGTAATTTATCACAAGTATCGGCATCAACACAACTGTTATTATTTGTATCCCAATAACATAAACTACCAAATACGTTTTTTACACAAGATTATTATTTTTTATATTTATCACAAGTATCAATTTCAACACAATGAGTTCCATCAGTAATACATTTATTACTAATAGCTTAACAATCTGAATCTGTTGTTTTGTTAAATGCTGTGCAATCAGTGAAAAATGTACACTATCCTTCTACCCAAGCACATGCAGAATAAGATCCACAGTTGCTGCATGGTTTTTATTTTGGACATTCAGTTTCTTTAAAGTTATCACAATATTTTGCATAGTCTATGACTGGATTAGTTGTTGTATCCTAATTTTTACACGTCTTTTTGGTACTATCCCATTAACATTTGTTGATATCATTTTTTGAGCAATCATCTTCTGATAACAATTAAGAACAATCACATTAAGAAATACTATACTATTAGCTTATTACAAGAGCCACCAATGAGGCCAGGATCAACACTTTAATATTCATAAAAAGTAATTCATTATAATTTTATTATATATTTTTGAATAATTCAATAATTGTATATTTTAAACTTGTTTGAATACATATTTATTTTTCCCAACGCTTTGTAGCATAATTAAATCTTAAAATCAACCCTCATCATTAATTAAATTAATAAAGATTCTTGATGCCAAGACAATACCATGAGAAGCCTCCTAGCTCTAAGTTAATGAGTTTCTTTATTGTAATATCCAATCAAGCTGCAATATCTTTAGTTTTTGGATATTTTCAAACTAGATTAAAGCTAAAACAATTAACCTATCTAAGCTGCTAACACTTTGTGTAATAATCATTCGCTTCTTGTATTTGACCACTGAATTTCACCATTTCCCCTATTCAACAGCTTAATTTTGTATTGTATCATTTTTCATCTTTACTCTGTTGCTCTATTCTTGATAGTAAATCACTAAATTCTTGTTGCCTTCATTATCTTTAGGTTGTTGTTAGACGAATTCGACTCCTCTTCATTTAGATGAAGAAAATTTTTGAATTCCTAATTACTCTAAAGCAGTTGGTTTTTTTTTAAATAAAAGCTATATTACATCTGTACAAGTAAGAATGTATCGGTTATGCGTGCGAATTATGGGATAGTAAAAGAATCAAACAGGAAGACAAAAGCGTATGATCTCTATTATTTTTTTATAATTTATAATTGAAGAATGTTGTGTTAAATGAAAAATGTACTCGACTGCCTACAAGAGTTTAATCAAACTTACTTTCTTAATCGATTGTCTAAGGTAATTTAGTTTTTATACTATAAGTAAATATTTATGGCAGTTTTGTGGAGATCTATTTCAAACAAAAAATCTGTCAATTCATCCTAATAAACTTTACTAGAATAATAAGGCATGCTAATTCAGATATTTTCTATGTAAGTGAGAAGGTTAATAGAAATATATTATGATAAATGATGGACATAATTATCTACAAATTAATCGAAAAAATTGCCGCTAAATGGAGTCTATAAGTTAACTTCAATCTAGAGGTAATTAAAATAGAGAGAGAGTAGTGTGATTAATATATACATTAACATAATAAAATATCAAATCATCGAATGCAACTATCAAGACATTAAAATATTAGAAAATTTTATTTTAAATCTCTTAAAAGTCTAGAATAACTACCCAAAACTCTTAAAATTATGTTACAAGCATAATCAATCTATAAAACCTTAAATATTAATAGTGATTTAAGAAAGCGTTATATTAGTTTGAATAACGAAGAGAGTTACTTATATATTTGAAGGACTTTAGAAGAGGATCTTTGCATTATTAATAATTCAGAAGTCTTTTAATAAACAAAAATATAAAATCAATCTCTATCTCCATTTATACAATTTAAATTTTTTATTTTTAGTAATATATGATAATAATACGAGTGAAAAAGTAAAATCCAAAAGTGCTATAAAGATCATGTAATTAGAGTAAATCAACATATTAACTTAGTGATATTTGAATTTTTTCCGTAAAAATAATTTGGACACACAAATATATTATTTCTTTAAAATTTAAAGCTATAATTATCCTTTTTGAGTATTTTAAGGTATAAATTGATGATAACTTTGATTTGATACAAAAAATTAATACAAATTAGCTTATTTTATTAATATTATTTTTGTATTAAATTAAAATTTGTATTTTTAGTTCCTCATATCAAGGTAGTGCAATAATACAAGATGTATAGAAGCTCGTATTGTTTACATAATTTCAATACTAAATTTGTTTAGATGCTCTTATTTATTTTTTTATGGTTTTCATTTTATCAAGTTATTATAATTAAATTTATATGTTAATATATATTAATGATAAAAACATTAATAGATGAATACCTTTTAAGTATGTGTAATTCTAGTTAATACCTTAAATATTTAGTTAGAAATAATTAGAAAATAATTATTTAAAGGGTCAAAATAATATCACTATAACGGAATTAGCAAACCTAGTAATCTGATATAAAATTATCCATTTTCTGTTTTTAAATAATTCTGTTGAATTCTGTGTTATTTGTATTTATTAATATTATTTAATCTGCTTTTATAAAATAATTAAAAAAGATTATCATTTTACAAGAAATCATGATTATCATTTCTATTTAAAAAAATTTATAATTCATCCATAAATAAGAAAAATTATATTGAAAGTGAAAAGTATTTTTGAAATTATAATCTTAATATTTCAAGTATAGAATAAATAGATTTCAAATAAAAATTGAAGATGTTATGCAAATTTCGTTAAGGGAATAGTGTTGAGTCATAGTCTTTCTTGTGTGTAGTCAACTTTGTTTTACGGTAATTTTTATTTTTTAATCTACAATTTTTGTCATTTTGTGTTTACTCATCACTAAAAAAATGAAATGCAGTAGGAAATGATTGATGCCCTGGCTGCAAAAAAATATAATCATGGCAGCATCCATATTATGCATCCTTTCTTTAAAATCAATGCTTATGATTTTGAATATTTAACAAAAGGTCTATTAACAATTTTGATTTCTTAATAAAAGGAGATTTAGAAATTTAAGAGGATTTAATAAATATTGGTTGTTTATAATATATAAATTGGGCTCTTAAGCTTCTTATTGCTTAAGTTTCTATGGTTTGAAATGGATAGAATAAATATTTTGGAAAAATTTTCAACTTATTATCTAATAACAATATTGTAATGAATGCACAAGTGAAATATTAAACATAGGAATACAAACGGATACAAAAAAATAAACGGTTTCGATAAAGAGAAAGTAGTAGTAGCTTAATCTCAATATGAGAATATATTAAAAATATTGAATACTTATATAATTAGACTTTTATCCTTCATTGATAAGTATGTAAGCAATGCTTTTTAAGAATAAGAATGCATCTTACTTAAATTGGATCCTGTTATTTTTATGATCCTTTCTTAACCTACTCAGTAATGCTTATTTGTCACAATGGTGTTGATTCAAAATAATATTAATAAAATTGCTTTATTAAAAGGTTATAGGAATGAAAGATTTCTATAAAATATAGATAATTATGACTAAGTTGGCTAACAGTTCTTAACTTTTAGAATAAACTTTGAAATATGCAGTGACTTATGATATTACAATTTCCTTCTAATAACAGGAAGAAAACTAGTTTAATGGGTGTCGACATTAAAGACAGCAAATTTAAGATTAACTATTGTCATGAATCCATTTTTTTAGATATCAATTCAATAGAGATTTTATTAAGCGAGACTAGTTTTCTGACTCATAAACTGATCAATTTTACAATAAAGGGGCAGAAGTATTGTATATAAAACATCTTTATTATATGCTTAATTATTTGGCTCAAACAATATGTATAAAATTTCTAAATAATCAAAAATGATTATTCAAAAATCTTCACTAAAATATTTAAAGTTACTAGGATTTGAAGTATAATCTTTTTGATTCATTTTAAATTGATCTTTTCAAAGTTTATAAAACACAAACATTATATTGATTTATACATAATGTAAAATAGTTCCCTTTATTTTTTATGTATAGACTGCATGCTGGAATCAGCACTTCAATCGGCAAACTTAATAATTTGAAGAAATAATATAGAATTCTAACTTTTCCTATTGTTTACAATTAATAAACATAGATTGAATCAAAAAATCTTTGGTTCTAATAAATAATTCATTATATTAGGCTGAATATGGGATTGAAGATAATAACTGCAAATGATAAAAATAGCATTAAGTATAGATATTTCAACAATATAGTGATGCTTAATTAAGAAGAAAATTAAATTTCAAAATATAATTAATGAATTCATATCATAAATTAAAAAAATAAAAGTAATATTCTCTCTCATAAATTTAAAAATGGTAAATCCTAAGTTAATTGAACTAATTAATGATATTAATGCCCTAAAAATACAATAGTAAGAAGAGTTAAGATCTGTAAAATATTGGGGTAAAATGGAAAAAGAGTTTGCAAAGAATAATAATAGATAAATATTAACAATTAAATGATATTTTGTATTTTATTAGTATAAGGAAATAGATGATCATAAAATCTGTCACCAAGGGTAAACACTCTGTGAAAACAATGTATTGAATAATTTAAATGAGGTTTACAATTGGGATCTTAGATAATAATATGTTATATTTGATATGGGCTTTGAGTCAAAGTATTAAATCCTTTTTAATAAACAATAGGAATATTAAAAGAATAAAACTTAGAATTTTTGAAAAGTAAGGGAAAATAGAATCATAATTCAAGAATGAAGGGAAATCATCATAACTCTAACAATAATTAAACTCCTCATTCAATTAAGATAGGGTGCTGATATTTGATCCTAACTAGGAAGGTGAATTGTAATAGCAAGGAGAAGATCTAGTCGTGAAAGATTCAAGTTGGAGCATTTATGATGGTGAAATAATCCAAGTGTGATTAGATACTGTGAATAATCTGATTTTTTAATTTTAAATAAAGATTAATTATTTGGGGGGAGCGTTCATTTAATTGAGAATGTTCGTGAGATTGAATTTCGAAGTATCTTAAGGAAGAAAAGAACATTCGATGATTTTCTAATATTGTAATTAGAAATTAATAATAAAAATATCGTATAATCAATGTCAAAATCGCGTAGTTAGTCTTCGATTCCAGCGTTTTTATAGAAAACTTATGATATTTTAGAAGTAGATATTTATATTTATGCACAGAATCCTCAATTACAGGATATTGTAGGGTGGAATGAGGATGGTTCAGGGTTTTTGGTGAAGAACGTAATAGCCTTTTAGGATCAAGTGTTGCCAATGTATTTTAAGCACAGGAACTTCGCATCTTTTGTTAGATAGGTAATGAGGGAGAAATTAATAGGGATTAGATGAACATGTATGGATTTCATAAATCAAGAAGTGATCAGAAGGAGAATGAGTTTATTCACCCTCATTTTAAGAAGGATCAACGGTGAGTATGATTGATTATGTTAGAAATCTGTTGAAGAAGATAAAGAGAAAATCAGGGGAACACGGTGAAGATTAGTTTGCCATAATGGAATTGAAACCTCATCGAAATCAAAACATATCAGATGTANATATAATTAATGAATTCATATCATAAATTAAAAAAATAAAAGTAATATTCTCTCTCATAAATTTAAAAATGGTAAATCCTAAGTTAATTGAACTAATTAATGATATTAATGCCCTAAAAATACAATAGTAAGAAGAGTTAAGATCTGTAAAATATTGGGGTAAAATGGAAAAAGAGTTTGCAAAGAATAATAATAGATAAATATTAACAATTAAATGATATTTTGTATTTTATTAGTATAAGGAAATAGATGATCATAAAATCTGTCACCAAGGGTAAACACTCTGTGAAAACAATGTATTGAATAATTTAAATGAGGTTTACAATTGGGATCTTAGATAATAATATGTTATATTTGATATGGGCTTTGAGTCAAAGTATTAAATCCTTTTTAATAAACAATAGGAATATTAAAAGAATAAAACTTAGAATTTTTGAAAAGTAAGGGAAAATAGAATCATAATTCAAGAATGAAGGGAAATCATCATAACTCTAACAATAATTAAACTCCTCATTCAATTAAGATAGGGTGCTGATATTTGATCCTAACTAGGAAGGTGAATTGTAATAGCAAGGAGAAGATCTAGTCGTGAAAGATTCAAGTTGGAGCATTTATGATGGTGAAATAATCCAAGTGTGATTAGATACTGTGAATAATCTGATTTTTTAATTTTAAATAAAGATTAATTATTTGGGGGGAGCGTTCATTTAATTGAGAATGTTCGTGAGATTGAATTTCGAAGTATCTTAAGGAAGAAAAGAACATTCGATGATTTTCTAATATTGTAATTAGAAATTAATAATAAAAATATCGTATAATCAATGTCAAAATCGCGTAGTTAGTCTTCGATTCCAGCGTTTTTATAGAAAACTTATGATATTTTAGAAGTAGATATTTATATTTATGCACAGAATCCTCAATTACAGGATATTGTAGGGTGGAATGAGGATGGTTCAGGGTTTTTGGTGAAGAACGTAATAGCCTTTTAGGATCAAGTGTTGCCAATGTATTTTAAGCACAGGAACTTCGCATCTTTTGTTAGATAGGTAATGAGGGAGAAATTAATAGGGATTAGATGAACATGTATGGATTTCATAAATCAAGAAGTGATCAGAAGGAGAATGAGTTTATTCACCCTCATTTTAAGAAGGATCAACGGTGAGTATGATTGATTATGTTAGAAATCTGTTGAAGAAGATAAAGAGAAAATCAGGGGAACACGGTGAAGATTAGTTTGCCATAATGGAATTGAAACCTCATCGAAATCAAAACATATCAGATGTAAAATTATTATGGATGAAACAAAATTAGAAATAAATTCAGTAGATAATGACCAAATAGTAAGAGTTAGAAAAGGTGTGCAAAATTCTGATTGAATAAAATAATAAAATATTGCACTGCAATTAATAATTAAGAAATTAATTGGTTCAAGAAAGGTAAAGATTGAATTCATGAGATTACTAGATTCAATGGAAATAAAAAGTTATAGAAGTTGAAGGATTACTTTTTGGGCTAGTAATAAATATAGGATGATTGTTTACAAGTATATTAAAAGTTTAAAAATTAAGAAACGAGCTCTTGAGGATCTAATTTAATCAGACAATGAGGAGTTAATACTTCCTAGTTAGAAGAAGGTCAAGGGAGAGGATTCTGACAGCACCATTGATAAGATGGAACAATTATATGATCAGCAACCTTTGATGTTAACTAACTCTTTAGTTGATAATGATGGTATGATTCAATTGATCGATGATCATCAATTCAACGATATCTGCTTTGATTGAGCTATAATTAAAATGCAATTATGTTAGAAACTATTATTTTTTTAATTATGAATTAATAGTTGGGATCTTATGTTAAATTTTTCCACATCATCCGAGAATTGGAGGACAGTAACTAAATCGATATTAAACAGAAATAAATCCTCAAAGTCAATTTTACAACAAAAGAAAAAAAATTGATGAATATACTCAACGATCTAAGTAACAACAATCACATTATATTTAGATGACGAAGACGAAGAGGAAATTAAATTCAGTCTCTTAAACTATTTAAATGAATCACCCTAAGAGAAACAGGAAATACAGAGACAAATGAAACGAACTAGATCTAGCATTACTGATGTCGATCTTATTAAGGGTATACAATATGATGAACTTAAATTCACTGATGCACTAGCAGAAATGGAAAAAGCATTAAAGTTAATCACTCATTTTTAAGCCAAAATTAAAGATGGATAAACTATAGATCCAAAAGTCAATGAAATTTTGGAAAACATTAACACACTTTTTATTCAGAATTCACCCTAAAATATCCACTCACCTACAATTATAGGAAGAGGTCAATCACTCAACTTAGATATCAACTACTAAATCGAAAGTGAACTCAGCGAGGCATATAAGGAAGTTAAATGTCAATTTGCAAATTACATGAAGAGTCATCTATTACTCATGGATGAAACTGTCTCCTATAATACTATCTTCAGTTTACTTAAGGAATTGAGCAAGAACCTCTTAAATTGCGACAACTTTAGTTTCTTTGTTATTAATTCCAATAATGATATGGAACTTTATCAATCTAAAACTGACAATATAGAATAAATACCAATTGATTAAACGATTTAGGACGAGTTAGAAACAATCCCAGAGAACAAAGTATTTAGGTTCTCTAAGAATTCATCCTTTTGTTCCAAATTAATGTCCATCAACATTCTATCGTCTTATGGTTTATATGCCAACAATGTTGTGTTCATCTATCATTCAAAATAGAATAAACAACTTGAAACTTAAGATATTCTAAAGTATTTCACTTTTATAAATTAGAATTGCAAATGAATACTAATTAATAGATGAAATCAAGACTCTATCTATGTTCCTTTTACAAACAATTCAAAATGCTAAAGTATAATTCTTCAGTCCATTGTCCATAGCTGACATGATCCTAGATCTTGGAATATCATTCGTTAGAGCTTCTAAGTTTGTTCTCATTGAAAAGATGTATAACATCATCAGCCAAGTCTATAAAATTGATAAGTATTCTTAATTTAATGATAGATTACAAACAGATTAATAAGAAATTTAGGTTTGGGATACTGAGAGTGTCTACATAGTATTCAAAGATTAAACAGTTACTGTGTGTTTTAGAATCTATTAAATGAATCTAATAAAACAGAGTGATCAAAGATTGTATTCGGAGATCAAACAATTCTATGAGAAATATCTTCGATTCATTAGAGAATGCTTTGATAAGAGTGCCTTTTATAAATTCTTTCTAAGATCAAACGATTCACTCATTTTTGAATTCGATAAAAGTGGTCACTTGTTGTTCCTCTCCAGACCCATCCCTAAGCAAATCAAATCTAATTTCAACATCCAATTTAATTCACATCTAATTCACTCCAATCAATTATCATATAACAAGATATTTGATCAAAGTGTTGTTTCCAATATTGAAAACTATCTACAAGATCATAAATGGTAAATGATGAAGGACAATGAGAAATAATATGAAATATTCCTTAAAATTGAAGAGAAGACTTATAAAGGATTCGCTGTTATCTTTACTGAAAATATCAAGGGATGGGTTAAAGAACAATTTAAATAATTGGAATCAGGTAATCAATTGGATTCCAAAATCAAAGCCAAAATCAGAAAATAACTCATCCAACATGAAACAATCAATTTTGTTAACAAATTAGAAGAAAACAACCCAGAAGTCAAGGATTCAGTTGCATCCTTATATATGCCTCTATAGCAATTAATATTAAAAAAATCCAAATCTATTAGGGATATCCAGAATACTTAAAATGAACCAAAAATGAGAAAAACAGAAGCCCCATAAAGATCGAAGTTTCTCACCATTTAAGAATTGGACCTCAACGAATTTTCTTTGGATATTTAAGATGATTTAATTGATACTTTCGACTTTAACATCATGGAATTAACTTCACAAATACAAAAACATAGAGTTGTTTGGGCAATACTTAAAAAGAATGGACATTTAGATGAGTACTAAATACCCCCTGAGAATTTGCAGAGCTTTATTAAAGAGATGGAATACAATTACAATGTCAACAATAACCCGTATCACAATTATGATCATGGTGTTACCGTGATGCAAACAGCTTATTATTTCTGTCTGGAATTAGCTTTTACCTCTAACGCCTCTATAATAGATAACTTTAATAGATTCATATTGATGATTAGCAGTTTTGGCCATGATGTTGGACATACTGGTAAAACTAATGTCTTTGAAATCAATAGTTTGAGTGATCTAGCCATGAGGTATCATGACAAAAGTGTACTTGAATAACATCATGCAGCATTGACTATTTAAATTCTAAAAAATCCATAAAGCAACATCCTTGTAAACCTCAATCAATAAGAATTTAGAAATTTCAGAAAAGGACTCATCGCCAATATTTTAAGTACCGATATGTCCGAACATTTTACTTTGTTGAAAGACTTTGAAAATAGACCTAAAGATTTTAATGATTGCAAAATTTTGAGTGGTTACATTATGCATACAAGTGATTTTGGAGGAGCAGGAAAAAAAACTAATCTGTCTATTTAATGGTCTTCAAGGGTCAACCAAGAATTTAGTATTTAGTATAAATTGGAAGGTGAATTAGGGTATCCTCAATAACCTTACATGAAGGATTTACATATTGTAATTCAATTTCCTATTTTTAGCCGCATGTCTTGGCCAAATCAGAAATAGGTTTTCTTAAGGTGATTGTTAGACCTTGTTATGCACTATTAAGTGAGTTCTTGGAGGACAAGCTCAAGCATTGCATAGCCAATATTGATGATACAATATAGCATTGGGAGAAAATAGTCAAAAAAGGTGAAGAATAACAATAATGAAAACTATATTTATTTAATTTATATGTTGTGTGAGAATTTAAAAATGTCTGAGAATTTTGTGGAGAAATACCCAGATAGAGTGTAATTCTTAATGATAACTAGTCCTATATTGTTATAGATTAGTCTCAGATCGAGGTTAAGATTTTAAGATTAAACAACCATTAAAAAATACTTAGTGAGCAAATCTGATCATTTTTATCATTTTCTTTAAGTAATTAGAGAAACCCTTCATTTATAAAAATAAGAAAGCCTTTACTTATTCATTAATAATTCTGGTCTAATCAAGGCAGGTAAAACAATCTACTATTCTATTTTAGAAAGTTAAGTTGATGAAATCTACTAGAAATTTAAAAGTTCAGACGGCTTTCTTAGAATTAATTTAACAGAGTATCCTTCCTTTGGAAATGAATGATACTTTCAGAATTCATACTTTTTATTTTCATTAAAGCATTATAATATATGAAAAATAATCTAAAATATTAATATATTTATTCCATAATTGATAAAATACAAATAAATTTCATATTAAAAACAAATTAGAAAATTGATTTATTTATTTCTATTTTTTTTAAATAAAAATGATAGTAATTCTTATTGATATTTTCTCACATGTCATTTTTATCCTTTGTGTACTTAAAGATATTTATTAATCTAAGACTATTGTTACTTCTTATCTTTCAACAATTCTATTTAATATGTAATATTTGCATTATATTTTGTTAAAAATATGAAAGACTATTGAATAATTTGTAATTTTATTATATAATTATTAAAAATGATTAATTTCTTTTAAAAACAAAATAATGAACTAAAGTGAATTAAGTTCTGATGATTTGGATCAATTATTTAAAGGAATTTAATCTAAATTGGAAGGAAAAGAAGACATTATGGATTCCTTGATACCTAAATTTTAAGAAAAATACAAATTTTTCCAAATCTAAGAATCCTCTAAAAAGTATATATCCTAACTTTTCATTTAGATTATTAGGAAGATTTTAGCTTAGACTATCAGAATTGATGGAAAAATGTAAGAACTAAAATTAATTCAATTACTTGGTTGGCATTCAATAGAAGTTGTTAACATTTAATATCATTCAAATTCTTGATTAAATTAATAACTCAGGTATAGAAAATAAAGCAAAGGATATTGTTCCATAATTCAAATAACCTACTAATTGGCAATAAAATAATAAAATAAACAAATCATTGTTTTAATTTTATGAGGATTAATTTTGGAGATTATACGGCATTTTGTTATTGAATGAGTATTTATATATTGATTTTAAGAGAAAACATCGAAAATATGATACTTTACTATCAGTCAAAGCAAGATAATGTTGAACGATTATTGAAGTTAAGTTTAGAAAGAAATAGATAATTTCTTTACATATAACAATTAAAATATCCATAATTGGCTACTATTGAAAACAAAGCTTAATAAATGAATTTTTCTCAAATTAATTACACTATGGAGACTCCTTATTAAAATAAAAATATTAGAATGTTTGGTACATTAACATAAAATCCAAAATTCAATAGATTTAATTCAACAAGTCCAAAAAAATACTTAAGAACCAATAATTTCAAAAATGATTGGAGTATTGAAAATGATAGCCAAGTTCTTGATAGTTTAGATAGAAGGACACGAATTTATTCTTAAAATACTTCCAATATATTTTCAAATTAGACTGTGAGAGAAAAAACTTAGCATTAATCATTTTCTTAAAAAAATAACTTGAATGGGTAGGGTTCCCAAAACTAAACCCCACAGGGTAAAAAAAAGATAAGTTCTATCGATCTAAATTGTAAATTAAAAATTAAATATTAGAATCCTTTAATTAATTCGTGATGTCGACATAATCAGTTTCACCTAAAAGATAATTCAAGAAACCAAAAATTAATTAGAATCTGAATTCGACCTTTTATTAGTAATTGTTTCCATCACAAAGAACTACAAATAGAGCATTTGTAATTATGAAAAGCATTTTGTTCAATGAATCAAAAGGAATTCATAATTATGCTTACTCTAACATGGTGTTTAATTAGAAGTAACTAAAGCCATGATATTACTTAATTTATTATCTCTATTAGATCTATGTATGTAATTTTAAATAAAATGGAATTATAATGAAGAAAGAGTATCAATTTAAATTATAATATAAAATAATCGCTGACGTATTAAAACACAATTGTTAATATTTATTTTATAAAATCTTAAACCCTTAATGGAATAATAATACATACTCTGCCCATCGTGCAAAATAAGTGTAGGTTTCTTAAGTTGTTGTACTTGCCATAGAAAATTTGATCTAGTCCCCAGTAATGGATTATAAGTGCATTGTCCATTATGTATAGATGTATTTGTACATTATATTACGGTAGTGTAAATTGGATACCTTTTACCAAAGTGATGCAGACGTATAGTTACATTAACAATGCCATAGAAATTCAAAAAGGATGTTTTATCATTGTGAATGTTGCAATGGCTACTTTTGCAAGTGTGTGTAAGTTTATAAGTTAATTTTTAGAGAACGATAATTGAAAAGATAAGTAATTTTAAATCCATGTCCATTTTCTAAAAGCAGATGATATTTTAAAAGTTCAAAAAAAATGATAAACTGTTTTTATGTCTAAATAAACTCTGCACTATTTACAAAAAATTTAAATGTTTAAAATATATAACAATTTTTGATTAACTATTAGTAAAGAAATTATTTTCAACTGCTATATAATTTCAAATGTTTAAATTCTACAAAATTACTTTAGAAGATATCATTGTTTAATAATTTGAATTTTCTTTTTTTTATATAAAGTATTAAGAATAAAAGTATTAATTAATCTTAAATAAATTTTCTTTAAAAAGAAATACTTTAATACTTAAGTAATTAAATTATCGATTTAAGCCTAAAATAACTAAATTTTATAATTTCATAATTTTCATGCTTTAGGCCTTACAACTATATTTTCTTTATATAAGTCAGCATGAATTTATCTTATTCTTTAAGGGGGTCCTTTAGGATTAACTGTTTAGACTATTTGTAAATATATTATAAATATACTTCTTGTTCTTGGAGATAATTATCTATCTGTCAACTACTAAATAGGGATGACGGAATCATCGCTTGTTTAGACCTAATAATATGCAATAAAAGGTACAAATTTTGCAGCACAATTGAATTATTCTATATGAGATCCTATATCTTCATTTGATTACCTACAAGAAAGATTTTACTGATCGGGGTTTCGTGTAGAATTTAACATATCAGTTAAATTAAAATGAATAGAATCTGCTTCACTTTTCTATATTGAGGAAGGCAGTATTTTGATTTTATTCACATGACCTTAACTGAGAGCATTCTAAAAAAATCAATTTAAAAGTACTTTAGTATGTCCGGGTTGATGCTAAGTATGAAAATCATTAGAGAAATTGTTTTTTTTATGCTTAATTTATTTAGGGGTTGAATTTTTTATCTCTAATAAATTAACTTAACTAAGAGCATTTTCATAATATTTATTTTTGCTTTTTTATCTTGTTAGTTGAGTTTACACTGATTTTAATTGCTATTCTTTTTTTAAAGATTCTTCAATTAGTATAGATTATTTCCTTTAAAATTCATTTTTTAATTTCAAAGCCACAGCTTAACATTGTTCAGCAATTTTCTTTTCATTTATTAATTTTTTTGATAATTCATTTCTTTATTCAATTAATTTGTTTTCCTTTTCCCTTAATAGTAACTCCTGCTATTTAATCAAGCTTTCCAATTTAGCATTCTAATCTCTAAAGATTATTCAATTACTCATTACTTTTATTCTTATAAATGCTTTTCTAAAATTATTTTATCCTATTCCAACTAACAAATCTTTTATGCTTATGATTGTTCTCTTGCTTAACTTGAGATTTAATATTAATTATTTTGGAGGATAGTTTCGTTATGTACTCTATTGAGATCTGCAATTTATTACAATAAGCTTCTTTACTAATATATTTTTAAGAATTACTGCTTATTCATGCGAATAGCCCAACTCTTGGATAGTTTTTTATAATTTTTCCTTTTCTCTCAATTCCTAATCTAATTCAAATGTAGTCTATTTAAGCTTTAGTTTTAAACAATTGGAATCCTTTGAATAGGTTTATTTTTTTACATATTCTAAAATAGATTTTTAGTTATTTAAAGCCTCTGAAAATTCTCTAGCTAATCCCTCTTTCAAAATTTCATTTTATTTTAGAATTTATGTAATTTAAAGTTAAAAGTCAGCACATTTATAGCATTTTCTATAATAAATTTATCTTTATTTATACTGTTCTTTCTTCTCTAATTCTTCATAATCTAGAATCAATTGGTTGTAATTTTTTTCTAAATTAGTAAATTCTTTGCATTTGTTTCGATACTAAATATAATAGATAACTTACTTCATATTCCAGAATAGTAATCTTTTCATTAAGAATTGACTTTAGTTTGGAAATTTCTTCCTCATGTAGTTAATTTAATAATTGTATTTCTTTTCCTCTATCATGACTAGATATATCTCCCATAGCTTTCATTAAGGATTCATTAAGCTTTTTTAAGTTAGCTTCTCTCTCCAGTGCTTCTTTTAGTTGCATTTCTACTAAGACTGCCCTTTCCATTAAATTAACAGTTTATAATATATTTTTAAATTATTTCACTTTTTATACATATTACATGAATTTTAACAATTAAGGATAGATTTCAATAGATGATTTATTAAAGCTATGTCAGTAATATTTAGAAATGAGTGATGCGGATATTAAATAAAAAATGATCTAAGCTAATTTTGGAAACCCTAATGATTATGACCTAAAAAGCAAAATATAAGAAATAATTACCTAAAGTAAAATTGAAGGAAATAAATAAAAGATTCAGACCTATATAGATTAAGTAAAGTTATCACTTATTTAGAAATGCGCTGAGAGAATTTAAAATATACCCGAAAATTAAGATTTCCAAAATAATTCTGAAAGAAATACTAAAAGCAATGAATTAAAACAATGTAACAAGGCGTTGTTTAGGACGAAGGATCCCATACTAAAAGAGGAATATAAAAAAACGAGTCGAATAAGTGATCCATAATCTAATAATTAATATGAATCTAATAAGTAAAGCAGTTTAGAAATGGAAATGCAAGTAATTTATGAGGAAATTCGCAAACCAACTTCTATTATAAATATACATTAAATTCATTAAAATCGCAGATAAGAATAAATTAACCCATAAACAAACCAAGATGAGAATTCACTCTTGTAAGAAGAAATAAAGAAAAATAGGTTAGCAAGTATAGGTAATAATAAAGTACACAATTAAGAAAGAATTTAAATTTCTGATCATAATTAATATGATGTTAAACATAAATATGGTAGACCAAGTTATGTATCTATTAGAACTGATTAAAGAATTAGAAATAATTAAAGCCCTAGAGAAAGCGATAGAATTGGTGATCATTCATGTAACATTCCAAAGATTAAATAAAAAGATAGATCTCAAAAAGAATATTAAGGCATTACGGAGAATAAAACAAATATAAATGATTCAACAACATAAGAAGGGTAAGACGATTAACAAAACAAATTATTGAAAAATAATTTATATATTACTGCAATCCAATAATAATCTAAATATAACGATTAAGATAATAAAAATAAATAGAATGATTCTTAAGAAATAGAATAAAAAAATGAATAAATTAAAAATTAATAAGATACAAATCTTTTTGAATAATTCCATTAATAAAATTTTATAACAATTAGTGATTCTTAAAATTGTATTAGATAAACGGAAAATGGAACAACAAAAACTGAAACGATAAATTAAGAGGTGGAAACTTAAATGGATCATGATTTAAGAAGAGAAATTAGTGATTAGATAACAAAGCCTAATGAGTAGAAGGAAGATGTTAAAAATGGGAAGGATAAAGATCAAATTACAGTTGTGAGAGAATAAACTGATTAGGTAGAAAAATCTAATTAGGTAGATTAAGAAGTGTAAATAAAAAAGGATAATGATGAATTTGATGTGGAAATAAAATCTAACTAATTGAATTTAAAACTATAAACTGATATAAACCAAGATTAAGCTAAATTAAATAAAGAATTAATCGAAAAAGAGATAAGACATAACTAGTTAAATTATGTTTTAGAAACCGACATAGAAAATTAATAAGATAAATTAATTAATGAATAAATTGATAAGAAAATATAATATAATTAGTTGAATTAAGAAGTGTAAACTGATATAGAACATGATTAAGTTACATTATTTAATGAATAAATTGATAAATAGATAAAATATTATTAGTTAAATAAAGAAGTGTAAACTGAGATAGAACATGATTAAGTTAAATTCTATAATGAATAAATTGATAAGAAAATAATATCTAATCAGTTAAATTAAGAAGTATAAACTGATATAGAACCTGATTAAGTTACATTATTTAATGAATAAACTGATAAATAGATAAAATATTATTAGTTAAATAAAGAAGTGTAAACTGAGATAGATCATGAATAAGCTAAATTAATTAATGAATAAATTGATAAGAAAATAATATTTAATTAGTTAAGTTAAGAAGTATAAACTGATCTAGAACATGATTAAGTTAAATTATATAATGAATAAATTGATAAGAAAATAATATCTAATTAGTTAAATTAAGAAGTATAAACTGATATAGAACCTGATTAAGTTACATTATTTAATGAATAAATTGATAAATAGATAAAATATTATTAGTTAAATAAAGAAGTGTAAACTGAGATAGATCATGAATAAGCTAAATTAATTAATGAATAAATTGATAAGAAAATAATATTTAATTAGTTAAGTTAAGAAGTATAAACTGATCTAGAACATGATTAAGTTAAATTATATAATGAATAAATTGATAAGAAAATAATATCTAATTAGTTAAATTAAGAAGTATAAACTGATATAGAACCTGATTAAGTTACATTATTTAATGAAAAAATTGATAAAGAGATAAAATATTATTAGTTAAGTAAAGAAGTATAAACTGAAACAGATCAATAATTGAGTATATATATTAGTGAATAAATTGATAAGAAAATAATAACTAATTAGTTGAATTAAGAAGTGTAAACTGATATAGAACATGATTAAGTTACATTATTTAATGAATAAATTGATAAATAGATAAAATATAATTATTTAAATTAAGAAGTATAAACTGAAACAGATCAATAATTGAGTATATATATTAGTGAATAAATTGATAAGAAAATAATAACTAATTAGTTGAATTAAGAAGTGTAAACTGATATAGAACATGATTAAGTTACATTATTTAATGAATAAATTGATAAATAGATAAAATATAATTATTTAAATTAAGAAGTATAAACTGAAACAGATCAATAATTGAGTATATATATTAGTGAATAAATTGATAAGAAAATAATAACTAATTAGTTGAATTAAGAAGTGTAAACTGATATAGAACATGATTAAGTTACATTATTTAATGAATAAATTGATAAATAGATAAAATATAATTATTTAAATTAAGAAGTATAAACTGAAACAGATCAATAATTGAGTATATATATTAGTGAATAAATTGATAAGAAAATAATAACTAATTAGTTGAATTAAGAAGTGTAAACTGATATAGAACATGATTAAGTTACATTATTTAATGAATAAATTGATAAATAGATAAAATATAATTATTTAAATTAAGAAGTATAAACTGAAACAGATCAATAATTGAGTATATATATTAGTGAATAAATTGATAAGAAAATAATAACTAATTAGTTGAATTAAGAAGTGTAAACTGATATAGAACATGATTAAGTTACATTATTCAATGAATAAATTGATAAAGAGATAAAATATTATTAGTTAAATAAAGAAGTGTAAACTGAGATAGACCATGAATAAGCTAAATTAATTAATGAATAAATTGATAAGAAAATAATATCTAGTTAGTTAAATTAAGAAGTATAAACTGATATAGAACCTGATTAAGTTAATATATTTAATGAATAAAGTGATAAAGAGATAAAATATCATTAGTTAAATTAAGAAGTGTAAACTGATATGGGTAAACATTAAACTAAATTAATTTATTAATAAATTGATAAGGACATTCAATCAAATACAACATATAATTAATTATATGCCAGTTTGTAGAAAAGTACAATTTTTAATTTACCTCTGCTTATATAAATATTAAATTAAAATTAACTAAACGCATTATTCTAACTTATTATGATAATTTAATCCTTTCCTTCAATGAATTTTAGTATAAAATAGAAGCTTCTCATCTAATTGTGTTTATTTTATATTCTTCATATTACAATTAATCAACTTAATTAATACCATAATTGCATTATGAGATAAATTTATCATTTTTCAAGTTATACTGATGCCATTAAAGTTGATAATAATATGTATTTGAGATTTACATACATTCCTTAACATTTCATATACATATTACAGCTTAGAGGCTAAAGAGTACATGTATTCCAAATTATTGATTTCTTTATTACTAATTTACCTATCTTGAAGATTTCTAGGTAAAGTATAAAGCATAAAATTAAAATTAAGTGTTAACTTAATGAGTAAATGATATAAGGTAAAACAATAAAAGATGCATATTAATAACCAATTCAAAAGAATTTAAATAGCCAAAAGATTGAAAAGTAAACTACTAGTTCTAATAAATTTTATAGATTATTGAGTCCGCCAGGTATAAAATATGATTATATTGTTAGTTCTTAAGAATTATTTTTAGTTTCAAAATGGGTTAACGAATTATTAGGATTGCTATTCCTATTTGTTAAAATTAATTCGAAGACAAAAAGCTACTTATTTTACTTATTTAAGTTTTCACCTTTTGCTATGATTATTTTTTTTGTAAAATATTTATTTTGAATAAGTAAAATATAATGTTTTAGACAGAGAAGATATTATTGAATGAATTTTAGTAAAATAATTAGAATAATTATAATAATTTATAAGTTATTTATCATTTATAATCAAGAAATGGACACACCAATTGGTAAGGATCTCACAAATTAAGTGATTGGGAAGGTTTATAAATTAATAAAAAGAGTTGGGAGCGGTGCTTTTGGAGAAATATATTTGGTTGCTAAAGGAAAAGAAGAATATGCCATGAAACTAGAAAGAAGTGATACGAAACATCCATAAATATTTTTTGAGGCCAAATTGTATAACTATTTGCAAGGATCTGATCCTAATGATAAAGGTATTTGAATTATTAACTCAAAGCCAGGAATTCCTAGAATATATGCTTAAGGTTAAGACGGTGATTATAATTACATCGTCATGGATTTACTGGGTTAAAGCTTAGAAGAATTATTTAGTAAAAATAACAAAAGACTTTCACTCAAGACTGTAATTTGTACCCTCTATGATTTAGGTGCTGATGTTGGGTGATCAAATGATTTAACGGATTGAATACATTCATACAAAATAATTTCTACATCGCGATATCAAGCCAGACAACTTTCTAATTGGTTTAGGTAAGAAAGCAACTCGGGTTTACATACTTGATTTCGGGTTAGCTAAGAGATATTTAACTAAGGAAGGCCACATTCCTTATAGAGAAGGCAAGAGTTTAACTGGAACTGCTCGTTATGCTTCTGTCAACACTCATTTAGGTTTGGAGTAATCAAGGAGAGATGATCTTGAATCACTGGGTTATGTGCTTATGTATCTGCTGAGAGATTAATTGCCTTGGCAAAATATGAAAGCTAACAATCAAAAGGATAAATATTAAAGAATTATGGAGAAGAAACTTGAAACATCTCCAGATGCTCTTTGTAAAGGATTTCCAATTGAAATGAGTTAGTATTTGAATTATTGCAAGAATTTAAAATTTGAAGACAAACCAGATTACAATTATTTGAGAGGTCTTTTTAAAGTATAAATTATTAGTATTTAAGGATGCTTTTAAGAAGATAGGTTTCGAATGGGACTATAAGTTTGAATGGATTAAGGATGAATCTCTTGTCAAAACCTAATAGGATATACAATCAGAAAATAAGTTGATGATCATGACTTAGCCATTACAACAATAACAATAAGGAGTCAGACAAAATGGCATTGAGTCAGATAAGAAGATTGGAAATAATAATAGTCATCATCTCAATATCAATTCTCAATAATAATCAGGACAAAGAAGACCCCAATAACAGGCCAACAAAGCGTCATAATAGTTATCAGTAGAGAAAAAAAGGACAACATCCTAAAATAAATAGTTTATTTAATCTAAAGAGTTAGTCAAACCTGTAACACAAGTATTAGCCCCAAAGATTGTTACTACTAAAGAACCACCTAGAAAGTATTGAAAAATATTGCATTATATAACATCAAAATTTATCATAATAGACTATCACTTCTGAAGTTTCAATAAGCAAGTGTTAGGTTGAGTAATAGAAATTATAAAAATGATAAAGCACAGAGCAATAGTTTAAGTTATCTTTTTGTAAATGAACTTTAATTTTAATATTAAACCAAATTGAAATACTGATTTCCAAAGCATGACGATTAGACTCTTCGCATAATTTTAATTCTCAATTTTTATTTATATTTCAAAATTGCATCAAATTATTTAACTTGTATTTATAACTCACAGTAATCCAATCTATAGAAAAGAATGTTATCCTGTATAAACTATTATTTTTAGTTTTCACCTTTCAATATTCAATAGCTTGCAACAGTTTGATTTAATAAGTTAATTGAACATCCAGTCCCGAAAAGTCCTGTTTGGTTGCTTGTTGATTCATTTATATATAAGTGGGATTATTTAATAAAAATTTAATAAAATTAATAGTTCTTAATGTTATAAAGACTAAAGACAAAAAAGATTTAGCTATTATATCTTAATTGTAATTTAATTAACAGCGTTATTATTTAGTTAATTATGAAAATAAGTTCACACATAATAAGTTGTGTAATTATTTAGGATTCTTAAAAAGAGGGAATTTGATTAATTAATATAAATGATAACTAATCATCCAGCTTATCCAAAAAAAGAGATTGATAAATATTATTTGCAAACTAAATTGCCAGAGTATTGACTTTGTTAATGTAGATATCAAACAGTTCCTATCAATGAACATTAAAAAAAAACCCATGACTATTATAATGATAATACGCATATTTGGAATAATCCACATCAAGCTAAATCGAATGCAAAAGTTTTCAAACAGTTAAAAGATCAACATGACAAAGGTGAAAAAAGAATTAAGAAATTGTAAGAGATGGAATAGAAAGAGAAATAAGAGTTACAACGCAATAAAATAATATACTATAATATGGCAAGAGATGAGGATCTCATGCGATTACAATAACGAAAATTAGAAAGAGGTAGTCTACAAAACTTAAGTTCGCAGCGCAATGATGTTCAGGTAGATTCCATAGCTGTAAAGCCAATCCTTTCAAGAACAGCATTACTGGGTCGACCAGACCATCTATGGAATAAACTGAATTAACAATCTTAAAAATATGTTAATTTGCTGATCAACCCAAAGATTCTGCAAATGGAAGAGCAAGGAGTCAAAGCAATAAGTGAGAAAATCTAAAAAGATTTGGAAATTGAATAAATCAAGGAGGAGTTAAGACTATAGAACATGGAACATATTAAATAATAAAGCACTCTAAGAAGGATGACTAATCTTGAAATGGAATAAAGAAGTGGCATTCTCCCTTCCCGATTAAGTTTGTAAAGAGTAGCCACTGCTTAAACCAATTGTAGACAACCTAAGGATGTTATAGAGTCTACCTTATAATAATTGGAACATTAATAGCAATCTCAAACTATTCAATAATTGCAAAATTAAATTATCAATACAGCATAATACAATCAGACAAGCAGACCATATACAGTTGGAAGTGTAAAACATTATATTTTTATTTTAGGATTTTAATTCCATTTCTTTCAATGCTGGATAAACAGCCAAAATTGAACAACGTAATAATCCTAATCAGAATTAAACAACCCCAATTTTTCTGGTTAATAGGTATTTCATTATTTTTATTTTAGTCAAAAATCAAAATCTGTATCTACACTTTCTCACAAGCATCCACTTGATAGAACAGAATTTAAAGGATTGTTATTAGCTTAAGCAGTTGAACAAGCTGAGAGTAATTTTAGTAAAACCCTCAAAGCCAATAGTTCTTTATTAAAAGAAACTTCGATTCACCTCACAAGGACTAAGTAATCGATGATCCCAAAAAAAAAAATACAGATAAAATGTAATAACCACTTCCCTAATGAGTAAAATAAAAATGATCAAAATGATTTGTAGATTGTAAACAGTATGTTGGACAGTTTTGAAAGGAAACTGTATAGAACCAACTATTTAGATGACGAGAATTTGTGATAACAACAATTAATATTCAAATTAATCTAAAATTCACTTAATAATGCTCAAAATTAAATTATATCATCAACTTCTAGATATTGATTTCGATTTAGATTCGTAATATCCAAAATCTGAAGGAAGTCTATACTGACCAGGTCCCGGAGTTTGCATACTGGAAACTGAATAAGTTTTCCTGATATCATGGGGAAAACTTCTACATTTACTAGAATGTAAATTAGAAGTTGGATAAAATCCAGTCTTTAAAGTTTAGATTAAAAGATTACCTTTTATATGCCAATATTATCTAATTTATAATTTCCAGGTCCTGGAACATCACTGCTATCTAAAATTAATAGAATTAATAATTTACATTATTTATTGTCAAATCTCTTAGATCGGGGAGGATTAAAAAGAGTAGCACAACTATTGGAAAATTTAGAAATTGGATATCTTCCTTTCGAATCTATTCCTTAGACAGAGTTATAAGCTCCAGGTCCTACTAATATTCAAACATGAAAACCTGGAACATTTTTGGTAAGAATCATGATATCTTATTAATTTTTTGGACGCATCGTATATCTTGTTTAACTGAGGGTAGACTGACTCTCATACTTTCCTGGACCTGGAGTTACTTTATTCAATCCCCCCATAATCCCAGTTTACCACATTTTCTAGAAATAACAATATAATATTACATCACGACTCACTCCAAAGGGATAGCCTCTATTTTTAGTTTTATTAAAATCTATTTCCCCCACTATCTTGTAGGTATCAGGTGCTGGAGTGTTTGGTCCATTTTTTGTGAAATCATATCTAGAAATGTAAATAATGTTGCTGTACTTGGTTGAATAGCCTACCCCTGCAGCTCTTTTTTGCTTTTGGTCTGGGAGATCATAAAATGCCACTGCGCAACTAATTATGAAACGCACGGTTACTTATTTGGATTTTCTAACTTGCCAAAGCGACTGCTTTTAGGGAAAGACCACAGTTATTTAGCAGTACTCAGATTGAGAGGCGATTGATTAATTTATTGACAGGTAGAGGCTGTGATTGACATTTAATAAAATTAATAAAAGTAGAATAATAATTATTATTTTTATAAATGGAAGTGATGATCAAATTTTCAAAGTCTCACTGGAGAGACTGATTTAACAAGTGTGAATGTTGGATAAACATAAACTTATTTTGGTTGTTATTGCATTTGAATATTCCTTTGAGGAGTATTAGGTAATCTCTTAACATATTATTTATTAACTTGTGGTTGTTTCTATTAAAGAGATTAGAACAGTTAAGTTAGCATTTATTTTTATTCTGCCAATTCTTATCTAATTTCTTAGATATACTTAGTATTTGGATCTTCTGATTGAATTTGAGTGCAATTACCATTACATGAATGGTAGTTTGAGTCATCCATTTTTTTTTATTATTATTTTTCAAATGAAGTTTGCAGATTCTTTTCAATAACATTATTTTAATGAGAAACTAAGGAGATGTAGTTTTATATGTTTCCCAATGGTACATCATTTCCATCATGTACTTTTTGTATAGATTACTTTGAACTTAGTGATTTGGTTGAGAATCCTTAGTTTTATTATTCTTATTTTATGTTTGGTTTAATTTTTATGCTATTGAATTTGTTAAGCAAACTGTGAATCTTATTTTTGTGATCATTATAAGCAGTATTATAATCTACATTGAATTTGCTTGGCAGGGTTTTTTGTGAACTTAATTATTGTTATTCATTTTCTTCATTCTAAACATAAATAGGCTTGATAGTAGATCTTCTTTCTTCACTAGGTGGAGATCTATTTAACTCTTTTTAAACAACTTCGCTCAAACATTGAAGATTTTTATTATTTTATTGTATAATTGATTTAGTTCTCTATGCAGTTGTAGATTAGATATCAGCAAATACTGTCTTCTTTTATTTAGAATCAGAATGATATTTTTATTTTTATGCTTCCAAAATATTTTTTAACGTTAACATGCGATCATTAGTTTATTATTGTTATTATTACTAATATTATTATTGTTATTATTGTTATTATTATTATTACTATTATTAGATTGACTTAACTTCATTTTAAGATAATGATCTTTTCTAATTATAATCACTATTCCTCTTCATGTATTATTGTTATTCCTCTTGGAAAGCTGCTGTTTTTCTGGAATTCTTTAGACTTGGAATCTCTAGTAAGCCAAATGATATCTTGTTTTCAAAAAAATCTTCAGTAGGTTAAGTTTTGGTTCTTGATTACTAAGTATCGGTTTTCCTTTGAGTCTAATTCTCATCATGTTAATCCAATATGAACTCATAGATCTAATGTTGTTAATCGAGATTTCTCGTATTAAATTAACTTTATAATTTCCTGATTTCCTCGACTGATTTGCTTAGAGTATTTGTTTTGGTACTGTATTTTCTTAAAGATGGGTATTATTAGGATTTGATTTCAGATAATGTATTTACCCGTAGTCTAACGAATTGCATCACCTCAAACAACCTTATGTATCCCAATATTATCTCCTTGGATATTGGAGTTATAATGTATTACTAATTAGTTTTCTTAGAGAAATTAACTATCAAAGATATAATGATGAATTACACACTAATTCTTGCGGAGTTTCCATTTAATCCAAATAGCCGCTGCTCTTGATTTCCACCAACTGTCCCTGATTATATTTGCCTTTCACCCATTAAATTCGCTGATCTTGAAATATCATTAACCCATTCCCATGATATACGCCTTATTGGAACTAACCTTAATAGATCTCATCTTGTTAATCTAATCGACCCAATCCATTTAGTTTTCCTTCCACAAACTACCCGCATTGATAGAATAAATTTGAAATCTCTATTCCCAAACCATTTGGCAAATTTGCCTTCCCTACATTTCCGTAGTAGATACAATGATTAAATAACTATATTTGTAAGTCACCTTGCTGCAGTTTACTTATTCCCTGTAATATGCGATCAGCCTCTTGTGTGCAGTCATGGGTTATCTGAGCACTAGATGATTGTATTGTGATCTTTCTTTCTCCTTCCTAAATGAATATAGCCTCTCCTTTGTCGAATTAACTATAAAACACTCGTGTGCCTACCTTTATCACAATTTATCCATGGGCAACTCCCCTCTTGAAACCACCTTAGATGATGATCTACCCACCTAAGAACAAGATTCCCTATCCATCAATCAAATCGTTTTTCCACTCTCCATAATAAGCAGAACCAACATCCCATAAGTATACTCCAAGCCCATGTTTTTGTTACTTTGCATTTAATCCTCCTTAATAAATTCCATCCTTATGTTCCTTCATCCGTTAATATAAAAAATATCAATATGTATCATCATAAGATTAAATAATTTTAACATACACACAAATAATGAACATTATCTATTTAATTTGAGATGGCTAGACTCATTTCTATTATCTAATGAACGTGTATATATGATAGAAGAAATTAGTTAAAATCATTATATTAAATTATTCAATTATCCAGTATGCAAGGAATAGCTAAAATCCCTGTTGAAATCAGCAAGACTTTGGATGAGAATTATAAGGTGATCAAGGATCAATTCAAAAATGAAATGCTCAACTAAATGATTTATAGTTTATTAGATCAAGTAATTTGAAATTGAAATTATAGAAACAAGCACCTCATATTCGATTGCAATTTCTATACAATATTCGACAATAAGATTAGAATATGTGCTTATCTGATCTATGCATCAACCAACTAGAATTGAACATAATCAATAATATCAAATATGTATTCAAATTTCATTATGATAGAGTATGGGTAATCATTAGAGCAAATACTAAGATAAACAGATTTATTAAACTAGAATAAAATAGAGTTTTCTTGTGAATTCATGAGACCAATCCCCATCATATTTAATCATTAAAGCTTCGATTATATTCAATTGGATCTGACTCATCAAACTGTTTGGGACTACTCCATTACTCCATTGATGAGATTTCGCCATATATTGTATTAAGCTTAATGTACAAAACTGTAGCAGGGAGATCATCAACTTATTGTTAGTCTATTCAAACCAGAATATAAGATTGATTGGAATCAATTCAAACTTTTGGTTGAGTAGAATCCATAATTAGTGAGTGATCTCATAACAAAATTATATCAATTGGGAGTAAATGCTAACGAGTATATTTAAAAATGATTTTCTTAGATATCTAGACTATTTAATTTAGATTAAGATTAGTATTCAGACCTTAGAATTAGTGAACTAATTATCAAAGAGCATAAGTCTACCAGACTAGTTTCTTAATAGGTTCATAGCTAAGTGCATAGTAAATTGTGAAGAATACAAAATCGTAAGATTTTAATTGATTATATAGAATTAACCATAACAATTGACTAGATAAGTGAGATTGGTATCAGTGTTTATCCGTACATTGATTAAATAAAAGACATTTGATCCAAAAAAGATTTATGTAGAATTGCAAGGGTTCTGCTTAGAATTTTCATCCATTCTAGAAGCAACTCAATTATTTAAGACTATAAAAAATGCAGTACAAGAATAATGAGATATTTATATGAATACATAAATCAAAATATTAATAATTTAGTTTCTCTAAGATTAGAGGCTTTACTATTATAATATATTCTATTCAATTCTATATTTTTCTACTCACATAAAAGATCATGTAAAAAGAAAGACACAAGTTATGATTTGAATTAATTTTGCAATATATATTTATTATTTAATCAATTATGTGGTGGTATTGTCATCAATCGCAAAAATATTACAGACCTTTTTCCTAATCATTTGAATGTAAATTGTCATTACAAAATTTACATAAAAAGACAGGAGATGAACCTGGTATCAATGTATCGGAAATCCTAAATAATTAAGCGGATCTTCCACAACCATCGCATCCTCTGATTTTTAGTGGTGCTTTAAAGATTGTCCTGGCATAAGGGGAATTAAGTTCTTCATCTTAAGTCAATGAACGTATTTCATTGATATATATTCTATGTTTGCATTAATTTAAATGAGTATATGTATATTGTTTACACAACACAAATGTAAGTTGACCTATGACATCTTGTTTTTTTCCGATGCTGATTGATGGAGGATCAAATATTTATAATTCATCTTGATAAAACATTTTCTCTGTGGATTCAACAGGACAATCTATTTCCTAGATCACCTATTCGAGAGTTGCATCGTTGGTAGCTATGATGATTTACATCTTCTTATTAGTGAATGGATGATAAATAGTGAAATGAATCATAAATCTATCTTCGATATGATTAGATATCTATTTGATTTTGTGTAGCTAATAAACATTTGGCTATATGGATTTGAGGAATCGAAATTCCTATTCTTACCTATGATAAGCTTGTAAAATTACGCCAATTGAAAGGATTGCAATTTGCATTTCTTTAATTTGTCTTATTCCTATTTGAGTGAGGGGAATCCTTATAAGGCATGAATGTACGCACAATTGATGGCTTCATTCTTTACTTTTCTGACTTACATGGCTGCAATGACAGATTGAGTATAGAAATTAGTAGTAATCAACTCTGCATGATTCTGATATTCTAGGAGTTGGTTTTTCTTGAGCTCTAAATTATCAGAAGGTTTTTAATCTGGAATTTCATTTTCGTTCTATTCCTTTATTGTTATTTGATACTAATTGTTCAACTTTTTATAAGATAGAATGCAGTGTTGGAGATTTATAAGGTCTGAGGTCTATAGTATGATTGCTTGAGTTGGACTTTGCAACTTCGATGAGTTCTGCAAAGGAATTTTAGAGGCCCTTAAAGTATCTAGCTAAATAGAATTTGTTAAATTACTCGATAGGACAGATCTCTTATTATTCTTACAGCATTTTTATAAATAAATTATAAAGATAAAATGGAATTGAACAATTCAGGTTCAAGAAATTCAAGGACATCTAGATAGTCATTAGCTGAGGTTCTTTAGGCTCATGAAGAGTAATTGGAATTGGAATAGAAATCAAAACTGAAGAAAGCATAAACTCTGAGTTAAAAAAAAATCAGGTAGCAGCAAATCTAAACTTTAAAAGAGTAATCCTTAAGAGAGATATTGGGATTTTTTACAAATCAAATTGATGTTAAGCGATTTTTAAAAAACAAAAAGAAATTGCTGAGTAGTGACGATACAGAGGAATCAGAGAAATATTAAGATGAGTTTTTAAATCCAAATGAGTTTGAAGAAATGAAACATATTTATGAAGATTGCAATATTGGTGATCTTGTAATTGTTTTTCCGAATCCAGATGATGAGGATGCTCCTGCAGGTGAGGTAACTTTTTTGGAAGCAGAAAAGGTTTTTGATAAGTTTATTACAGTTATTACAGATGAAGTCTCTAAGTCATATTTAAAANATCTTAAGTCAATGAACGTATTTCATTGATATATATTCTATGTTTGCATTAATTTAAATGAGTATATGTATATTGTTTACACAACACAAATGTAAGTTGACCTATGACATCTTGTTTTTTTCCGATGCTGATTGATGGAGGATCAAATATTTATAATTCATCTTGATAAAACATTTTCTCTGTGGATTCAACAGGACAATCTATTTCCTAGATCACCTATTCGAGAGTTGCATCGTTGGTAGCTATGATGATTTACATCTTCTTATTAGTGAATGGATGATAAATAGTGAAATGAATCATAAATCTATCTTCGATATGATTAGATATCTATTTGATTTTGTGTAGCTAATAAACATTTGGCTATATGGATTTGAGGAATCGAAATTCCTATTCTTACCTATGATAAGCTTGTAAAATTACGCCAATTGAAAGGATTGCAATTTGCATTTCTTTAATTTGTCTTATTCCTATTTGAGTGAGGGGAATCCTTATAAGGCATGAATGTACGCACAATTGATGGCTTCATTCTTTACTTTTCTGACTTACATGGCTGCAATGACAGATTGAGTATAGAAATTAGTAGTAATCAACTCTGCATGATTCTGATATTCTAGGAGTTGGTTTTTCTTGAGCTCTAAATTATCAGAAGGTTTTTAATCTGGAATTTCATTTTCGTTCTATTCCTTTATTGTTATTTGATACTAATTGTTCAACTTTTTATAAGATAGAATGCAGTGTTGGAGATTTATAAGGTCTGAGGTCTATAGTATGATTGCTTGAGTTGGACTTTGCAACTTCGATGAGTTCTGCAAAGGAATTTTAGAGGCCCTTAAAGTATCTAGCTAAATAGAATTTGTTAAATTACTCGATAGGACAGATCTCTTATTATTCTTACAGCATTTTTATAAATAAATTATAAAGATAAAATGGAATTGAACAATTCAGGTTCAAGAAATTCAAGGACATCTAGATAGTCATTAGCTGAGGTTCTTTAGGCTCATGAAGAGTAATTGGAATTGGAATAGAAATCAAAACTGAAGAAAGCATAAACTCTGAGTTAAAAAAAAATCAGGTAGCAGCAAATCTAAACTTTAAAAGAGTAATCCTTAAGAGAGATATTGGGATTTTTTACAAATCAAATTGATGTTAAGCGATTTTTAAAAAACAAAAAGAAATTGCTGAGTAGTGACGATACAGAGGAATCAGAGAAATATTAAGATGAGTTTTTAAATCCAAATGAGTTTGAAGAAATGAAACATATTTATGAAGATTGCAATATTGGTGATCTTGTAATTGTTTTTCCGAATCCAGATGATGAGGATGCTCCTGCAGGTGAGGTAACTTTTTTGGAAGCAGAAAAGGTTTTTGATAAGTTTATTACAGTTATTACAGATGAAGTCTCTAAGTCATATTTAAAAAAAGAAAGGGATTCCTTTTTGTTGTCCTTTCTCACATTGGGGGATTATGTTAAACCATAGAAGAAGACAAAGAAATAGGAGGACAAGAAATAGGATGACAAGAAATAGAATAAGGATCATAATGAAAATTAGAATTAATAATCCAATAACAAAGATGGTCATAAAGAGGAAAAATAAGATAAAGAAAGGAAGAATGAAAATGATAACCATAAAAATTTATCAGAAGATGCTAAACTATTACCACACTAAAAAGATTAACCATCAAGAATTAATTCATAATAGTCTTAACATACTGAAAGCAAGACTGCTGAAGAAACTTCATATGAAAAATATTAAAAGTTTATGAAGCTTTATGAAGTGCAATTAAAATAGGAGGAAGAATAATATCAAGAATAAAGGAATGTTGCCAAATAAGTTTAGGTAGAATAATTTTCAGAAGTCAAGTTTTCTTAATAATTCTATCGACGTTGGTAAAAACAAAAAAAATAAGAAGACATCATCATAGATCCGCTTAAAGAATTACTTAAAATTGATCTTAATAATATTAAGCAATTCAAAAATGTCAGTAAATAACTAAGCAAGGGAGGGTATCTAGTAAAGAGAATGAATGACGAAGTAGATTATGATTGGATTTGCCAAAATTCACCTCCAAAAGACTTCTTGACTCTTGTTCGTATAACAGTTATTAATAAACTATCTAGAAATGCTTTCGTTCATTGTAGATAATTTGTTTCGACAACTGGAAAACATATTTTTGTTGTTGTTAAAAGTCATCAATAAGTCATTACAAGACAAGCTTAGAAAATGAAGATAACTAAATAAATAGAGATGGGATTCGCAGATTTATTTTCCCTGGAACCTGTAGATAATGAATTTAGACCTTTGAGATTGAAAAGTTATGTCAGGCTTATTGACGATGATTTAAGAAATATATTGGCATAAGAAGAATATGGTTAGCCTGAACCTGAATTTGATTATTTGAATTGTTAGGATGTTGAAAATTATTGTTTGAAATTGTATATCAAAGTAAGACAATGGAAGGGAAAGGACTTGAAATATAATGTAGTGAAAAAATAACGAGAAGTTGATAAGATATTGAAAGAGGTTGTTACAGACTTAAATATAGATCAAAGTCATGAGAAGGTTGAATTGATTGATGATATACCAATAACTGATGAAGAATGGCAAGTCTATTATCTCTATTTAGAAAGTATATTATGTTTTGGTAAGAAAATCTAATGGGCAAAAGAGCAAAAGATGAAGGAAGTAATAGAGAATATTGCTTTCCTCTATAAACTAGTTTTCCTTAAGGCACTAGGAGATGCCAACCAAATATGGTATGCTGAGAACCAAAGTTTTTGGAGAGAATTTAACGGAGAGAAGCAAATCATATTCAATTTATGGGGAAGACTCAATATCACTCCAGTTGCACCATATACGGAGTACTTTAAATCATCAGGGAGTGCAGGTTCATCCCTGTGGAGAAAGTACGAGATTAATGAAAATAAGCATCGTTCAGAATTTATTAATATGGAAAAAATTAAGATTACGAATTCCATTGTTTTGAAGCATATTAACATTTTAAAGATGTTGTAAATGCAATATCTTTTTGCGTATTTCCCTGTTCATGATTTACATCAATTAAAAGGGTAAGGAGAGTTAAAGAAACAATTCTTTGAGCCCTTAAAAAAGAACGGGTTTATAATAGAGAAAGAATCCTCTGAAGGTGAGAAGTACTTAAGAGATTTATTTAAAGAATTAGCAGATGAGGCAGAGTCAACAGATTTCGATTCTGAAAGTTTGGAAAAGGAAAGTGGATTCAATCCCAGAGTACCTTGGTTCGTTCCTATTGATTCGATACGTGATTATTTTGGGGAGAAGATTGCTTTGTATTTTGATTTTTTGAGTTACTATGCCAAATAGTTATGGTATATGGCTGTTATCAGTATAATTACATAGGGGATTATGTCCTCCTCTTCATTAGAATTAAGACAGACAGCCATTATTGGATTTTCAATCATTATTATTATTTGGAGTACATTTTTTATGGAATTTTGGAAGAGAGAATAGGTGTACTTTAGTGTGAGATTTGGATAACAAAATTTTGAAGCTGATGAAGCAGAACGTCCAGCCTTTGAGGGAGACTTCATAAGATCTGTATTGAATGATGATCTGAATGAAGAGTTTTACTCTCCTTTAAAAAGGAAAATGAAATAACTGTTAGCATTATCAATAAGTGCTATAATCATTGGATGTGTTATTGGTTGTGTGATTGGCATCAACATTCTTAAGAATACATTGATTGAATAAAAGCTTGATTAAACTCTTTCTAATACAATTCCGAGTATTCTATAAGCTGTTTCCATTAACTTTTTTAACTTCATCTACAATAAAGTTGGGTAAACATTTAATGTTTTGGAGAATCACAAAATATTGTCGACTTATGAAAATTCTCTTGTTGCTAAATTCACTATTTTTAGATTTGTTAATAAGTAACAATTACAATGTATTTTATAGTTTCATTTAATTTTTTATTACATCATTTTTGTCGAGTTACTTTGTCTAACTCAAATTATGTTAAGTCAATTTAGAAATCTAAAATGATTGTTTTTAAATTCTGTCTAATTAGATGACAACCATATTCTTAACGAATATTATATCACTCTAAATCCCTAAACTAGTTGCTCCACATATAAAAGCATTCATTACAAATGTATTGATATACAAATATGATAATTTAGCTATTGACAAAGAAGGATGAAAAACTCGTAGAACATCCATTCAATCTGATTGATGAGGAGATTGAAAGGCAATTAAAATTAGACCCCTATCAAACTAACGAAGAGGTGGATGGAAGTGTAAATGACTATATGGAGTTGGCAATTTAGTTCTCTTATCTTTCACTATTTGGTTTAGCATTTCCAGCTTGTTACATTTTGGCTTTTGTTTAGAATGTAGTCAAACTTCAAGTTGATAAATTCAATTTCTTTAACTATTCAAGACGACCATTCCCTCAAGGTGCATCTTCAATAGGAAATTGGTTGGTTATATTTGAAATGATTTCATTTCTGGCAATATTTACAAATGCTGGTTTGATTGTTTTTACTTCAGAAATAATTAAGGAAAACCAAGTGTAAGTATTTAGCACACTTTTAATTGTATTCTTAACACTAAAATATATTATCAGATTTCTAGTGCCTGATGAACCTGCGGAGGCTCTGGTGTTGAATAGAAGACATGAATTTGTTGTGGAGAAGGCGGTTAAAGTAATGAGAAGTGATATAATTATTTTAGGGATTTCAAACTGAAAGCAATGCCAGATATTTAATTCAAAAGATTAATAGATAGATTGGAGGTCCAAGGGAGGTAATAAGCAGTGAGGAGGAGAATTGAACTTGAATACACTTTCTTTTAATTAATTGTTGTTTATTTTTTCAAATTAATTTATTATTTTATTGAAAATGTCGACTTAGCAAAAATCATAATCGGCTAAATAGATTTAAGGGAAATCGAAGGTGCAAAATAAGCAATCCCTGAATTCTAAGAAACTAAAATAATAAAAAATTTAAAACCAAAAGGAAGAGTCCTTAAGGGAAATTCTGGGCTTCTTTACAAATTAAGTCGATGCTAAGAAATTTCTAAAGAAGAAAACTGCAAAAGATTTGGTTGATAAGGATATCAATGATAAGGAATACAAGGAAGAAAAAATTTAAGATGAATTTCTGAATCCAAATGAATTTGCAGAAGTTAAAGGAACATACGATGATTACAATATTGGAGATTTGGCTGTAATATTTTAAAATCCAGACTCCGATAATTGCGAGAATAGACCAGTTTCCTTCAAAGATGCTGTCAAAATATACGATGAAATGTTAACTGTGATGACTGATGAGGTTTCAAAATCATAGATGAAAAAAGAAAGATGTTCTTTTCTATTGGCATTTTTAACTTTAGATGATTACGAAGATAAGAAGGACGAGGGAAACCAAAAAAAGAAGAAAAAGAAAAATTTAAAGAAAGAAGATAAATAAAAAACAATCAAGTCTTTATAGACTGCCACACAATTCGGAGAGGAAAAGGAATAGTTACAAAAAAAACAAGAAAAAACATCCTATGATAGATATCTAGATTTCTTAAGAATGTATAAAAAATAAGAGCAAGATCAAAAGTTATAAGAAGATGAATAGAAAAAAGGAGGTGAAGTTATTTAACAAAAGAAATAAGCCTATTTAGATGAAATTGGTATTGAACCTGATAAAATGGAGGTTAATCCGAATATGGTTTTAGATCCAATAAAAGAATTGCAAAAAGTAGATATAAGTGATACTTCTCAATTCAAAAAAGTCAAAAAAAAATGGTGTCAAGGCCAATATTTAAAGAAGACTAAAATTGATGAATTTCAAGAAAAGTATGAATGGACATGCCAAAATACTCCCCCAAAGGATTTTCTAACATTGATCAGATTTACAATTATGGCCAAATTGTGTAGAAATGGATTTCTTCATTGCAGGTAGTTTATAAATGGCACAGGAGAGTTGATTTTCCTTATCTTAAAAAGCAGTAAAGAGGTGGTCAAAAGATCAGCTCAAAATATGAAGGTCACAAAATAGATTGAATTGGGGTTTGCTGATTTGTTTAGTTTGGAACCAGTTGATGAAAGTTTCAGACCTTTAAGATTAAAGAATTACATTAGACAATATGCAAACAATGAAGAAATTAAGAAAAAGCTTTAAGAAATTATTGATTCAAGGAAGGAGGCTCAAGGTAAAGAGGATGAGTTTAAAAAGAAGTAGGATTAGTCAGATAAGAAAGACAATAAGGATTTAAATACTGATCCAAATCAAGCTTTAGTTGATTAATTGTAGCATTTTAAAAAGATGCAAGATTTCAAGGAGAAAAAATATGTAGATTAAGAGGAAATCAAAATAGAAGAGAATGTTTAGTAGCAGAACAATTAAACCATTGGAAATTATTGTGATTCTCTCTATCCTATTATTTGCTAATGGGATGACACTTTACTCTAGGTGTACACCATCCTAAAGTAGCAAGAAGTTGATAAAATTATGAAAATCATAGCCAAAGAACTTAATATTGATTAGAGTCACGAGAAAGTCGAATTGATTAATGATAAAGATATCACTAGGAAGGAATGGGAGATCTATTACATTTATATGGAGATCCTGTTGCATTTTGGGTAGAAGATACAAAATTTAAAGAAAAAAGGGAATACTCAGATCTAAGATAATTAAGCTTTCTTGTATAAATTGATCTTCAGAAAGGCATTGGGAGATGCAAATGAATTATGGTATAAAAATCATCCAAGTGTTATGAGTGAGATAACATAGAATAAGTCAATCTTATTGAATTTATGGGGTAGACTAAATGTAGACCCAGTAGCACCTTACACTGAATTCTTTTAACCTAATAATGAGGTCGGAAACTCAATGTGGAGAAAGTATGAAGTCAATGAGAAAGGTTTGAGATCAGAATTTATTAATATGGAGAAGATTAAGATTACTCATGCCATTGTATTAAAAAACATCAATATTTTAAAAATGATTAAAGAACTTATTGTGACTGCCTATTTCCCAATTCACGACCATTATCAATTGCAAGCCATTCCAAAAAGTCCATTCTTCGAGAAACTTATAGAAGGTGAGTTTATGCAACCAAAAGAAGATACTGAACACGAATATGAATTAAAAAATCTCTTTAATGAATTAAAGGATGAAGCAGAACCAACTGATTTTGATTCAGATAGTTTAGAGGAATCAAGTGCCTTTAATTTTAGGATCCCTTGGCATGTATCAATCAATTCTATGAGGGATTATTTTGGTGAAAAAATTGCTCTGTATTTCTCTTTTTTGAGTTATTTCACTAAACAACTATGGTATATGGCCATTATTGGTATTATTGCCTAAGGATTGATCTCTGCTTCCACAGAAGAAGCGAAATCCACTATGATTATCCTATTTTCATTGGCTATCATTATTTGGAGTACGTTCTTCATTGAATTTTGGAAAAGAGAACAAATCCTATTTAGTGTTTAGTTTGGGTAACAAAATTTTGAAGAGGATGAAGCTGAAAGACCCGCTTTTCAAGGTAAATATATAAGGTCAATTACAAACGATGATTTGAATGAAGAATTTTACTCTCCTTTTTTGAGAAAGATGAAACAATTGTTTTCATTGGCTGTTAGTTTTCTTATCATAGGATGTGTCATTGGTAGTGTGTTGGGAATATTTTTCTTTAAGAATTTAATGTTACAATAGAAAGCCGATCCCTTTTATGCTTAGAATGTTCCAGCTCTTTTAAATTTTATTTAAATTAACTTTTTTAACTTTGTCTATTAAAAATTAAGTGACATTTTCAATATGTATGAAAACCATAAGATTTTGTCATCCTATGAAAATTCTCTTATTGCTAAAATATTCATATTTATGTTTGTCAACAAGTAAGTTATGATCATTANATGATAAAGATATCACTAGGAAGGAATGGGAGATCTATTACATTTATATGGAGATCCTGTTGCATTTTGGGTAGAAGATACAAAATTTAAAGAAAAAAGGGAATACTCAGATCTAAGATAATTAAGCTTTCTTGTATAAATTGATCTTCAGAAAGGCATTGGGAGATGCAAATGAATTATGGTATAAAAATCATCCAAGTGTTATGAGTGAGATAACATAGAATAAGTCAATCTTATTGAATTTATGGGGTAGACTAAATGTAGACCCAGTAGCACCTTACACTGAATTCTTTTAACCTAATAATGAGGTCGGAAACTCAATGTGGAGAAAGTATGAAGTCAATGAGAAAGGTTTGAGATCAGAATTTATTAATATGGAGAAGATTAAGATTACTCATGCCATTGTATTAAAAAACATCAATATTTTAAAAATGATTAAAGAACTTATTGTGACTGCCTATTTCCCAATTCACGACCATTATCAATTGCAAGCCATTCCAAAAAGTCCATTCTTCGAGAAACTTATAGAAGGTGAGTTTATGCAACCAAAAGAAGATACTGAACACGAATATGAATTAAAAAATCTCTTTAATGAATTAAAGGATGAAGCAGAACCAACTGATTTTGATTCAGATAGTTTAGAGGAATCAAGTGCCTTTAATTTTAGGATCCCTTGGCATGTATCAATCAATTCTATGAGGGATTATTTTGGTGAAAAAATTGCTCTGTATTTCTCTTTTTTGAGTTATTTCACTAAACAACTATGGTATATGGCCATTATTGGTATTATTGCCTAAGGATTGATCTCTGCTTCCACAGAAGAAGCGAAATCCACTATGATTATCCTATTTTCATTGGCTATCATTATTTGGAGTACGTTCTTCATTGAATTTTGGAAAAGAGAACAAATCCTATTTAGTGTTTAGTTTGGGTAACAAAATTTTGAAGAGGATGAAGCTGAAAGACCCGCTTTTCAAGGTAAATATATAAGGTCAATTACAAACGATGATTTGAATGAAGAATTTTACTCTCCTTTTTTGAGAAAGATGAAACAATTGTTTTCATTGGCTGTTAGTTTTCTTATCATAGGATGTGTCATTGGTAGTGTGTTGGGAATATTTTTCTTTAAGAATTTAATGTTACAATAGAAAGCCGATCCCTTTTATGCTTAGAATGTTCCAGCTCTTTTAAATTTTATTTAAATTAACTTTTTTAACTTTGTCTATTAAAAATTAAGTGACATTTTCAATATGTATGAAAACCATAAGATTTTGTCATCCTATGAAAATTCTCTTATTGCTAAAATATTCATATTTATGTTTGTCAACAAGTAAGTTATGATCATTATTGTAGTTTCAATTCTTTCTTTATTATTTCATTTTTGTCCGGATATTTTTCATAATTACAATTGTGTAAAGTAAGTGAGGATGTGTAGAATGACTGTTTTTAAGTGTTATCAAATCAGATGACTGTTATTTTTCTATCAAACATAGGTAAAAACATTCCAGAATTGGCGACTCCCTATATCAAGGCTTTTATTACAAAAGTACATCATTTCATACTATAAAACCCTAGCAAATGAAGTCCAAAACTACCAAAGAAGTTGAACATGCATTTAAGTTGATTGATTCAGCCATTGATGATCAAATGGAATTAGAACCATATCAAACAAATGAGGAAGTAGATGGAACAGTCAATGATTATATGGAACTTGTTATTTAGTTTTCGTACCTTGCTTTGTTTGGACTTGCCTTCCCATCATGCTATATCTTAGCATTTGTTTCGAACATTATAGAAATACAAGTTGATAAGTTCAAGTTGATCAGAGTATCAAGAAGACCCTTCCCTCAGGGAGCTGCAACAATAGGAAATTGGCTCATTATTTTAGAAGTAATCACATTTTTTGGGATATTCTCAAACTCTGGATTAATTGTCTATACCTCCTAAACAATTCAAACGAATCAAATTGTTATATTTTCAGTTTTACTAGTAGTTTTTTTGGCATTGAAATATTTTATCCGATTTTTGGTGCCAGACGAACCAGAATCAGCAACTATTCTAAACAAAAGACATTAATATGTTGTTGATAAAGTAGTTAAAGTAAGATCTATCACTATTTTAAGGGTTTTGCTCAAACTGGTCAAAAATCATACACTCCAGCCAAAATTAACTTAAAAATTGGAGGCGTCATCTATTCACAATAGGTTTCATAAATATTCAATCAAGATGAGAGTAGCAATAGAAATGAAGAGATTGCTGAATGAATTATTAATTAATTAAAATTAAAATTTCTTCTTTTTAGATTTATACTTTTTTCTTTATTGATGTACTTATTATTTTTTTTTGTTTCGATCTAAGCACTCGCATAATTTTAAATTAAAAATCTCAAATGACAAAACTAAGGAGAACAGGAATCCTTATATTTCATGGAACGTTTGCAAATCATTCCTAAAAAGAATTATTTTATTTTCTTATTTTTTAGTCATATTATATAAATATAATTCTATAAATATTACTTGAAGTATCAAAATCAGATACACAAGGATGTAATTTATTTTATAATTTGATTAGATGCCTTGTTTTCCCTTTTCAATTCCTTGATTTGCAATTTGCTCATCTTTTTATTGATCTTTTTCATCTCAACCTTAGGATAACTATGATCATTTTGTTTGTTCGACCAATAATCAACCAGAATATTACCTGAATAAACTTCATAAGCTCTATATTCAAGTTCTCTCATGTTAATAATTATTTCAATATATTTATTAATTAATCATGTATTAATGTTAAAAAGTGTTTTAAAATGAAGAAGAAGCTAAGACTGCAGCCAATCTAACGATTATGGAGATCTTAGGCAATCCAATCTATTAGGAAGATGAGAAGTTCGATAAGTTGCTTAATTCATTTATTGAACAATAATTGGAACTAGAAGAAAAGATTTAGAAGATGATTAAAACCTAAATAGATGCTCTCAATAAAACAAAGACTTTTATGGATCACTGCTTTAACAATGTTGAAAAATGCGAATAAAAAATAGAAATTCTAAATTAAGAATTTGATAATGATAGTGAATTTCACAAAGAATTAGTCAAATATGAGAAGATATTTTTTTATCGCAAAAATATTGGATTAATGCTTGATCAAATGAAGTACATATTCAGAGTCTAAGAAGAAATTGATAAAATGAATTCTACATTTTAGAGTGGAAATTGTGATTATGAAAATCTTCATTATAAATTAATTGCATTGGTGGATATTAGAGACAACATCATAGAAGCAGTCAATACATCTCCATAATCGAAATAAGACTTGAGTGTTATCCTCAATGAATTCAAATGTCTATCAGAATTTGAGAACAAGTTCTATGACAAGATATACGAGATCTTTTTCATAACCATTGAAGCATCTATCAAGAAACCTTAATAATTGATAAAGGCATTACAAATTATTGAGACTGCTGATAAATCCAGGGAATTGAGAAAGAAGGAATTGATTTATAAATAAAGAACCATAGAAACTATTTAAAAGGGAATTGATGAGAAGTTTAATTAGAAATTAAAGGATGCAAAGGATGCTGTCTAAATTTTAGAGCAATCTAAGTTTTCATCTGCTGATTTAATTTTGGCATTTGACCACACTGTAAAATGCTTTCCAAAACATTATGAAATTTTTTAAATTATTGAAGATTAATATAAAGTAAATGTAGAAAAGAGAATCCTTCCCTTCCTTGAAGATGAATAAAAGGTGACTGAGTCATTTGGTACTTTAATCAATCTACTAAGTTGGGTTGATTCATACGAATAATTGTTAAGCAGAGTTGGTGAACAGAGTGAATCATACGTTGCCTTAAGATGTAAAGTTAAATCTTATATGCCCATCTTTCAGGATCATGTAAACAATTTAATTATCGATTATTCCGAAAAGGCAATAAGAAAGGACAAGAGTGAATAGCAAACCCTAGAAAACATCACTAAACTTATTAAAACTAAATAAGATTTATTAACCTACTTCCCAGAAGATATATTTCACTTTATCAATTAATAATTAGATATTCTAGGTCCAAATCTCAAGGGAGAAATATTTATTGAATTTATTCGTTCCGTCTGTGGTACTCTATAGGAAGTCTTGAAAAAAGAATGCAGAGATTTTATAAATGAAATTCCTAGCAATGAGTAGGAAGGAGAAGTGTCACCGATTTATCTATTGGTTTTATAAACAAATAATTATTACAAATGCATGACATATTCTAATGAAACAAAGGAATATTGTTTAAAATTTTGTAATTAGTTAATATCAGAAAGAGTCTAATAAATATTTTATTAAGATTTAACTGGGGGATTCAACGAAATCATTAATTAGTTGTTAGAAAAATCCTGTAAGTTGGTTTTTAATGAAATTAATGATTAAATTATCCCATTTCTATTTTAACCTAAATGGTAGAATGAGAACTTGATAGACTAAGCACTATTCACCATTAAGGATTACCTTAAGGATATTTAATTGCTAATGTTAAATTAGATTCATTTTAACAAACTAGTGAAATTAATATTCAAATAACTAATCACCACATACGAAGAATAATTATTATTTACTGTATAATTTATTGCAGGCATTCCTAAAGGTATATTATAAATTAGATAATATTAGGTTTCTTTCCAAAATTGTTAACAAACCTGAGTTTTGTGAATGAATAGGATAAAGATAAGAAAAAGAAAGAAAAAGATAAGAAGGCGGCTATTTAGATGATACTGTCTAATAAAGAGTTGGTTGTACCGTAAATGTAGAGAGACAGAGATGTCATAATGAATTCTATCGAATAAGATTATATTACTTAGGTCGGTAAGACAAGTGCTTAATAGTTTGATAAGATCTTGACGACTCTTATCAAATCAATCAACAATCCAAAGAGTGAAATGGATGGATTGCTTCAACTTTATCCACAGAGTTTTGAATCATATGCCTTATATATTTTGGAGGTGGTTTTATGGATGAGAGAGGATTGCGATTCAAAATATAAGTAATAAAAAATGGAAATATTAAATAATTTAATAAACAAGAAATGATGATTATCTTATTACTTAATAAAATAATTGCATTTTACAATATTTGATTTGCTCATTTATACAAATTAAATTATTGATTAAACGAACCCACAGGTGTATTCGATAAAGAGAACTGTTACTAATTGGGAAAAAGTTAATCTGATGTGTAAGGCATTCTTATAGTGTTCAGCTTTTGATTGAATGATTGGCTCTGTAATTCGGTCTCTAAGTTTCTTACTCTATTGTCCTATTAGATTGATTATTCCTATATAGATTAGAAGCATACTCTTAATTTTGTAACTTCGAATTCCAATTAATTGTTTCTATCTTACAGCATCTAGCTTTACAACTTGATTTAATGGTTTTCTACATAAATTAAATTATCTAATACCCATATTTAAAGAATTGACCTATTTTTCATATAAAATTAGATCATTGTGCATTTCTCTCATTTTAGCAAAATTACTATTCAACTCATTCTTATTGACAGAGTCAGCTTAAGAATATTATTCAAGTTAGGTTTTTAAAGCTTAATTTTATTGGTCTAAAGTAAAAATGATAGAATCTCTTTTTTATAATTCGCCTTCCAGGAATTAAAGTTAATTTTATTGTTGATCCTGGATGGTCTTCATTTCAATTTATTTATGCTGAGCTAGAGCTATGCTTTGGTCTAAATTTCCTTATTTCTTCTTCAATTCTTAATCGAGGAATTAACATTAATGGACCAATTGATCCTTATATTTTTGCAGTTGTTGAAGTTGATCTGATTATTTCTTGATTTCTAGTTCAGCATTGGCTAACTTCTATTATTAATTTAGAAATTCCTATTTGCCATTCTTCAAGGTCATGGATAGTTTTTCTATATCCTGTTGTTCTAATTGAATGATAGATCAATAATTTACAAAGTAAATTCTATTAGTTTAGATTTTGATTAGTTTCTTCCTATTTCAATAGTTAAGTTTTAGTACTATAAAGTTCCTTCTCTTTATTTTCTAGTGATTTGACTTATTATTTTTATAATTCAAACTGATGGGTTTGATTAGCAAGTGTCTTCTATAAAGAATTCACTTATCCTTGGAGTTCTGTGATTTGAATGGTAGCTCTATGTGATTGATCCTTAGAATTTTCTTATTGTTTTTTGAGTTCAAAATTAAACATATCCAAGGTTGTTTTCATCTTTTTATTATCGGAGTACAATTGTTCCTATTGTTCTCTCTGCTATTCAATTCTTAGATCCTTTTCTCTCAATTGTTATTTGTAGGTTTCAATGTATCCCTTTAAATTGGTATTTTCATGTTCAACAGAATTGAGATAGACTAGTTGTCTTTTCTGATCTGAGACCTAATCTTGGAGATCTTTGATTTATTTGTTTAGTTCATTTTATTTAGAGGTTAGGTAATTGTAATCTTCCAACTTCTTCTACATTCTGTCTAAGTCTCCCAACTTATATTGGTTCTCTTGGAGAGCCTCTTATTTTCTGCGAACTTCGGATTTCAACTTAAGAATCATTTCTTCCTAATAATCGAATTTGGCTTTGAGTTCTTGTTCAATCGACTTTTGGTTTTTAACCGATTATCTAAAGGATTAGAAGGTAAACTGAATACAATTCAGATTGGAGTTAGTCGATAACTTTTTTGAGTTGTGAATTCTCATTCTATAACTTCCTCAATTGTGATCTAGGTAGGAGATAATTGCTTTACTTTAAGTCTTCACCCTCTTCCCTGAGTGATTATTGCTTTTCAAGAAGCACCTGCTCTTGGGGATTGATTTGCTCGAAATTGTAATTTGACTTATATGATTAATCCTTTGGGGTTGGGTTGGATTTGATTCTAAATGAAAGAAGCAAAAACTTACGATTATTTGTCATTTTCAATTGTCTGGGGATGTAAGCTATGAGTGGGGATAGAGATAAAAAAAGTTACAGATTGGTTGGGAGTAATGTATTGAAAGGTTGTGGAACTGGAGCTGGTTATTGATTTGTATTATTGTCTTTGGGTCTTGAGAGGGGACTGGGTGAGGGAATGGTCTTCTCTTTCTAATATTAATTTTGTGCAACATTTTGATAGGAAAGCATTTATTATACCGAACAAATTTTTACGATTATTTCTTATTTTCACATAGAGAGGGAAGGAGCGAAATTCATCATTAATTTAATTAAAATGTCTCAAATCGACCCTGCGTATTTCGAAAAGCTCAAAGAATAGCTTAACAGCCTAAACAACAACAATGAGAGCTTCACTGAAAGGAATATCTTTGAAATCCGAGAGAGATTAAGTCGAATTTCTGAGGAGGTACATCAAGAAAGAAATAGAGACACCAATCATGTAATGAATTTATTTGAGTTAATTATAGCAAGTCCTTTAGAACAACTAGAAAAGCTTCGTTGATAATTGTTTGAACTTCATTGTTTATGTGCTTTAACATGTTGAACCTCAGACGACTCGCAATACAAAATTCTTAATTAGGGCTGCCATCTTGGAATTACTACAGAAGAAAATTCTGTTGTAACACATGACATACCAAGTGGTTGAATAGATGACTGCTGTGTTGGAGAAGGACAACGAGAATAATGCTGCCGTGGCCATCCGCATTATTAATGATCTACTAAAGTCTAATCAATAATAATCACATCAATATTAAAGATCAAACACTCTATTTTCAGATGCATTGCTCTTGAGATTATACTCATTCTTTGAGCAACGGATTGAATTCCTGGTTAAATTTAATAATGAACTCAAAAAGTCTCAATACAAGAAGCTTTTAGGAGATAATCAAAGTAATCCCTTCCAGGATCAGAATTATGTGTTACAATCAGAGAGCGAGGACAAAAGAGAGAAGGACATAAGACTCAATATTTATAGTTTATCTTTTGTGACTAACATACCACCATTCTTCATTTACACAATCTTTGTTTTAGACTCTATAGTCAAAGATGAAGTATACATTCAATTTAAATCTAGACCAAAACTCAAATGAGAGAAATCTTGAAGCGAGCCTTAAAGACCATGAATCAAGTGATCAATGAAACCAACTTCCAAGATTTGTTGTAGAAAGTCCCAAGAAATATAGTCTAAGAACTCTTTAATGCCTACTCCAAATTTCTATAATTGCTGGCTCTTACCATCAAAAGGGATGAAAACTAGTTACAACCCCAATCCAGAATCATCAAGGATATATCTGACACCATTAAATTAGATTCCGTCGTAGCCACCATCATCAAAACGCTCAAACATTGTCCGGTTGACATTATGCACCTAAGGATCGATATCAGCAACCGTCTGAAATAGTCCATCATTTAAAAGAGAGATCCCATTTAATAAAACGACATGAATGACAAGATCAATGAAATTAATGCCAATGTGGCTGAATTGATTGATGAAGAAACCATAGTGGGTAAGAACCTTAAAATACCACCCTATCAAAAGACTAGCATCTATCAAAATTGGCTAGACATTGTTAAACATGTAGTTTAAAGTTACCTTCCCAAATTAGAGTAAACATCATAGCAATAACCCCCAAATAACTTAGAGAAAATGTAGACAGATTTCATTAACAATTAAACCTATATGGAAAAGATTTTCAACACCATATTCAAAGTTCTATTTGATTCTTCCTTGTAATTATCCATCCACGAAAAGGCATTAGATCTAATCAAGGTGTTCTTAGAATTATTCTCTAGATAAGGCACTTACTTCATCGATAAGATCCTATTGCAATATTACATTGATCAGCCTCAACAACAATAATAATAGAATGACTCCATCTTCAAGGAAGTGACCACTCATAGTCCAAAGTACAAATTGTTGGATAGATTATTCCAAATGATTGGAATGAAGTTAGCATAAATCAGAAAGCAGATCTAGTAGATTAAAGAGATGTTAAACAGAACCTAAAGATGGGGTATTATCAAGAAAACAACACCATAAACAAATGTATCGTCCATGCCTTGTAATAATGAACCCTTAAATGAGAGATACATTTCTCAATTGGAGTAGTACATTAAAGAGAACGAAATTGATATCGATCAGAATCTAATTACTTAATAGGATTAAGCAGCTACTCAAGTTTATACTTATGATGATGAGGAAGAATACTAGGTTAATTCTATTAGCATCAACTCATACAGCTAATTCATTGAATTCGCTAAAGAGGTGAAATCGAAGATATTCGATCAATTGAATGAAATCCTACAGAAGTTACTTCACTTTGTGACCACGACCAATAAGGACATCGTAATGAAGTATAAAGGTAGACCCAACTTTTAAGTGTCTTAGAGATTGGCACCCTTAGCTTAAGCTTCAAATGAAAGCAAACCATATCTAAGCAATCTGCAATGTCACTACATGTCTAAGATAATGAAAAATGGTCTGATGATCTTTGATGAATTGCATGATCATCAAAGAAACCATTTTGAAATTTTAGATTATAAAAAGAAAACAATTCCTCTATTCATGCAATTCTTCATTTAGTTCCAAGACCCCATAAATTTTAAGAACATCTTTGAACCTAATTCCAAACTATTGTTGAAGATCTCAGTCAACTTAATAAAGACATGTCCAGAAACTCACTGTCTTCCATTATTGTTGTAGGATCACCTGTAGATATTGAGTCATCCCGAAAACTAAGCTTAACCTAAACTGTCAGTGAAGTATTACATAGAGTTCCTATTGAATTTATATTTGAGAGAACTGCAAACTACTCCAGAATTGCCATCCAGATTCGGCTATTGTAGAGGGGGTTAATTGATACAAATGAGCAATCAAAAATAATAAAATGTAACATAAAAAGATTAAGATGAATACATCTCATTAATACAGAAATTGCTAAGAATTCCAATTAGATTATTTCCCAGAGTAAAATGCTAATAAAATGAAGAACCCATAGTAAAACCACTGGTGAAATAATTGATACTGTTTTTTGTAAAGAAGTCACATGAAACATATTATCCAATAGACTTTCTAGGATTGCTATTGTCGTTGGTTAAAAGAATATAGAATAACGATTAAGGAGAGGGATTATCTAAGTACTTCCAATAATTGTGTGACAAATATGATCGAAATGATAAATAATAGATTCTCCAAAGACAACAATATGAGTTGTATCATAAATTTAATTTGAGTGGAGTTAATATTGTTTTAAACATGTTTGAGTTGTTTTAAACAGGCATAGTGGAGATTCAAGATATAGTCGCAGAAGTGATAGCTAACTTCCCATTGCAAAAGACCATTCAAATTAATTTGGCCAAACAATACCCTGTTTTCGCATAATGTCTATTCAGAGCCTTGCACAACATATCCACTATTGAAAATTAAGTAATTCAAAAGACACTAATGTTATTGGAGAACATTGTAACCAATTTGAGTATGGAAGAAATGAGAGAATTCTTTGGAGATCTCCTCCAACCATTCATTGAAAAGTTGCTGACATTCCCATCAGAATATAAAATGGCCGACATATATTCAAAATAAGTGAACTTATTTTTGGATCCTTCCTTCAAATCCTTAAAAATATTATCCAAATTGGGAGCCTTGGTTAGAAAATCAGAATGGCCCATCGAGATCAAAAGAACTCACACTGATAACCCCTTCATTAGAAACCAATATCTGGAAGTCCAGATTGAAGGATTGTAGTCTAATCTAAAGATCAACCTTTCTGAAACAGTAAGATGTGCAGTGGAGATTCTCCAAAACTTCTTGGAATAACAATTGGCCACATATCTATTCAAATAATCTTCAATTTAGCATAGTTACTCGATAGTAAAGATGGTATTGTTGGGGTATTATCAAATGCCAATTTAATTTGACCATGATTTATACAATTATCAAATACCAGAAGGAATGGCATTGGATATGAAATTACAGTCTCGTTAATGTGATCAAGACTTATTGATGTATTAAGACGAGGAGTTGATCTCATCAGTAACCAAGGTGTTTATTGGGTTAAGCAATTTTCATAATATCATCCAGACTCTCACAACAGCCACATTCCACAAGATCAAGGAAGATGTAGAGAACGTTGTAACAACCTTATCTGAAATGTTTTTCATTCAATTAGCCGATGATCATTGCGAATAGATTCAACAACTCAAGTAAACCAAACCTGATTTGAATTCGCTCTATGCCATGACAGAGGATATTGTGGCCAAATATTTGAGAGAGAAACCTCAATCCATTAAATGGCTATCTCATCTCTTCAAAGGTTTAAACAAGAGGTATATGCTCACAGCTGAGGAGAATATGAATTTCAAGGATTTCTATATTCAGCAACATGAGTTCATCTGGATTAAATTACTCATGGGCAATTGTCTTAAGAAATACAAGAGAATATTGAGTAATCATATGAAAAATAACAATGAGAATATGGCATGGGCATATAATGTCTATTATACAGTTATAATTCGTTTGTTTGAAGAGTTTGTATACGAGAAGTTTGGTAAGTAAACCTAATTGCAAAAGGAAGATGATCGTCGTAAAAAAATACAAATCGTTTAATGTAAATTATTGAAATATACTTAGCTTATGGAGGAACTATGATACCATCTGAGGGATTGAATTGCAGATCCATTTCCATTGAATTACTGACTGAAATCCAGAATTTCAGACCCAAATTTGAAGATTATTACAAATCAAACTAATTAATTGGATTACCCTACATACCTGATCAAAGAATTGTGGAATGCTCATTTATTTTGTTAAGATAACTACCAGAAACAATAAGAGTCGTATCATAATAGCTAACTAGAAATTTATTATTTTAGACCGTCAATTAGTTGATTGAAAATCTGAATTTTGATCATTCAAAATACCCTCATTCTCATTAGAGTACGCTTATGTTATCGAATAAATTAAGAGAGTTTGTAAAGGTCATCACACAAAACTGTCTTACATTCAAAAAGTCATTGTTATAGATATGCACTGAATTGCTCGATCATATCATTGCCAATTACTATTAAGGCAATGCTGGCCCATTATTTTATATGAATATCGGCGATAGCATGAATTCTAGATTTGAAGAGCTAATTAAACCCATACCGTTAGATGAAATCACAGGCCCTAATTAATAGTAATTATTTTGGGTTAATATTGACTATTCGGATATCCCTACTTCTCCATACACTCAAAATACAGTCCTTAGAGAATTAGTCTTGATCATTAAACAGTTGTGTGAAGAACAAAAAATGTCAGATATGACTGCTCAGAGATATGCAAATGGCTTTAGAATATTGGCCTACTTATTTTAGAAATAAGGAAAGCACAAGTCAGTTTCGTATAATTTATTCAAAGTTTTGTAAATTGTTGAGAATGAACCTTCTTTGATTCCATGCATTGACGAATTTGTTCAATAATCGTTTAAGATCATACAATAAAACGAGGATACTTATTACAAATAATCCAAACTGATTCTTACGAATGAGGAATAGCAACAACAGAATGCTCAAATCAATGTATCCCATGGGTTAGATGATTTGGATTACAAAATCAATATTGAAGACATAGATTTTGAAATCAAATGGCAAAGTTATATGGTTGTAGCAGTGTATGGCTTCTTGAAATCTATAGCCACCATCAATTACATATATCTGATTCAGAAACACCTTCAGAAGAACATCGACAAAAATCTAGCATTTAAACCCCCCATCTTGGCTATGAAATTCAAGACTGTTGAGATTCTGTATGAGGGACTCTTGAGAGTTGAATCCAGCATTAGACAGGCAGGTTATAGATATCTATAGGATTTGTTGTAACAGGAGGGCATTTCTAATGACAAGACCCTATTTGAGAATGATGATCGATTGAAAAAGGTCATGAAACCCTTGCTTACATGTGTGTAGTCAGACATCTTTCATTACGTTCCTTCATTCTTGAAGTCTCTGAAGCTCATTTTGAAGATATTCAGCAAGGTTTTTCATAAGGCCTTATCGGATAAGTTGTAAACTCATTTGACGAGGATTGTTTAAGACAACATACAATAACCCATAACTCAAAATAATTAATTTTGTACAGCTATGGAATGGTTATATCAATAGTATTAATCGCAAGAATCATTGAACTTTTAGATGGGTATCATATCTGGACTCTTGAAATTATTCCAGCATCTAACCTCGTAGCTTACGAACCCATCCAATGGGACCAATAATATTAATATTGTTTAGAAAATAATTACGGATACCAATAATCTAAGACGTAACTACGTTTTCAGAGTGTCTTAAATGTAACTTAATCAATCTATTGATAAACCATTAGTTAAATTCTTAAACACTCTAGCTGCTAACTACTTCGATGTCTTCTAGTCATCCTACAATATTGGATAGATCCAATAGTTTTAAAAACAATTGGAAGGAGTGAGCCTACTATTAGCTAATTAAACTCCAATCAAGGGTCTCTGGGAGTAATTGAGGGAACGTCTCCAATATATTAAGACAGTCAGACAGGTTATCTCTGAGCCTACCGCATTTCCTTTGAGAGAGAAACTGTGCAGAGAGAAGAGCTAATTGGCACTCAAGATGGAGCGATTCAATAAAATTATTGATGATTTGAGCTCAGCTCTGGAAAAAGGGTTGTTAAATATTCAAACTCCATTGACCCCAGAGTTACAGCAATCTTTTCATCAATCCTACATATAAAAATTGATTAATGTGATAAGTGAAATCAAGATAGAGATTGTTCAATTCGGTTTTCAATTGTGCAAGAGGAATCCCTCATGTTTGAAGAAGAATAACCATTTCCTGGAGAATTGCATCTTAAACAATATAAAGGACCTTTTGGAGAAGTAGAAATCGAATAATTAGAATAAGAAAGTGCAATAGAGTCAATTACAGTAAGCTTACAATCAATTGATACTTTCCAATCAGCAAATCAATAGTCTATTGAACAGACATTGCAGTATGTTAAAATAATTCATCTCATAAAACGAAGACAGCAGGGCAGCTATTTAAGGAATGCTGAGATTGATACTGTATTCAACACAGGATAAGGTCAAGAAGTGGGTGATGAATGTAGCTATGAATAAGTCAATATCATTGAGAAAGAGAATCATTGAAATATGGATGGACAATTTCAAGTTTTCTGAGGATGATCAAATAAATCAAGTACAAATGATTACTGGATATCATGTAATTTATCCCATCTTATTCCATTCCAATTAAAGGTATGATGATAAACAAAGAAATGATTTAAGTCAAATAAGTCAATTGTCTTTATTTTAGAGAATGAAAGAGATCAATGATGACTTCTTTAAATACTATGGCAAGATCTTGAGTGATATTGAACATCACTGTCCCATGAATTTCACTTACAAATTGCCTAATAGTACTTTAACAGCCAAATTGTCAGATGTGAATCATTATTACAAATCATCCGTGATTGATATGCTCTAGATTAGTTCATATCTATTATGCTTTTAAGAACAATAGTTACCATCAGAATTAAAGATGTCATTCCTATAATTTGGATATGATATGATTAATAAATCGGATAAACTGGTGGCATTCCATGCCAATTTGTACTTCAGTAAATTCTTAAAGAAGATTGGGTTGATCTAAAATGACCCGATATCTGTCAATAAGAGATATTTAAAAATATATAACAAGGCATTAAAACAATTGGATGAGAGTGGATAGTCTGAATAAGAGTTATATAGCTTATGTAAGAAGATATTTAGTGTGGTCTTACCTTGGTTGGATCAGGTTGAAGTACAAGATCAAAAGGATTGGATTTAAGCAACTCAATAGTTACTGAAGTAGGAATCTTCGAATTTAGACTTTGAACAGGCTTAAAAGGTGAGTAGATTCTGGTCTATGTTTATAAAGAACCATAAAATATTCCACAAGCATCATGAATCATTTACAATCCACATCATAAATTCAATGCAATAGATCGGATTCTTCAATTAAAACTAGTCTCCTTAAGCTCCAATAATCATCAATAGTTATTAGAATTATAGAAGAATAGCATTGGATATGGCATTTCTGTAAGTGGAGTGGAAGACTAAATTGATAAAGAATGACTTATAACAAAACAATGCCAAGAAATTCCGAGATTCATTCTATCAAAGTGAGGCTCAAAATCATGATGAATCGCTGTCCAGTGAAATCTACTAGTCCTTTTTTATTAAGCAATCACTCAAAGCTCACAACATAGAAGATGCTGAACTTCAGAAAAGAGCCTTGTATTTATTGAAAAAGATCTTGATAATTGCTCCCCTGACGAATTATAAGATGAATATGGAGACAGTGAAGAAGAACATAGCAAATCTGATGAATTAAATAGTGGAACCTCAATAAGGAAATTAGAACATGAGATAAATACCACAATAGCCTACTGCTTACTTTAGGTATTTCTTAATCGTGTTGCATATCCTGACTATTATTGCTGAGTTTTAACCTTCTAATAAGATAAATCAATTGTATCAACCATTTTTTGACATCATCTTCCATATGAATCTATTGCCAGATTAGGTGCAATAGTAGATGGCACCCAGACCCAATGCAGGTAGAATTCCTCCAACTCAACCCAGACAAGCACCTCAATAAAACAGGATATATAATCCTCAGCCTCCTTAGGATAGAGGGCAACAACATTCAAATGCGTTGACTCAAGATCATGCTCCGCTTGTCTTCTCAATTTTTAACATCTTTAGGAAGCTGCTGAAGAATGCAAAGGAGAATTAAAACGAAGAGAGTGATAAGTTTCAGAATCAGCTTTCCACTTGGGTGAAGGATGCCATACAGTAGCACCCTTAATATAAGAGGAGTAGTCAATAGCAAATGAGCTAGTTCATGGGATCGAGGATTCAGACTCAAGTATTGAAGGTGAACATCTTATCAATCTTCTTGTTGAAGTTGTTCTTCAACAACGACATCACCTATGTGAGACCGTTGTTGCCTTCCTTAAAGAGAATAGCCGAGATGCTGATAGAGTACTTGAAGTAGAAGGATAAGGGAGATTAGTATTTGGACAATATGAGAAAGTACTCAATCCCCAAGAAGCAATTCAACATCAGGGAGAATGAGCAATGGGAGAATGATTCTTAGAAGCAATACACTCACACAGATTTATCCTAATATATCATGGATTTTGGATTGATGACAGATGATTTCCCATTTGGAGTCAAGAAAAGTGATGAGATACTCTATTTCCCAGAGGATTTCCCTGAGAATCAGAAGATCAAGTTCCACTTGTATAGATCAGCTCTTCAAAAGACTTTGAAGATGATCGCTTACAACTTTGATGAGATCAAGGATCAGAAGGAATAAATTGAATATTTGCAAATGCTAATTTGGATAATAGAGTCGGTGCCTGATTATGAGTTGAAATTGGAATGCATCTCAATAATGAGGATGCTATTCATCAATGGAATCTCGAATAGGGAGGGTTACTTATAGGCAATATCAGTATATCTGTCTCCAGTGAGATCATTCCAAATGAGACAAGAATTAAAGAAGATGGAGGAGAATCTGTAATTCAAGCCGTCCAAGTTGTCTTATGAGCAGCAATTAAGTTTCTTCTTTGATCTGAACAAGTTCCAAAGCATGTTCGACAAGAAGATCGATCAAAGGAGTTCTGATAGTTATGATAATCAACATGGGAAGATCCAAGATCTGAAAGTGTTCAAATTGTACTTTATTTTCTTATGCGAACTATTGTTGGTGTATCCATTCAAGAAACAATAAGGTTCAATCAATAGTGGATTTTATCTACTAAAGAATATATTTGATAAGGGGAATGGTTCCTTGAGAGAATTCAGACGTATCCTATAGATAATAAGTAAATTGAGCACATGTTTGGATTACTTGTAATTCTTCTATCGAATGATTCTTGATATCTACGGATATACATACGATCGATTCCTGTAATTCGTGTTAGGTGATCCAAGCAGCAAGTAGCAGGAATAGCCACTTCAGACAGAGGGTGAAGAGATCATGTTGATGGCTGTCAAATTCATGATGTTAGGAAGAGGACACATGTTGTCTCCCTAGGCATTCTAGCCTACTCAACCAAATCAAATAGTTGTGAAGGTGGTACCTAAGGATGAGGACTCCATGATGAGAGAACAAGTGCTCAATAAATATTTGGCTATTTATTACAGGAAGAAGTACTGGCAGAAATTGTACAATTCAAGTATCAAACTGTTCACCAGTGAGTATCTACCTTCCATAGTCATTTACAATCTGTCTTACATTCCAATATAAGATTAACCGCAATAGCCATTAAGAGAATGCATCATTCCAAGTGCAGCCATTGAATTGATGGGCACAGCTGCTAATGTGAGCAGTCGTTTACTAAAACCAATATTTAATCAAGTTGTGCTTAACGACATCAAAACTATCAGTTAAATCACTGACTATCTGTCGTAACAATCCATATCCAATGGCACTCTATAGACAATAAGTAATTTCTTGGTGCAATAGATTCTATCCCAAATGACTAATATTTATGATATTATGGACAATCAACAGACTCAACTTAATTTCAATAATTTAATTATGTGTCTTAGATAGAAGAATCTTCTATCATTGGCATAATATCTATTGGAATATATTTATTAATATTTGAATGAGGATTCATCCTACTATTCACAATTAAACGAAGACATCCTCGTTCAACTACAAGGAGTATACCAAGAACAATGGAATAAACAATGCTTATTGGGTTGTAAAGCCTTGACTGCCACTCAACCTTGGGTTAGACAGTTGGTTTTAATCAACCAATTAAGAGAACCTGCTTAATCATATTAATTGATCTTAAGTAATTAAGAGAGTGTTGATCAATTTTGGTTGTAATTGGAATAAGAAACCAATGAGGCCCAGGGCATTCAAAAGGAATATGATCAATAAATAATTCATCAACTATTCACAGAGTCGTTGTAATAATTGAATTAATGGAACACACTCAAATAAGTAGACATGAGTAAGGTATAAGCAGTTCAGAACAAAATAATCATGAATTTCAGAGAGAGACAAAGAGATGCTACTGATCAAGGATGGAAGGATTTGAATCAGTTGTCAGAGGTGAAACCAAACATACAACAGAATGATCTCTATTGCTATAATTCAGCCTATTTCAAGTTGCTGGATTTTGTTAGAGATGAAGCATCTTCAAATCAGCATGGAAGAGGGGGCAATCATGTGTTGTAATCAATCGAATAAAATCTTAAATATGCTCAAATTATCAATTGCTACAACTTCATCAAAACCCTCCCCAAACTCACCTAATCATATGATCAAACCATGGCCTCTCCTTAATTGTGGGGTAACAAATTCCTTAATTTTGTGTCTCAATTCTAACTGTACACTGAATTGGAAGAAAGTCTCAGACAATATGCTCCAACTCAACCCGCCTTTCCTGCCCAAGCCTAAAATGCCTATGATCAATTGTTGGACCTGCTATCTAATTCCTATCAATCCAGTCTGCTATGCAAAAAGTACTTCTTCGAAAGACAACCAACCAATATCGATCAACAAGAATTCACTTTTGATTTGATTAGCTAAAGGATGGTGCAATTATAAATGTGTTTACAAAGATTCAATGGACAGCTGATTCAATAAACTAATAATCAACAATTACAATCAAATACTAATCTAGATCAAAAGAGCTACTAGCTGGCTGCTTTGGATTACAAGACCTTACTATATCCAATGAGGTACTATTAATAGAATGGCATCTTTGAATTGTTTGATGAATAACCAATTCTGAAGGAAGTGCCGAAAGTACTTCAGGTATATGCAGAGAAAGTCTACCAACTGGAGAAAATCAAATTCAAAACAGTGAAATTCTAAGATGTGGACAACAATCAATAGAGCTTGACTGAATTGCTCAATTATTTCACTTCCTTGACGTTGGGCACTTATAGTGCTGAAGAATTCAAAAATTACATGATCAGTAAGATAAGAAGATATAAGATGATCAATTAATTTTACAAATTATTGAGGCTAGATCAATCAACTGAATCTAGCAATGGAATGTAAATTGAGGAACAAAAACTAGAGGTCATGGTCAGTCAGACGAATGAATTCTTCATTCAAAACTAAGTCAACTATTTGAAATTCTGGAAAGAAGCCCATAAGGTGTATCAACTTGCACACAAGAAGTATAGCAACAACATTAAGTTTGCACATCATTACATTCAAATTACACCTTTAAGCATGTAATATAAACCACAGAAATTCCCTATCACTGGTATGTACATGTTTCATATCCTTAACATCACAAATCCAACTGACTCAATTGTAACAGATGCATTCTCTTAAATAATTGGATTAATACCCCTGCATTTATTGCAACGATTCCTCACCTAATTAGTATCCACCTATCTCTAAACTCCATGTGATTAAACAAGAAAAGATTGCTTAGATGCCATCAATAAGTTATGCACCTTCAACCCTCTTAATAGCTTTTAACTCATATAATACATAAAGAGTTTGGGATAGTGCACTGATGAGAGAACTTCCTAGCTTGTCAATTTTATACAAAGTTCTTCAAAATTAAACCAAAAAATAGCTTCAATCTACTCCTTACGTTATCTTTTCAACTCCGTGTTTGATTAGCAGATTTGGGATAATGTTGAAGAAATCATTTATCAATGTGGGAAAATCTTAGATTCCAAACACTTTGAAATTAATGCTAGTAATATCAATGATAGGTGTCAATACATCTTAAATATCATACAAAAGAACCCTTAGATCAAAGATATGATTAAGTAATATTGGCAATTTAGTGATTTGAATAAATTATTAAAAAGTGATCAACTCAAAACCATTCAAACGATTTATCTGATCACTCTGAAATGCATTTACATCAATCTCTTTGGAATCAAGATGAATTTGGAAGAGGACTTCCCATTACAATTAAGCAATTCCATGAATTCATTGTTGCCGAAATAAATCTAAATTGATTAGTTGTATTCAATCAATGACGAGTTCCAAATGAATCAACTCCCCATGTTTGGATTGGATGGTCAAATCAAGAGAACTTAAGCATTTGAGACAATCTATGTCACTAACATGTTTCCAACTATACACTTAATGTTTTTAAGGAGAAAGCGATTCATAAGACAATTAGCCTTGTTAGGAAACGATGAGAAGAAGTACTTCTTCCTTTTGAAGACTAAGAAAATAGAAAACAAGAAGTTCATACAATCAATTCTTGATGAACACATATCCACTCAGTTTGTCAAGATCACTAACATCTTAAATTAAAATTATAAAGAAACCAAAATCAGAAATGTGAAACACATGGTTTCAGACAAATACCTCTTGGAATACGAAAAACAATATTATCAAATAGAACCATATTAGGAAGAAACCTATAATCTCAGTAATATATTAGACACAATCCTACAAATACATTATCATGCTAATCCCAACAGCGATCCCTCCATCAAAATACCCTACTATAGGTAATTATATAATGTGATTTTAATTTAGCTCGCAATTAGAGAAGGAACACTTGAAAAAGGATGATCTAACCAAGTACATACTAAGATTTTCAAAAACTATCGAGACTTTTGTGTAAATTAGAAAAGTGTTTGTTGTCAACATAGGGGTTCAATTTGCATTATCCTTCACTATGGCCAGCAGTCAGGCTCCTAAATAATTGGAAAACCTGCAAATAAATTTGAGCAATGGGAACTTCTATCAAAAGAAATATCTATTTAAAGTGAATAACCAAAGACTCACTTTATATGATCCTTTTGCTATCAGATACTCCAGGAACATTGAGCATTTAGTGGGTGAAGTCAATTTACATGCATATTTAATACCGACATTCACAGCAACCATTATTGGCATTCTAAATAACGAGTAAAAGTATCATTCTATTCTCTAGTCTCCATGAGTACTTGAATGTTGTGTTTTGGTAGTTGGGATGCAAGGACTCGATGGAACCATTCATGAAGAAGTTGAGAGATATAGTGTATGAGAATGGAGTCATTGATTCTAAATGCGATAGACTGATTGCCATATCTAGGAATTTATTCAGTGGATAAGAGAAGCTTAAATTATGGGCCAAAAGATGGTTCTGATATGTTTTTTATGAATTATTATAAAATTTAATCGTTTCTTAAAACAGATGGAAAATGTCATCATATAAATAAACTTAAAATCTAATTAATAAATTTGATTTCCATAATTATGAGTTAAAAATTTACAAAGGAGCAATAATTATTAATTGAAGAAATCATCAACAAAGGATACAACCAAGAAGACTTCGAGTACTTCGTGCTTCAGAAGGAACCAGAAAAAGGTACCACAGCATTTTCAATTAGGTCATGAATTAAGTGAATGGACTTATGGCGAATTGTTGAACATCATTTAGTAATATCAGCAAGAAAGTATTCCGTACAACATAAATTAAGAATAAGACCAAATACAGGTCTAAACCCCATTGATAGAACCTGAATCTCCAGAGATCATAGGCTCCTTTTCATTTATTGAAAAGGAAGTATATGCATAAAATCAAAAATAAGAAGCTATCAAAATTGTACATCATCAATTATTATGCAATTAGAATGATAAAATGCATATCTTACCATACGAAAAAACAATTAAATGCAAACAATTGTATTTTTTTATTGATGAAAATGTTGAGTTGTAATTTGAAATCAGCGCGTAATTTTCAGAGTATTTCTTTAGACCAATCGAAGAAAGAGGAGGAATCCTAGATTTCTTTTCCAAATAGATCGTGTTTCCCATTTAAGTTAACCCAATGGAATGGAAGATCAAGAGAACCCTTTAAGATTTTGCCTAATTGAGAAATGTACTTTGTGCAGCCTTCCCAGAATTTATTGTATTATTGTTATCGAGTCTAGATACCCTCATTTCCGTACAAAGACATTGATGACTACGATATAATCATGAAGGAGTAGTAGAACATAATAAAAGTGCTTACTGTATTATCGATATTTAAATTCACAGATATTCCTATAAATCTACAATAAGAAACCGATCATCAGAACCATTGCTCCCAGCTTGCATTTCCTGAATGAAACCAATCCCAAATAATTCTAATCAAAGTTTTACAATCAGTAAACTGTCATTAAGTAATATAATCTCAATCAAAAATAATCAAAGACAGGAACACTGTCAGTCCAATTCAATTAGAATCAGTACCAAAAATACAAAGATTACTATTCGTATCTTAATTCAGAATAGGCAAATTATGAAATCATCTAAAAACATTTGGAATAGTTTGCCGAATTCACTTACAAAGGACAATAGAATTTGGGATTTTCAATTGAAATGATTCAGCAATTATGTGTTTCACTTCCTCAATACTTTGAAGCCTAAGAATTTGGAAAAGCCTTGAGCATGATTAAGTCTCACTTTGTATCATCAATTAACATTAATTTAGTAAACCTAAAAAGACTTCATCTTGAGATCCACCAAACAAATCATGGATGTGTTGTTGATTACACTTGTGAAATTCAAGAATTCTAGATAACAACTCTTTGAATTGAAATCAAATCTCAATGAGACATTTCAAAACTTTTCAAATGAATTCTTTCTCTTAGAAAAACGAAAAGAAGAACTATTCACATTAAGTTGATGTTTTACTTATATTTTAGAGGACTTGTAGAAATGGGGTTTGAATTCAGATTTACAATCTAAAATAGACATCAATAGGTGTTTCACAGACATTAAATACGCCAAAGAAATCATGCTACCCAAAGAGACCTTTTATGTCAATGAGAAGAGAGACCAGTATGTGTATATGTTGAATCATTTCAATGAGTAATTCGATCAGCAATTTATGATTGAAACTGATAAACTGTTGAATGAGGTCCGTTTTTACTTAGATAATATGCGGTATTACACCAATAATCAAGTATTTTGTGATTGTGAAACCTAGTTGTAAAATTGGGATTTTCTCATTTAGGAATATGAAGTATATAAATTTCAATATAGTTAAAAATTGAGTGTGAATGGATGAAAGATTTATGTTAATATTTAATAAAATAAGATCAATTGATAAATTATTAAGACTACGAATGCAACTTCTATTCCTTCTTTGACTTTATGCTATTGACTGAACCAAAAATGCTTTCATTGTCCTTGTCCAATAACTATTGGGATGACTATGTTCGAGAGTCTTATTGGTTTTACAGCAATATCGCTGATTACTAGGATTTCAAGACTCCCTCCAATCTCAGTCGATTTAAATCGCTCTCATGGGATTAGAACATCACATGCTCCACCGTCTTACTCAAAGACAAACTGACTCTTAGATTTTGCTATTACAACATACTGGGACTATATTCTGATTTGATGTTCTCCTCCTCCTCTTAGATCTTATAAATAAAACTGGCCTTCTGATTATTCTCAGATTGAATCTCTTAAGACTTAAACATATTGTCATTTGAAATCTTTCGATAAGTCTATTGCTCTGATTTTACTTCCTATTTCTCCTCCGATTTTATTTGGATTTGCTCTAAAGTTTTTCTGGAATTAATCAAAGAAACCTTCCTGCTTTCAGAACTTATTCCCTTCGATCTTTATGATTTGAGATGATTCGAGCCAAGCAATTAATTTTCAAACTTTAAAGATTCCTTAGCCGACTTCGCTCTTGAAGAATGAGGTGAGTCATCTAAATATTCAACTGAAGGGAAGAGTTCTCTGATTGGATCAAACAATCTCTTTATTTCATTTCTACTGCCTTTGCCAAAGTACATATTGATGTCTTGACATTAAGGGAACTTGGGTTTAAGAAACTATATTAAAGGACACTCCTTCTGAAATGGAAATATTTGATCCAGAGGCCTAAAGGGTGTTGCAGATTAAATGATTTAGAGCAATTTCAACTACTTTTTTGCGACTCTTGATAGATGACTATCTTCCAAAAACTTTTAGATATAGATTTATTGATAGCGTTCTAAAATATTCTAGATTCCTGTTTTTTGGGCCAGAGATAGCAATTATTCAACAATTTCATCCTAATCAAATGAATTAGTTAAGTGCAGATTGTATTTGAATCTTGTTTTCGAGTACTCGTAATAAAGACTGAAATACTCTGGCTTTTCTTTTGATAGCAAGACCATGTAGGATAGGATGTTCTGATAGCACTCCAAACTTTAGTCATCTTAAAAGGTGAAGATCAATTTATTGAATTTCTATCTAAATGAATGCAATCTCAACTAAGCAGATGAAATCGATATTCCTACTATTTCAGAATACAGTATGGATTACACAAAGGATGTGCCTTGGTAAATGTAAATTCCATGATAATTTACGATCATCTCACAATTGTCTTTTTCAAAATTCACTTAATAAATTGACCCATTAAAACAAGGATTAAATGATAAAATGATTTTAATCAATTTAGTTAGTTAAGTTTAATCAAAATAAGCAAATTAAGCAATCATCTCCTAATGCTAATTGATTAAATCATCTATATCTATTTAACCTCTTAAGTGAACTGGTATAAATTAGATATAGTTGTAAATATTGATGTCCTAGGTGTTCTACTGTTCATCATTTATTGATTCAATGCACATCAATATGATTATAATCTTATTGATGCTTTCACTGTTGTAATGCTAACAGATGTAAGGGTAATTGATGAACTAATTAGTGATCTCTTATATCGATTGAATTTCAACACAATCCATACAAAAGATTCTCCTTCTCAGTTCAATTGAGAGCACATTATACTATTGACTAATACGGGAGACGTGTTCCCAAAATCCCAATTAACCAAGCAAAGGGATGTCCAAATACTTTAAGACATTACCAGAATTCTATTATTACTCTTACTTGAATTCCACTCTTACGTATAACCACAAACTTCCTTTATCCCTCTCAGATACCTCCTCGTATATTTGATTCATCACCTCTGAAACTGTTGCATACCCATTGAATTCAACTTAGAGTATCTTCGAATGTAGATAGTGTATCATAATCTTGGGCTTAGTGAATCTGAAATTGATTTCTTATATTGAAGGTAACCAATAGATCATAGGAGCATAATTTATCCATGCAGTCATCAATTGATGAAACCTTAATTCTTAGTAAGTGCTTATTAACCAATCGTAAAGAGGCTACATTAAAGTTTTGGAAGGACTCAGATAATGCAAAAACAAAGAGAACAACTTCGAAAAACTAGTTTCCTTTACTTTCAATTATGTCATAATAAGGAAAATGTAGAGATCGTCAGCCAACAAACATGGACAAGGAGAATTACTGCAAATGTCGATGACAAGATGAGCTGAATTGAGCACAGAATTGTTATCGTAATTTTCACTTTCCATAATGGCAACCTATGACACAATGTGCTTTAACTATTTGATTAATTCACTTTAAGCGAACACGTAGATAGGATCCTCAATATCTAATTGCTATATGCGATTTAGATAGGGATATTCAAAAATATGTTTTGATTAAATGAATTCTTGAGTGCTGGGTTCTGGTAAAGTAATCCTAAGATGTTTTATCTTTAAGTCAGAGATTTAATATCTGTGTTCACAATTTAATTGTTTAACATCGATATCTTCTATTATTTCGTCTAACTTCATTTCGGTGTAATTGTGAGACACCTTCTCTAAATAGTACCTTAATTGCTATTTACGGTATTGAGCAGAATAGTAGTTCACAACTACTCTAACCAAATTTAGTTAGTGTTCTTCAGAATTCTCATTCCAGATATTTTAATTGAAATTTTCAAAATGGTTGTACACTATAAATTTGGCTCTCCTTTAACCAAGCTTGGCGAAGTACAATATCTTTTCGTTCTCCACTTTATCGAAATCCAATATGTTATAAGTGTTGATAAGAGTCTTATCCTAATAAGAGTTCTGATATATGATAATTTTTGTCAGAGTCTCCAGATGTTATTCATATTCCTGTATTGAAATTTTAGTCAAATCGTAGTAACTGATGTTGAGTGGATGCAAAAGGAGAGTGGGTGCAACTGGCAATGGTTGCAGTAATTATTTCGATGCATATTCTTTATCTCTAAAAATAAACTATGTTGAATCATTTAATAGATCATCATAGTATTCAAATTGCCATACATAATCCTGGTACACTAATTTTCGTATTATGGTTTCTCTTTCTAATTTCAATTGCAACAAGAAATCAATTGGAGTTCCCCTAATATCCAATCTATGACATAATGCTATCAAATCATCAAGTTCTTTATTGATCTTACTCTCTTCAACTTGAAAGTTCAGCAGTTTATTAATTCTATTTTCAATCAATTACAACTTTCTTGACAATTTCACATACTTTTCCTTGAATATAGTAATGTCCATTCCTAAATTAAATGAAGAGAAGGTCAAGAAACTAATTGAGTAATTGTCCCTAAATAGGATGGCATCATTTAGTTTACTCCAAATCATCTGTAACAATTGATTCACTATTGTGTGTGAGATGTTATATTAAAACGTCTTAATTTCCTCTGTGACCTGATAGATCTCTTCAACTGGAGGATCATTATTATTTAACTGCAAAACTTACAGAATCTATTCCTCCTTATTTCTTATCTCTTACAATACTTTAGCATTTGAGGGAAGCTGCTTTTTTGTTTGTTTTTTAAGGAAAGTGATTTAATGTCTTTAAGGTAATTGTGGTGGGAAATTAAATTGAATGGTTTGTTTCTGATACAATGTTGGATGATGTTAAGTGTGCTGTTATGGCTATTTCAAAATAGAGTGACCCCTCCGAGCTTGGGATCCCTGTAATTCCTGAGATTCTTCGAAAATGATTTCTTATTGATGGTTCTTCTTTAGATTAAACAATTACTCGACCACTAGTTAGGTGTAGGGCAAGGGATATATTTTATACACAAGATGTGGCTTTGCTTTTTTAGAGAATAAATTAAACAAAGACATTTGACCATCTTTGGAATATCGATTGTAACTAAGATTGATGTTAACAATCTAGCAATTGTCATCTTTGATAATTCTATTCTCAATAATGGGGATGCTGGAGTCATTTAATTGATTTTAGCTTAAATCAATAGACACCTTATTTAGGATGGCTCCTGCTTTAAGTAGGAAGATCTCTAGGTACTGTTCCTTGCCTTATAAGACATTGGCAGAGAGGTTGATGTAATTGATATCCAAGCATTTTTCAAAGAGCATCGCAATTGAATCGATGCCTCTGTCATCCACTGCGTTTTGGCTGAAGTCTAATTGCTAGAGATAGGGTCGTTTCTTAAGGATTGGTGCTATTTCCTAGATCATGATTGACTTAAGATTACAATTCTTGAGGGTTAGATTGATGATCTAATCTGGCTTAATAGATTCCAACAGCAATTCCAATGATTTAAGGTGTTCGTTCAAATTCAATCTGAAGATCAGACCATTCACTAGATTGTTGCACTCACACAATATTTGATAAGTTGAAATCAGGTTTTCGTTGTTGCAATCCAGCTTAGCAATAACTTCAGTAACACTATCCTGCAGCCATGTGATTACATTCTGATTCAATTGAATCTTTTTGGAATTTCTATCAGTGTAGTACTTTTGAAATGCATTTCCAACTATTATGGATCTGAAGAATTTTAAATTATCCGCTTAATTTTAGGCTATCAAATATTACACTTGCTTGCTCAGCTTATTGATCAAACATATAGCTTATCCCTGGATTGATGAGATGCTGGTGTTGTATCCATCCTTTGACAAATAATTAACTAACTATTCAATTGGGATCATGAACACTTATTTATCTGAAACCTATTGTACTTGAAGAGGAGGAGCAGTAACAGAGTCAGGATCTAATTTGTTCTGCTTAATATATTGCATTCTCTCCTATATCTACGGTATAGTGGATGGCAAATCCTTATAATTGGACCAATCCTCATTAATTTTTGGTGTTTTTATGGTGTAATTCGTGTATGGGAAATAATAGATGTACGTGTCTGTCACGATGATGCGTTTCATCTACCACAGGGATTCATTCTCATTGACTCCTGCACACAAACAATGGAAATTG